ATACTGACATATATGTTATGATATCTGACATGATGTAGGTGAGGAATTCATAAATCATAGTCATGAAAAAAACTCTTCAATTTAGCAGGGATCTCTCTCCATGGATACTACATCAGAAAACTGTGATGTTCATATGTTCAGAATGCACCAGAGAGTGTCTAAATTTGACAATTTTCTGGGGGCATGCCCCCCAATCCCCCTAGATTTACACTAAACCCATCCATATCCAAGTCGCCACTCCCCCCTTGGCAAATCCTTCTGATGCCCCATGTACACCATTTATTTATTAAGTGTTTATGACATACTCTCTTGTGAATAAGTTAGCTGTGTTCTATCATGGCCCATTTTTCCATTGACTTTTCATGAGTGCATCAATGCTATCCAGTATTTCAACTATCCAAATTCCACAACTTATCAGTATTCAAGGGAGTGTTGAAATGGTATAATGACCTCACACTATAAATAGATCACTGGTCTAGGTGTTGCATCAAACAAGGTCAAACAAAGTTAAAATCTCCTGGATTCACTATCTTATCATAAACTATTACTATTGATTTTGTTCTTCTGATCAGTCGAATCCTACTAAGTGGGTAAGGCAACAACTAGGCTTTCAAGAGTCATTATATCAAAGCCTACTACAAAACCTGGCGATATTATAGATTGCGTTTTAGAGGAATTTGGAGTCATACTTCCTGATCAGAAAGAAAAAGAATGACTTGCCAGAGACAATCAACATATAATTTATAATCAATGATAAAAGGGCTGGCCACTGGGGGGGGGGGGGGGTTGTAGTTCAGTTTTCTAAAGTCTGCAGATCCAAGACTCTCATTGATTCTTATATTCTTATGTCTTAGAGGCAGTCTGGCATAGGGCCGTGCCATTCGACCGGAATCGGTCCGAACCGCGGACTTTTGTTAAAATACCGGAATTCGGAATTTTAATATCATGTTCCGAAGGGTTTCGGAACAATATCGGACCCTTACCTTAGTACTTGCTTTGAATCGTTAATATCCGTGACCATTGTTCCTCCAGTGATGTTTTCCTTCAAACTACATCCAATTTGCATGTGTATTACTCGCATAAACAAAATAAATAGCGGAGAAATCAACAGAAATCAAGTTTTGTTTTACGAACTTTGACCTTCGGATTTCATTGGAAGTAGGAATCGACGGGGCGAAAATACTCATAGATAAATGAATAAATTTACTTTTCCATGACGTCTTACAATCTAACAGCGTTAATTAATTACATTTTAACTCTTACAATATCAGATTAATTGATTTAGAAGAAATTATCTTCCCCATGACAGATTTTCCTCGAGTAGTTTCGTATTCGTTTATATTTTTGGTTGCCTTTTATACTTGGCGTCGAAGTGATTTTAGAGTCTATTTCTTTCGTAAAAACATTCAAACTTGCTTGACAGGAAAGGTAAGTGTTAACCTGACAAACTTGGACGACGATATCGTCATGATCGCCGTCGAACTCACTCATACATAATTATTTTCATTTGTGAACCAAAAGGGGTTCCGAAAGTTCCGATTCCGTGAGACCAAGTTCCGGTTCCGATTCCGAACCGTCCGAACCGGTTCCGGCACAGCCCTAGTCTGGCACAAGAGACAATTGATTTATATATTCGAGTCAGACTGGGTTGAACTCGGGAGAAGGGAGAGAAATTCAATACTGGATGGTTCAACTCTGTTATGACCAGGTTCTCAGAGGTAACATTGAAAAAGTAGTGCTCCTGAGATTATTAGAACTCTGCACAAAACATTGAAAAACAGTTTTTAAGAGTATCTTTCTTCTTTTGACTGTCATTTTTATCATAAAGTTTTATTAAAAAAGCTTCCTTCATTTTTATATTTAATTATAGCATATAAGGAAGCCTTGACAATTCCTGGGACTTGTTTTGTAATTTCCTATAAACTTTAACATGTACTTGTAGCATTTGGATTATACAGAGATTCATGATGCATCATTGATTTGTTGGTTATTATGCGTTTGTTAACAGTCACCGAGTCAGGATGACAAGGAATAGGTCATAGCAGATCATTTGTGACAATAAGATCATTTAAATCTCCCTGTACATTTGGGGTTCTAGATCTGATCAGCAACCAAACTAAAGCAGTATAGTCTGTACATGTATGTAATATCCTATCGAGGTATGAACATGTTTCCTAATAAGAATGCAAAAAGTTGTTACTTTTCTCAGACATGCACATATCAATGTGGTATTCCTTTCATCTTAATTTACCTGATGCAAAAGAAAAGCTATCATCAGAAACTAATATTTTAGTGATTGAAGTAGGTACTGTAAAACGGGTAATTTTGACACCGGGAAATTTTAGCGATTTTTCAATTTTAGGGGGTTTTAGCGCGGGAAATTTTAGCGAAATGAAGATTAATCTTAAAAAAATCAAATTAGCGAAATGCATTAGAAATTTTATCATTTATGGCAGAAGAATGAATAACGGACATGACAGAGGAATTACCAAAATGTAAGACATCTAACGCACATGGTATTGATCCAAACTAAACTGGATGGATGGCTATTTATCCTTCAGATATTGAAAGAAACATACGATTTAAAAATATTTACCTTTTTCAAATTAGAAACCGGAAGTCGAGCACTGAACAAAAGCTCCTTAAATACTAGTATTCATGTAGTTTCCCGGGAATTTGCAAATTTTAGCGCCCGGTTTATAACCCCGGTTTATTTTAGCGAATTGAATTTTTAGCGAAACTATAGCGATCGCTAAAAATTTCCCCTCGCTAACAATACCCGTTTTACAGTATATGTAATTGTACTCTTTCCTATCCTCCGATCACAGGGCTTCAAAATCCAGAATATCTTCTTTCTTTTTACCCCCTGCGATAACCAGTCAGCATTTCCCCGATTAGATAGAGGTAAGAAATATATGCGTACCTAACGCCGTTAAATTTCGACTTTTGAAAAATAACATGTGTTTCAATGGATCCCCTCCAAGACCAGAAATGAAGAGAATGGCGTTGGAACAAGATAAGGTTGCATACCCTTCTCTTGAAAGCCCATGATTCAAAGTACAGTGTAGACTCAGGGGGGGAGATTTCCCAAAGATGCCCTATCATATTAGCACGTTCGAAAACAAATTTTATAAACAGGCCTCAATTTGCCGTTGAAATGGATCTCCAAATGTTCACTGTAGTTTTATGAGTATTCTCTACAAGTATGGATCGAGTAACTTCAATAGTATTACCGTAGGTTTGAAATGATGATGTTGAACTGATGTTAACGCCATTCCAACGATTTCAAATTTAACTCTGCGCATGCGAAGCACTGAGAGAGCACGTGCTCATGATTGTTCACGTGATCGAATCCTGCAATTTGATTGGAGATGATGCAAGAGATGATGTAATGGGGAATCCCGGAATACGATAGAATATGAAAGAATTATGGGAGCTACTCACTCCTCCTGGTGTAGACTGTAGTTCCATTTAAAATTTTACTGTAATCTAGTCTTTGCAGCTACCAGCTATGTAAAAGGAACACTATTCTCACAACGATATAAGATATAAGGCAGATAAAATAACAATTTAAAATTTCTAGTTTAGAACCTACTTTGAGTTTACTTACCAGATTTTATGCAGTCGCAGATTGTCCCACCCAAAGGAGTTTTCAGATCTTTCACCGCATCTTTGTTAGGCAAAAAATGTTTTTTCATCAAGGACTTCGACTCATTTTCTTCCAATTTTTTCACATACTCATCGTATCTTTCATCTGCCATGATGACAAGTGTATTTGAGAACTTAAACAGTTGGTTTTTGAGAAAATAAGCAGGACCTCTGACAGCGACTTTCCTTAGCACTATTCACGCTCCCGTTCTTGATTGAGTAAGGACCGCTTGGAAGGACTGTAAATTAACTTGCATTTATAAAAATGATTTTTACGGTAAACCACACCAGACCATCTTAGTATTACTAATTTGAGCAAATCACCTTTGTCTGACCTTTGAAAAGTTATGAAATCAAGGAAGTGAGTGCCTATTTTATACAACAATAATAAATTAGAAAGTATTAACAATTCAACACTATTTGAAGGGGTCTTCAATCAAGATACGGTAGCTAAGCGACTACGCATGCGCATGTGTTTACTGATCGCGGGAAATTTAAAAAACTTTTTCACAAGTGTTAACTTTTCATGAACGTTTTCTGCTATCTTCTGTTTGTAAATTTAGGTCTGGGATCAAGATTCGAAGAAAATATAGGGTGTTAGCTGAAATTGTTTTGATATTTTGTATGAAACAGCATTGAGCGCAAGCCTTTTGCTTTCAAGTTGAAATAATTACTGTTCTTAGTATACTAAGATTGCCTGTTGTCCCAAAAAAGACTCGGCTCCATCTAGATATTTGAATGATCTATGAGATCTATGTTTTCACACAGGTAACATGTTTACTTTCCTCATATTTGATGCAATTCAATCTTAAGTCAAATACAGACAATGATCTGTTAGTCATTCTGTAGCCTAGTTAACATGGATAAAGATATCCGCGATTACGTCCTGACTAACAATAGGCCTAACAATAACTTCCTATTTGCAAAACGAGTACTAGTTAACAAGAAATCAAGATAGGATATATTTAGTTTTACTTTATTCATACATTTATCTTTCACAGCGTATTTTGTGCACAATATCCAACATAGATTCAATATGTTCGCTCTTTGATCCCGTTCCATCATGAATCAACCAGGCAAGACAGTATATGCCACCAAAATTGTAAAGGTCGAACGTCTATAGGTTGTTGGAGTCTGTTGTGGATACAAATAAATAAATAGAATGATAATCAAATAGCAAATAAATACAATAACTTTAATTGCTCGTATATTGGTTGCTAGTAAGCAATTCTAAACAAGAGACAAGATTTCAGTTTCATTATTCATATTTATCAACCGTACCTATATTTTTGCTTCAAAAGAAATTGTTAATATGTGTCATTTTAAGAGTGAACGTGAACTTATTCCCTTACATTTGTTTTTTATCCCTTCGCATATTTTGTCATTAACATCCTTCATCCTGTGCTCTAACTCATCAAATTTGGTAAAGTTCACAATATTCATTTCATTTCCTTTGCCAACTATATTCTTATACATCTTAAATGCTGAAACAACAAAACAACGACAATACATCAATTAAGTAATTACGTGGCCAACCATCATTCTCTCTGTTGCATCGCAGATCTCCAGAAGGATAGAGATGGAGAGGGCGTGGCTTGCCACGATGGCCAACCATTGGCTTACAAAAACTTAAAAAGTTGTACTGCCATTGCATACTAAACATTTTGATTAACGATTTGTGTATGTCCTCTATAGCACTAGATTAGGTTGGAAGGTAATTTAGACTACTGTTTGTCATGTCGTATTTCTATCGTGAATTGGTAGTTGAGGAAAATACAGACTTCACAAACATCCAGAGAGTTGTCATATTTACCAATATCTTTAGTCGCTTTACTTGGTACACCTCTCTTGTTCCTTTTAGCTTTTTTTACAACTTCCGGTTTATTAGGCAGAGAAAGTACAATGAAGGTTGCCTCCTTGAAATCAGCGTGTATTTCTTCGGACACATTTGTAACTCTCTGAAATATATTTTGCAATTTAGGGAATCAATTATGATAATTAGATATGATGATGCCCTGTTCAATAAGCATACATCTGTTGTTAAGAACGTACAGTCCTGCATTGTCACACTATTAAACTTTGGTTTTCATAGCAATGTCAAGTGGTTTCAGTTGCCAAACCTATGTAGGTTATATATTGTCAAGGCGTATCATCAGTGTCGAGATGTAGGGACAAAAAGTATTGGTATTTTAAAGTAAAGTTTTTAATTTTACAACGCAGAGTGAGGAACTTTTAAAAACTTTACTTTAAAAGGCCAATCTTTTTTGTCCCTATATATTGCACTGATGATGTAGGTCCATGCATATTCAACTCACCTCTATGGCTCCATCCTTGCTCAAACATGGGTTCCCAGTGATGCTCGGTTTACACACTTCGTACCTGCAGCATCCACGTTCATGTGTTTCACAGCATGGTGTTACGACCCCATCTGTTACCAAAATCACTAAATCGGCAGCCTCTGGACGATTGTCAGGCCGAGAGGACAATATTCTATTTTAAAAAATGTTTTACTGTTTATACATTGATCCTGATTATAGTTAAGTCCGAATGAAATTAAAGAAATTGGAATCTAGTTTCGGTGACCTCACCATGGTGGGCCATGATCATTGTTCCACAGCTAGTTACTTTGACGGAACGTCGATGTAGCAAAATGGATGAACTTCCTTGTTACGTGTTTTTGTTTTCTCAATTGAAACCTACTTATAAGGCAAGTTGCGATTGATCGTTTGGCACAAAGTTAGGCAATATAGTATAGCTTTTAGAATTGCTCTCGGTTTGGAATTTGATTTTTAAATAAAGCTGTAATTTATGCATTTAGACCATCGCTTTTGTTACATTGACGTAAGTCGTCAAAGTAACATACATTGGTAATATAATAGACTTTCGTCAATGTAAGGCCCCAATCACACCAAACTAGTTCTCAACCGTTCTTTCCAGTCCTACGAAAAATCCGTAAAACGGGCTAAGTCTGGCTGTGGTCGTGAAATATGTCAAAAATAATTAGCCACTTCGTTCATAATACGTCCATCTCATTCCTAGTTCGTCCAGGTCGCACCATGTCGGTATGTACATGCACTACAAATTGATATCCGATTGCACAACGTCGTAAGTTAACTCGTCCCTATTAGGGTTGAAGTACGGCAATTAATATTACGTTCCTGTAGGTCATCTCGTTTGAAGTACTTTGTCACACGATCTAATTACAGAACGGTATGGTCGCCATCGAATTTTGAATCATTTCAAAATTCTAAAATCACCTTCCCGTTTGAGAACGTTTATGAAGTTCGTAAATAGACCTTAGAAAGTTGCAGCTACGTTCATTCCGTTCGCACACAGTTTAAAACCAGTTTAAAGAACGCAGTGGCAACTTAATTGTTGGTGTGATAGCTATATTTTTGCTAACTCGTTCATAAGCAGTCTTAAAAACGTTCTTAATCAGTTTAAACCGGTTTGCAATTAGTTCTACCTCGTTCTCAATACGTCCTCAGACAGTTCAACTCGTTGTTAAAACATCCCTAGTAGGATTGAAGTACGACGGTTCCGTTCGTAGTACGTCCAGCTCGTCGTTAGTACGTTGTCACTCGTTCTAATTGTAGAACGTATCGACAACGAGAACATTTTGAGCATGTTCTAAGTTCTAGAGGACCTACCCGTTCGGGTACGTTCGATGAAGTTTGTAAATAGACCCCAAACGGTTCTAAGTACGTCCATTCCGTTCGTACACAGTTGACGCCCGTTTTGAGAACGTAGTGAAAACTAGTTTGGTGTGATAGGGTAACAAAAGCGAGGGACTAAATATGAATTGCAGCTTCATCAACGAAACAAATTTTAAATCGAAGAAACTTATTAAAGCAAGACTATATTTTCAAGCTTTGTGCCAAATTATCTGCAACTTGACTTATAAGTCGGTTTAAACCGAGAAAATAAAAAACTCGTTCCGTCAAAGTAACTAGTTGTGGAACGGTGATGATGTACATGTATATGTGACACCATCAGAACCTTTGTTCTAAATAAGGTTGAAACATTGATACATACTTTTTCGCTTGAAATAAAGCTTCGTCAGTTCTTGTGCCCTTTCCAGTCCACTCTTTAATGCCCATTAGCGCTTGGATCGTGGTTTCCCTATTCTTTGTGTCATTAAGCTTTTGATGTAAGACAACCTCTTCGTCGAATGTCAGAATTGCCACGTGTGTTGCACCGTGTCCTAGGATTAAAGATAGATTTGATTTCAAAGTATACTTGGGAAATGGATCCTTCAGTTTTTATTGTATTTAGTATAGTATCTACTTGTAGTTGCACGTAGTAGCCGTACTCAGACTTGCACCAACTAAATATTTTAGCAGACACTAGATACGTTTTTAGTCCCATAAAAGCTTACCGATTACATATAGATCGAGCAATTCTCTCAAAAACTCCTTGACTGTTTTGAGGTTTTCAGACGTCATATTATCACCTTGCCTATATTCCCATTCCTTTTCAGCCGTTCTGCTAACCTTTAGACTTGTTCTCTGTTTTTTGTTTAACAAACTCTGAGACGTATCGATTATCAATATGATGTCTAACTTATCTCGGCAACTGAATGCAATTGGTGGTTTTGTTGTGGTTGGAGTCTTGGTCGTTGTTCCAATGTCAAAATTTGTTACTAAAAAAATTGAACGGTCAAGTCAAGTAACTTAGTCAACATTAGATTTTCGTATGTTCATCAATATTTACTAAGAATGGTGCCACAATTGCACCTATCAGCAAACGTGTAAATGATAATTTTGATGTTCTGTTACATATTGGTGAAGCAATCTTGGGGATATGGCCTAAATTTCTGATTTTCCACTGTGTCCCTTTATACCCCTACTTCAAAAGATGTATGTTATTTGTCATTTTTCATTATGAACCAACCATAAATGTATTTTTTCTTGTTTACATACAGAATTAACTTTCTGTTTTCAAATATTCAAAGATGGTACTGCATTTATTTGTTCATGATATGGAGCAAACAAATGCGTGTCAATTTACACTGTAATATCCTACATACTTATATTTCAAGGGTAGTTTTGAAGAATAATCGAGAAAATCCTTGTTTTCAAATGGATTCATCCTTGTGAAAGAACGTAAATGAGGATATGCGGTTTGAAAAACTAACAACATGTTTCAAGTTCTTACAATTCTTGGTTAAAACAAAGATTTTGAAAATTGTGAATTTCGAATGTAATATCCTACTCAAAGAAATTTGTTGATATTTGTGATTTTTTCTTTCGGAATGCACATTGCTGGATCACAGAACCTTGCCTTGTTCGAGATGCACGAAAAGTGTATTGTTAATACTTGACGTCGTTCGGATATTTGGATGTGATTGACGTTTTCGTTAATCTCCTACCACTGTAACTTCCAACTTAATTTTTGAAAGCCAAATATGATAGTCATGAACTGATATTTAAGTCACACGTTGATGCATACATCATGTATGTACATTAACTGTCGAATACATGCCGACTTACATTTATATAAAGACGTATTTCTGAAAATTTCTTACTTTAATATGTATTTAGCCTTTAAAACTATAATATTAAAAACCGTATATTGAGCCCCTTGTTAATTTATCAATCTTCACAGGACCCCCTGCAGAAAAGTTAAAAAACGGTAAAACCCTACCCTGTTTGCATTCGTTTGACTTCACTTCTTAAAAGAGAACTTTGTCTTCTTCGTTGTAGTTTAACTAGACTCTGCACGCAGGGTAGTAAAACCCATATTCCCAGCACATGCAGTATGTTACAAGAACATGATTATCTTCAAAATAAGAAGGGTTAAATTTTTTCTTTTTCCTAGTTCCAAAGATATTGGCATTTAAATTCTAGAAAATCCCCATTGAGTGCCATTATAAACCGCTATCAATATAGCTTTACTAAAGTGTCCTTTTCTCAAAAAGCCCACTTTGAAATTTTCTTATATTGTAGATTTCTATAGTTAATACTTTGATTTTAAAAGATCAAACAGACATATTTCTGAAAATTCCTTAAGTTTTAATTTATTTAGCCATTAAAAACTATAAAAACCTATATTGAGCCTCATGTTAATCTATCAATCTTCAAAAGATCCCCTGCAGAACAGATCTAGAGTAACAAAACCCATATTCTTAAGATGTTACAATAATATGATTATCATCAAAATAAGAAGGGTAAATTTTTTTCTTTTACCTACATATTACCTACTGTATTTCCAAAGATATTTGCGTTTGAATTTTGGAAATCCCCATTTACAGACAAGATTTTAGGGTGGAAAAATCCAAAATGGCCGGTGTGAAAGAAATTATGGTCCCCTGGGGATTATGGTCCCCTTTCTAAACTGCCCTTACTGGCCCTGATTGTGTATAAGATAAGGGAAAGAGTTGTATTTAGGTCACCATATAAATCAATGGAGAGAAGGACCATAATTTGATAGGACCTCCTACCCTTTTACACCGGCAATAAAAAAGTAGTTTTTGCTGATTTCTTTTTACAAAATTATTGCATACAACTACTGTTTAACAATAACATAGTCTTTTACAACATATCACACCTTAAATTATTTATAAAGCTGCTAAATAGTTAAAGTGAAAATGACTGAGCTAACAGGTCCAACCCCTATTCAGATGTAGAATGAAGTGAGCTGAACAAGATGTTAAAGTTTGAAAAGCAACTGTGAACACTAGTGATCCACTCGATTACGCTGGTTCAAGAAACGGTAATAAAATGTCGGAACCTCGAAGATACGACTTTTCTTTTTTCTTTCGTTAACCAGCGTAATCGAGTGAATCACCAATGTGTGAAGCCGCTTTTCTTATAGTTTGCAGACAGGGATTTTAGCATTTGACTTCAAAATGGCCAACAGGAAGTAGAGATCGAGTTAAAAAAGTTTTATCCACATCTGTATGCACTATGCACTCATAAGTTATCCCTGAAAATCTTCAGGTGATATCTCTAGCTGTTTTGGAGAAAACTGCCGGACAGGTGGATGGACGGACAAACAGACGAACGAGCTTAGGCCGACAATATGGCTCCACACTATGTGGTGGGGACATAAAAAGGAAAGAATAACGATAGCCAAGTCTAGCCAAGTCAGATAGCTACCAATTTCTCTTTCAGGAAGCGTAGTTGTGGTAGTTGGCCTAGGAGTGGTGGTAGAAAAGCAAGGGTCTGCCGAGTTGATAATTCCTGCAACAGTATCCGCTAGATCAATGTCGTCTATACTGAACGCGTGATTCGCATCATCATTGACGAAGCCTAGTAGTTCGGGGGAGCCGTCTCGCTCCTTCTGGTTATGTAACCCAATTGTAAACATTTTCACCCCTGATATCCTAATCTTTTGAGCCTGTTTCAATGCCTCTGTCAAATAAACATTTTATTATAGTCATTCCGTTAAGGAAAAAGAGAATGATTACACAGATCAATTTTCATCATATTGAAATAATATGAACTCGGATGGCGGTTCTGCCTTTCCAATTCATTTATTCATTAGCCTACTTACGACTCCGTCTGCCTATTGGAATCGATACGCCATCGGTGATCACAAACAAAACATCCTTGGCAATTGAATTAGACCTGACTCCGGTGTATTTGTCCGATGCATTTTTGCCCAAACGGAAGAAACTACAATGTAAATTGACCATGGAAATATACTCCTCAAAAAAAGTTAAGGACCAGTCTTTTTCCTCATAGGTTTACATGTTAAACCCCATCTCTGTTTGAACTCTTATATTTGCAAAGCCTGAAACGAAAGAAAAACTGATAATGTAAATGGATATGTACCTTGACTCTATTCTCTATATTTCAGAAAATTTTCAATTCAATCTCTCCGTTTCAATATGTCAAAAATTGATGTCAAATTTGAGGAATTTAATAAAAATGGCAGAACCAATGTAAACCAATGGGAAGTGGTTGGGTTGCCAAAAGTCATATGAGAAAATATTCATACATTCAATTGCTCTCAAAAATGGAATTTAAATAGACAACTGAATTTGCTAACTTGTCTACAACAAGAAATTGATTTGTTTCTCCAGGTTTTACAAAGTTATGAATCTCAAAAGTCAAAATCATTTCTCAATAAACCTCCCATTGAAATAACACAGGGGTCAAAAATGAGTTGTCAAAATACGTTGATGCTCTATTATCTGTAATTCTCACAAAGTAAGCTTAATACCAAACATGCAGAAAGTAAAACAATTCAATTGTCTACTCAGAAATTATTTTTAATAAATGTTTTACCGAAAATATATCCAAAAATCTGATTTTGATAGAGAGATTAAATTGAAAATTACCTGAAATATAGAGAATAGAGTCAAAGTACATATCCATTTACAATATCAGTTTTTCTTTTGTTTCGGGTTTAGAAAATTGAGTTTTAAGATACATGGGGTTAAACATGTAAACCCATGAGGAAAAAGACTGGTCCTTAACTTATTTTGAGGAGTATAGAAGAGTAATTGCCGCGAGAATGATACTTCTCGTTAGAGTAGGGACTGCTTAATATGCGTACATCCCGGGGAGTTCATCATCGCCGGCATGAGAATGTTACTTGCCCGGAAATGACATAGCCAAACTAAGATGGACATTGAAGCCGATGTAACTTACAATTCTGAGTTGAACTTCAACGCATCGTATGTCTGAGTCTTGCAAGAAGCAGTCTGGCCCAGAGGCTGTGTTTCAATAAACTTCTTGGTCACTTCGTTGTTTGTTGTGTTCAGATGGTAAAAATTCAAGTTGACATCGTCATGGTACCTGAAACAGAATCTACATTTTATATTCGAAGAATTTTGTATGATGTTGGTACATCGCATACAAAGTATTATATTAACACTAAAAATAACTATACTAATGATTATTTACCTCACCAATGACATCAACACAGACCTCCTTCCAATGATAGTCTTATCCACTACATCAAGCAGTAGCTGCTTAACCTTTGGTATATCCTCATATACTGAACAGCTCTCGTCAATTACAAAGAACACATCAAGGCAAGCTAGAAAAGGGTGAGGGTACAAAATGATGCAAGCGAGTAGCTTACATTGATCGGCCATGAGTATCCATAATAGAGGTATATCTTTTTCATTTCTCTTCATGAACTTAGCTTTGGATACCTGATTGTTACTCACATTCTTTTTTAGTTGGTGGTGCCTTGTCAGAATCACTGAGAAAATCGACCCTTGGTATTCGGAAGGCTGGTCTAGAAACGATTCGTCCTTCTAAACTTTGCACAGGTCGGAACAGGTTATCCATACGGTTACCATTACTATCCCGAAGCATCTTGAGCTCATTTAACTGGAAGGGGATCAATTCTATTTTACCGAATATTGTCATTTGCTGCTACTTATTATTGATTTGGAAGTAGGCAAGTGTTTTTTACCATTTAGTGTGATTTTCGTACCTGATTCTCTGAGAGGTAAAGGTGGTCGGCAAAGACATACCAAATGTATCCAGTCTCCGTGCATGGTGGATGGGGAATGCTCCCATTGTAGCGGTAATAAGAAGATCTTGCACTGGCTGGTAAAAGTTCCTCCAGAAGTAATCCCCTTTCTATATCGACTTCGTTACCTAAAACATTAAATACTCACAGAAATAAAAAGTTCATATTGTAAAAACAGTTGTGAGAACTGGTTTAAGGCACAACTTAAAAGAAAATATCCCTATTTATTTAAAAGTATGTAAAAATAAGACATGTTAAAGCCAAGATAAAAGAAAGCCATCGCCATCCTTAATATATGATACATACCAAAGTCTCTGATGTTCTTCAAAGAAGATATCAAAGGTTCCAGAACGAAATTGTGAGCTGATGATATCTGTTTCAAAAAGTAAAACAAATCATACGAATTCGACAATTTCAGTTCAAATCAAGTGTGAAAGTCTGAAAATATATGGATTTAAAACCGTTGCTTTTAAAATGTATTAAAAATTTAAAAATTCTACAAGATGCAAGCTACAGCACATCGATTTTGTAACTCCCGCTGAAAGCTACATGTAAATGTAGGTAGGAACTAAGCAATTTTGTCTATCCTGGTGGAAACACAAACAATTTGGACACATAGAACCAAGGGATCTTACCTTGTAAAGAACAGAAAACAAAGCTATACCATCTTTCTTTCCATCAGCGTCATCAATGCTCTTGTACAGCTCAGCATTGTACCCACGTAATGTCAGCTATAAATTCACCACATGGTTTAATTTCATTGAAAATGGTTGCAAACTTGTAATATTTGTTACAGACTTGAAACGCCAAATGCTAGTCTAGCTCCCCCCCCCTCCCCTAGGTACAACAAGTGTGTGAAAAGGTATTTAAGTCGAGTAAGGGGGAGTCACAGAGGCTTGTGGCTAGATTAGCCATATATGGACCAGCATCAATCGCAGTGATTGATGGGAATATATATTAGTAATGACCAGCATCAATCGCAAAGACGGTGGCTATGAGAAATGTTAAAACTTCTTTGAGGTTACAAATATTAGAAGTGATTCTGATAATATTCGAAAATATTGAAAAAATGGACCGTAAAGGCCGAAGTGAGACAATTTTAGAAGCAATTGCTTCTTTCTTCGATTCTACCTTTAATTAACCACATTAACAAAATCGAGATCAAACAAAGTACGAAGAAGTACTTTATATTTACTTCTAAGTCTGCCCGATATCCGTCAATGAGGTGACTGGCTGGCCAATTTATATTCACGTCTCTCAGTCTGTATACTCCAGGCAGCCCACCAAAATATGCAAAAACGTTCTGCTTCTCACCAATATCAATTCTTACTGGAAACAATCATTATTCAACATTTTGCACGTTTATAATTGTCGAGGGAATATATATTAGTAATGAATTCAAAATGTGAATGAGTTGTTATCTTTGACGTTTCGAGTACTTATCTAGTACCCATTACCTAAAATACAAGCTTGGCCTTTTATGAACTCAAAAGCATGGTATAAGTTTTCTGAAATTTCCACTTGATATTTGACTTCAAATGACCTTGACATTCCATGACCCCAGGAGCCACACAGCGCTTGGGAATATTGCCATTTCACCTTACTTTGACCTTCTCATGTCCCCAAACAGAGGCACGTTGAGCTTTAAAATTTTAAAGAATACTAGTTATACATTGAAATTTGACCTTTGGCGTGACCTTGAACTTTAAACTCAAGCCTTTTCTTTGATCTACAGGGTGATCCTAAAGATCAAAAGTGCTCTGATTTTGTAAACAATAATGAATCTGGTTCATTTTCTCAGAGAATGTTGATCTAATAACTATACATACAGTGGGGACAAAAAATATAACTCAACCCTCAAAAGTTGTCACAATGAGCTAAATTCTAAGTTTCGTGTCTCAAACTCTCCCAAGCTGTAGAAAAATAATTCCCATTCACTTTAAGTAGCACAATAAATAAATCCAAAGCTTCATACCTGCAAATGATGGACAAATCCCTACCACATCGAATGAATGTTTTCATGAATCGCCATGTTTGTGATCCAAAGAGGATTGACTCCCAGAATGCAACATCAGGTAACCTTATGGTATGAGTACCGTAATCCAACACCAAATTCGAAAATTCATAACAATACTTTGCACATATGGCGTTCGTGACCAACTATAAAACGCTTACCCCCCATAGTGTTATATATCAAAATGTACCTGTTCATATAGGCGTTCGATTGATCTACATCAAATTACAGGGAGTCAGGTTACTTTTTGAGATATCAGCGTCCATTTATTGTGACTCGCGTTTGCTACCACTTCCTCAATTCTGATATGATGGGCAAACGCGTAGTAAACATGCTCACGTCGGAGCTATTTTTGACCTACATCGCTATTTTCGTAATTCAAATGAAAGTGGAACTCCTCCTCTTTATTTTGATACCACCCTAGAAGCCAACTATGGCGTTATTTAGAACAATACCACGAGTTTTTAAATGGACTATATAGGGGTCATACCTTTTGGCGGATGGATATGGAACCTCATACCTTATTTACTCGTGACAGATTTCAAAATGGCGGAACAGCATTTGAAAGCTGACACGTGTCATGTTGACACGTGTCATGTTTAAGTTCTTATTTGTCATTGTGGACACGAATTCCACTATATCTGGACTTACTAGGACGGAGAAAATAGAGCACTGAATACACTGAGGTAAGAATTTATTACATGTGCGACAGCATGTAATTTCAATAGCTTTTGTAATTCTTTATGTCCCCCACTGTACAAAACGTTAATTTCAACACGTTACATTTAAATTCTGCGTTCTATGGTAATCATGGCAACCCATGTCGAGGAGCAGTCAAAAAAAGAAAGAAAATATTATGATGTTTTCTTTCTTCATGGTTTTATACTTTGGAAATACCGCCATATTTTGTTATATTCAATGCATTCTTCCTACATTCTTATTTTCTCAGATGTTTATTTTAGGTGTTCTTTATATTTGGTATTATATCCAACACAGTTTTGGTGATTTTTAAGCCGGTATGAATAATTAATAGATCAACATTCTGTAAGAAAATGAGCCAGATTCATTTATGTTTACAAAATTTAGAGCACATTTGATCTTTCTTAATGATCATCCTGTATACAGGATGGGCCAAAAAATTGGAACATTTTTCTATTTATTCAATTTTCTTTATTATTGCAGTTCAATCCACAAAAATTCGGATACTGGTAAAATAATTATTTGTAAAAATGAGAAAAGATGAAAATGAATTGAAAAAGATAAAAATATGTATGTACAATCATTTTTGGATTGTCATGGTCATGTTCTGTATAATGTGTCTCTTGTGTATCAATATCATGAATTGTATTTCAATTTCCAGAAGTATTGGAGATAATAAATGACTAACAAAAAAGTTACACTGGATGGAAAAATGTTCCAATTTTTTCGGCCCGGCCTGTATATATAGCAAGCAAGGTGTTTCCAGATTTCGATTTTCCCAACCCAATACGGAATGACATATACTAGATTATAGTCGAAGTGATACATCGTGAGATATCACAGCCTTCTCTCAGTTTCCTTCTAGAATTCTTGTGCATAGCAGAGATGGTCTGAGTATCAGAATGTAGTGATATGGCTTGGGCAATCTTGCCTTCGGGCATTCGGGGTTCTTAATTTAAGTCTAAATTCAAAATTACCGTAGGGCTACTCAAATAAATTGCCTTACCTTTAACTCCATCATTCGCTATATTATTTCGTACTTTGGAGTCTAAATTATAAAACTGCAGCGAGTATAATGAGCGATCGATAACAGTATCTTCGTGGATGATATTAATGGGAGATTGTCGCGTTCCCGTGTCACAGAGAGGAGTATCTTCTCCCCAGGAATCCACGCCTGTAGAGCAGATCAAATAATACACCAAGATTACATCGTTTGTTATTGAGCCAAACATAGTCCATCTTGATTCACAAGGTTTCAGTTGCTTCATTGGAAGTCGAAGATGAGCATAGTCAAAAAGTACATATAAATTTAAAAACTATTTTGGGTTTATCTTTATATACATCATCCAAGGTATGGGGATCCTGAATGAATATGAAATCTGTTTTTTTCACCAGAGAGAGAAAGCATGACTGAATAAGGAAAATGAATCTTTTATTTCTAATATATTAACAGTTCACCGTCGCGCTCTTTTGAAAAAGTTTGCTTACAACAGTATGTAGTATTTCCGACTCTCCGACTCTTAGATCATAAGATAGCGTGTACATGTTCTATGATTTTATGAAGTGAGACGTGGGCATATTCCATATATAAGTACAATACACTTACCATTTTCTCCAGTAAATTCTGAAAAAGAATTGAATATTGATTATTTATAATGAAATGACTTTTATACAAGAATACTAAACAAATATTTAACTCTACCGAGGTGAATACTAGCCTTGCCCAGGACCTTGCCTAAGTCGGTGTCTTTTTTTCTTTTTAATCAAGATAAATAAAAGATATTATACCATGGTCAGAGCAATATCAGGCAGGTATACATATAATAGCAAGTGATAAATCACACATTTGGGACAGGGGCGATATCAGGGATGATATCGGGATTAGAAAGACTTGGGCAAGGGTGTAAATAGAGGTTATTTAATGGAGGTTTTTGATACAGGTGTATGTATCAAAAATTGAGCATTAAATAACTGATTTATCCCACGCTTGGCAGATTTTGAAGATAAGTAGATTATATATGCATTTAATGTTTTGGAACCCTCATGTAATAATTACAAATTATAACTACATTAACATTTAATGTTTTTTAAAAACTCCAAAGGTTTTTATTTAGCATAAAACGAAATTACCGGGGATTGTTGAGCGGGTGATATATATATCTCCCGCTCCGCTCAGCGGGAGATATATATATCTTCCGCTCACCTCAAATATCAATTATATTCCTGCATGTAATTTACCTATAACACCACTAAGTATGGGATAAAATCAGATATTCCATGCAGTGGCGTAGCTACGTGTACGCCAAGTACGCCCAGGCGTACTGTCAAATTTTAAGGAAAAATAAAATTTACCTGATTAATTGTGATGAAAAATAAATATTTTACCAAGAGATAGAAATCGATAGGAGATCTATGAAGACTCGTGTTAATACATAAAAAAGTTCTCGATTATTTCATTTTCTTTGTTTTGAATCAGTTACCTACTGATAATTAGAGAATTTTATTTCGTTTCAGTTGAGTTGACATTGTAGTTGTGTATTCTTCAATGGCGGCCCCAGCAAGAGCTCCCGGCATTGATCCCGTTGATCCTGTTATTCATTAAGTCATACTTGCGTTCCACAATGAACGAGGAAAGACTTTCTTCCTTGGCCATGATACATATCCATAGGGAACACGATATAAACATTGATACTGTTATTGACATGTTCGCAAATGCAAAAATGCAAAAAACAGAAAGATAGAATTTATTCTATAGAATCACGTACAGTTGTTAAGATCCGAAATGGAGTTGAGACGGTCGTGTAACTGTTCTTTTATTGTTAATCATCTTGTGAGCTAGATAAAAACAAACACAGAAAAAATAATAATATTTCATGGAGAATGACCACAAAAGCTTAAAACAATGAGCCTCATACATACAGTTTTAGGTAGCCTAAAAAATAAAATCGCCTTGATAGACGGCTTCGATCGCCGATGGCATGATTATATAGAATTCAATCTGTCTATTTTGTTTCCCGAATATTATCTGTTAATACAGTTAATTCAATGCTTTTAAAAAGCTATGTCAAAATGATCAAACAATACATATTTCCTTCATTAAATTAAGAGTGTTTAGTGTGTCCCCTATCTTCTCAACACTCGGGATCTTCCTATTTTATGGAACCATCGTTTTGTTAATTTTGATAAAACCGGGAAATCATACGGGCGTACACTCGCAAAATGTATGGTTGGCCTATTAGTATAAAGAATGTATGCGTTGTTTACGGGTGTGTAGGCGTTAATTACGCTCGTGTAGATGTAAAATTACGCCCGTGCTGACGAAAAATTACGTTGGCCTATTAGTATAAAGAATGCATGCGTTGTTTACGGGTGTGTAGGCGTTAATTACGCTCGTGTAGATGTAAAATTACGCCCGTGCTGACGAAAAAGTTTACTAGCGCAAGTATCTCGGAGTTGCTCTTTTAGCAAGGATGCATTAAATCATCATGTAAGTAAGGTTCTGATTGGTTCATAATTTACGGCGCTAAAAATAAACTCCACGGGCGTGAAGATGTTTCTCAGCGCGTGTAAAATAACAGTCTTAACGCCCGTAATTAATAATTTTAACGCCGTAAGTTCACGCCTGTAAATGTGCACGGGCGTAATTTTACATCTACACGAGCGTAATTAACGCCTACACACCCGTAAACAACGCATGCATTCTTTATACTAATAGGCCAACCATAAAAATGGGCTAGCTACGCCTCTGCCATGAAATGTGACCCGGTTTTGACCAATTATACAGTTTCTAGCTAGATTTTGATATTCGCCATACATCAAACGCTGGATAATGTCATAGTAGTAGACGTTCAAAAATGCATGCATTCATGCATATGGTAACTTACCGAATGGTTGCTTGGACTGCGAAGATACTAAAAGAGGTAACACGGCCAAAATACACAAGGATACCATAATTTGTTTGTAATTTGGTTTTCTGTAAATATTAAGCAGAGCTTGTTTTAATTTTGATTCACTTTATGTTTAGCTTTTTTCATGTTGCTTAGCCTACATGTTTTTTTGTTGACTTCTTCCTCGAACACAAGTTTTGAGATAATGTAAGTTGTTGGTACGCTTACCGTCAAATGTATGTTCCTCTCTTGGCCTCTCTTACCTAACTGAATTGCGCAATACAAGCAGTGTAAGATATAGGAAATATCTCATTTATAAATCGTTAATTATAATTAATCACAGTAATTAATTCACCTTGCCAATTTTCATATTGTTCATTTGACGAACGATCGACTGTTATTTCTGGAGCTGGAAAAGACAAAATTACCGACGGACGAATTCCAACGGACTATATTTTTTTCGATAGTATTAGTAGTCCAGTAGCCAGAACAGAATGCCCAGGGTGGACTATAAATAACGAATTATGGTTTCGTTATTGTCATTGCGGACCAAATTTGTGAGTGAAAAATTCCAATGTAAAAATAATCTTGATTTACGTCATAAATATTCAAAGTTCAATCAAAGTGATGTCATATTTGAAATCTCCATGTAAAAGTACATGTAGAAAAAGGTTTCGAAAATTGTTAATCAGCTTTGAAAATTAAATCTTTTCGAAAATGTGACTTCTAGTTTGGGTTGATTATTAGATACATAAGGGTTATATGAAATTTGAACTACTACGAGTAAAACAGATGTAATTTAGTTAAAGGGAACTTCTATATGCCCGCCATGCTATCTGACCCGAACGAGCCACCTGGTGGTGAAACTGGTAACTACCTACTCGTATTTGCGTTATTGAGTGCTACTTGTATAACTATTAACTATAACTTCATCTCCACATGGTACGACGCCTAATCATCGACAAGGTACAGTGTCAAAATATACAGTAGTACACTTTAGATGTACGATGTCCCTATTTAATTGATTTGAAGCAAATACAATGATGCAGGTGTGATGTAGGTTCGTAATAGGTAAATATTCAAGTATTTATTGAAATCTAAAAAAATCAGAAATGTGCTTTGTCAACTCGAATGTACGTTGTCCCTGTAATTGAAATTCATGAGATATACGTAATATTAAACAATGTAATGATTTCATTTCAAAATTCATTAAGGTTTTTAAGAGTAACAAATGATCTTAAACGAACATGTTCAAGTATCCTTTTTGCTTTTTTTTTATTTTATGAAAGTATTGTTGTGGTGGTGGTTAATTTTTCTCCATTTGGTGTTAGCTTCCAGCCCAAACTCCCATCCAGTGTCTCGGAATAGAATATGTTGAAGACTAGCACTGCCACGGAGTCTGCTTCCAGCCTGTTTGATTATTCGTCATCTGACCCCCCTGTCTGTTAGCGTCATGAAAAATACGTTGTCTGCATTAGGGTTAATTGTGAATTGAGTAAGTTCAATGGGACAACGTACATTCGAGTTGACAACGTACACTTATGATTTTCTAAATTATAGCCAAAATGTGAATAAGTATTAAATCTTCAACAGACCTTAATTGAACTGTTTAAAGAAACACATGCTCTTAAAAATCCTCGACACTCTTAGACGACAAGGGAGGAAATGATCAAAGGAAATGTGTAAAAACACAACATTTTCCAACCGACCAATTATATGGGTATCTCTATTGCCCCGAACCGGTCCGTCTTCTCGCTGCAAGCAAGAGGAAATTCTTTGTCACAAAGTTTGGCATTTTTTATAAAATCAAACGGGCGTCATTGGAACTCACAAGATGTAAATACTAAATAGCATGTCATTTACATCATACCTTGATGGGGAAAAATAGATCTTATATGTTAAAAGTACTAAATAAAAGTAATCGTGAAAATGAGACAGTCGTTCTAGAGAGAAAATAGCATAAATGCGCATTTAGAGAGTTTTGGTCCGTTTAAAAATCTGTAAAAAATTGGGGTACATGTACTTAAAAGCATCGGGAGGCATCATATATTTCAAATTAGACACGAGGAAGTCAATATTGAGCAAGTTATGGCTGTTTTAAAATTCAAATAAAACCGTTAACCCGTACCGGTCCAGCTTTTGACCCGTACCGGTCAATTTTCGTTAGCTGCGTATACCAAGGGTGATTTTGGGAAGTCCAAGAGCCACTTGTTTGACATAATTTTTCTGATAGATAACTTAATTCAGCATCAATTCACATATGTCTGGGTCGTATTAGTTTGTGGACGAATGATTCTGAGCCTTTACCCCCCCCCCTAGAATAATATTTGAGGGGGTTATTAGATTGTCATTCTATAAAATCTTACTCTACCGGGCTTTTGAGCCAGCTGTGTTCAGTAAATAAAATCAATTAAATATTTGCCATAGTACCTCAGATAGTACTGATTTCACATAATATGTCACCAGTACAGTGGATCAGTGGATCCTGAAATTATAGAGAGATATGTTGATTGGTTTGGGAGAAAATATAATTTATCCAAATAAAAAGTATATTTTCGTTATTTTTTTAGTTTCACCAATCTTATTTTTGCAGCTTCAGAGAAATAATAGTCAGTTATAGTGCTCCAAGTAGTAATCAAAAATCATTTCCAGGCTATGGGTGACATTGTAATATATAGAATGTAATGATTGAGTACTATTTTGTATTTTTAATATGGCTTTGTTGACCCCTACCCCTTACCCCTTTTTAGTCTTACCGATTTTACTGTTGCAGCTTCAGAGAAATAATAGGCAGTTATAGTGCTCCAAGTAGTATTCAAAACTCATTTCTAAGCTATGTCTGACATTGTAATAAGTAATGCAATGATAAAATACTTTTTTGTATTTTTGATATGGCTTTGAGACTTTCGAAAGTTAATAATAGGAATTTTCACTATATTTGACTCTCTATTATTGCTTCCAGTGTGGGGAAATTGACTCAATAGGTTTGAGTTTGATAGCCCAATCTTTATTTTGTCAAAACCTCCATCACTTTCCATGTGGGGGGGGTCTCACACAAACCTTTGAATTATGCTCAACTGCACATGAAATCTGTATCAACTGAAAAATTTCTTCATGGGTAAAGGGGATATATGAAGAAATGATTTTGGAATAAGTGAGTAAAGTTCAGTCCTTCTCCCTTATTTATTGAATGAAATAGGGAGGGGGAATCATTCGGAGTTTCTTCAGAGTCAGAGGTACATGCAAACTTTATCTATTGTAGAATCATATTTAGATAAATAAGGAATATTATAAGAAATACTTCTGGACAACCATTTCTGTCTTTCTCATTTTGCTAATGGATAAAGTGGAACAGAAGGGGGTTAAGTCATCTTCAAATTTTCCTTGGGAGCAAAAACTGTTTACAGTTCCAAACACGACCCTCTGAGGTATATACTGATATATAAGCTTTACAAGTCATATTACGATTTCCCCTTCTTGAAGCAGGAACTGTAAACAGTTCCACATACCACCCTCAGAGGTACATATTTGTGAACTTTATCTATTGTAGAATCTCTTTATTGCTATGTTATTAGAACTACTTTTGGAATAAGTGAATGCTGTCTATCTCCTTTTGTTATACCACACGGTGAATGCTTTCAGTCATACGGGAGAGATACATACTTATCTATAGGCTCACTGTTTGATTCAACAAGACACACAGTGATAAATATCGCACTTTGAAGAGCAAACTGGCCACCATGCAATTTACCCAGCATGGCCAAAACCTAATCAGACCTTGGCACTAGTCTGCTCTTGCATCTGTAAACATTTCAAGTTGACAAGGTTAGCGGTTTTCCTGCAATTTTGATGACAAGAATTTATTTGTAGTCTTGAACTTTGGGAAAATTTAGATAACATTGTTTGTGACCTAATTTGATGACCTTTCGACCTTGAAAATTTCACTTTTTCAGACCTCAGTAGGTCTTTTTTAATTAAGCTGACCTAAATTGAAATCCAAAATATCAATTTAGAAAATCAAATTTTTGACCTTTACAAGGTCACTGAAGGTCAAATCTGAAATCTAAGGTCAGATTTGAACTTCTGAGAACTTGTAGATGTTTTTTAAAAAAGAATTTGGTCAATTTGGAGCAAGTTAAAAAATTCAAAATGACCGCCAAATTGAAAAATTCAAAATGGCCACCATGTAATTCAGCAAGCATACCATAAACCTAATCAGATCTTGGCAATCGTCTGCTCTTGCATCTGTAAAAATTTCAAGTTGAACGGATAAGTGGTTTTCCTGGAATTTTGATGACAAGATTTGTTGAAAAATTCAAAATCGCCGCCACGTAGTTTACCCAGCATGCCCTTAACCTAATCAGATCTTGGTACTAGTCTGCTCTTGCATCTGTAAAAATTTCAAGTCGAACAGGTAAGCAGTTATCCTGGAAATTTGATGACAAGATTTGGTTTATGTGCCCCCTGCCCGCACGCCCGCCCGCCCGCCCGCCCAACAGCACAAGATGACGACAATATAGCACTTTTTCAAAGTGCGATAAAAAGCGTGGGTTGCAGTTTTTGTTATCGATCTGTAATGTGGTTGGTATATTGAAAGTGATTACAAAAGTAACAAGGCATTAACATGACAAAATGTCACCACCTAAAACAATTTGGTCAATTTAAAGCAAGTTGGAAAATACCTTTTGACCTTAAGAAGGTTTGATTTGAACTTCTTAGAACATGTAGATGATTTTGAAAAAAAAATTTGGTCAATTTGAAGCAAGTTGAAAACAGACCTTTTTGACCTTTTTTGACCTTGAGAAGGTCATTAAAGGTCAAATGTCAAATCTAAAGTCGGATTTGAATTTCTGAGAACATGTAGATGATCTTGAAAAAAAAAATTAGTCAATTTGAAGCAAGTTGAAAAAATACCTTTTTGACCTTTTTTGACCTTGAGAAGGTCATTGAAGGTCAAATGTCAAATCTAAAGTCATATTTGAATTTCTGAGAACACTTAGATGATTTTGAAAAAAAAATTTAGTCAATTTGAAGCAAGTTGAAAACAGACCTTTTTTGACCTTGAGAAGGTCATTGAAGGTCAAATGTCAAATCTAAAGTCAGATTTGAATTTCTGAGAACATGTAGATGATTTAAAAAAAAAATTAAGTCAATGTGAAGCAAGTTGAAAAAAGACCTTTTTGACCTTGAAAAGGTCATTGAAGGTCAAATGTCAAATCTAAAGTCAGATTTGAACTTCTGAGAACATGTAGATGATTTAGAAAAAAATTGAAGTCAGTCTAAACAGTATTTGTTAAGTTATAGGAAATTGTAAGAAATTGTTACAGACGCCAACCACCAACCGCCGGAGCCAACCACCAACCGCCGTCGCAAAAAAACGGAGACCATAACAATATGTCACCACTTTTGGTGGTGACATAAAAATGTTAGGATAGGATATCATGCGTACATATTGACAACAGTCTAGACAATACTAACCAATTAAAAAGCGATCTCAAATACTAACCATGTCAAAACGTCCCAATTTGATACAAATATAGACCATCAATTACCATATAATATCTTTAAAATCATTACACGCACCATAAAAAAACATAACAATGAATTATAATAAAAAATGTAAATCCAGTATATGATTTATTCAATGAGAATGTAAAGGCGTCATAACATAAGCAAACAAAAATCAGGAAGGATTCAAATCCCCGTGGCTTGGTGTGTGCAGGGGCTTGAAAGCCACTGTATGCCACTGAAATCTTTTGCGTAGTGGCCCAAAGTCAAAATCTACACTTAGCTAAGGAGTTGTGAATCTCCTTTAAGGATGCTCCCACATACTCAATCATTACATTTGAAAGTTGATCTTGATTGGATTCAACTGTTCCATATTAACAGATTCCATACTTGAATAGTTGAAAGCCCATGTTCAAATACAGTGCCTTATACAACTTTGTTCTCATTTTCAGTCAGAATTTTCATTTATAAGGTCAGGTGGGCAAATGGCTTGATCAAGATTTGCCCATCTATATTTTGACCTCACCAGACATCACATTAAAATATATTTTAATGTACAGTATATGTATCGTCTTGCAGGTTTTTCTACTGTCTATGCATACTTTATTAGTATCATAGTTTTACAACTTTTTATAACAGTACTTTAAGTCCCAATATTTTCTTTGACTAACAAAAGAAAACAAAATATAGGTGTGTTCTAGTATTAGTGTGAAACATTTGGACTTTCTTTCACTTGAACCCCCCCCCCCACCAACACTCTCTTTCTTACACAGTACAGAAAGGTGATGAGAGTGTAGGGGCTTAATGCGAGACTATAGCAAATATTAATTCTTCTAGAAGATATTTACCTCTGAGCCAAGATACATTGCAGATCAACTGTCCTTTATTGTACATTATCATCTTTAATATTCTATTCAGTTTCTTAAGTATAGTATTCAATAATTTGAATTTCAAATAATTTTGATGATTGATGACTTCACCTTTGCAGAATTTAGCTAATTAATGTTAATGGTAAAATCTATTAAGAACATGTTGACTTTGTTGATTGGTAAATAAGAGATTTTTAATTTAAGTTTTAAAGTACTTAAGTGAAATAAACAAGTCTGACAGTAATTGTTATGCAATGTTCTTACATGTATTTGCATGTACAAATTGATTGCACAGTAATTAATAGTTCATTTGATTTGCTATTAATACTGTAATACTGCAAAGTAAAACAAAGCATGAACATGACAAAATGTCATCACCTGGGAATGCAACAAATAAACAGATAAACAATGAATTACATTGTCAGTCAGAAAAATGTTTGCTAAACAGTATCAAGGAGGATTGGCTCCCAGAGTGCAACATCGATATTCTGTCCCATATATGGGGATGAAAATTTGAATTCCAACAGCCACCAAACATTCCAAAACTCACACGAAATGATCGAGATATTGGTTCAAATCTTTTGAACTCTTTATTTTGAATTTGTATTATCAGTTATAAAATCAGAAATAATGACATTTGGCCGTTTTCATTGTTGGAAAATATCGACTTCGACTCGTGGAGCCAATCCTCCTTGACAATATGAAAAGATTTCTTGGTGGAGACATAAATCAACACAGTAATACAAAAAATGAAAAAGTAAAGCCTTAATCATCTCATTACATGTTCAATTCCATATATGAAGTTGCAAATCTACTGAATGATTTTAAACTATTGATCAATGGATACAGAAAAGGAGTAAACTTGCCCATGCATTTACAAAATGGGAATTAAAAGCCATGTATAAAACAATTGAAACTACACAAATATTTGGTCAAAATAACATGGTTGAAAATGAAAACTGTCATACAGTAAATACATCTTCCATCTTTATATTACAATATAAGTTAAATTTCTGAATTCTCCATCAGCTTTATGAGCTAATATATCAAGTAATTTTTTTACAGCCATGATATAAATTATACAAGTACACATTGTAGATGCCAGCATGTATACAGTAGTAGTGCTCAAATCGAATTAACAAATTGATTACACTAACTATCGGAAAAGTTGCAAATGACATCAAAGGTATATGATGTCCCGAAATAATACCTGCTTATTTTATATAATTTTCATCATGGATTTAGAATAAATAGCTGATTAATACATGTATGCACCACCAGTCTTACAGGAGCTCAACCTCAGGTTAAGTAACTTTCTAAAAATAACTATTGGCAACCTGTCACACATTTATCATATATTCATTTTTAAATCTAGTAAAGGACCATGTATAGTAAGGCAAGTGATTTTGGACAGGCATAACTTTCAGCATGAGTACATTCTGGCCACAAATACAATGGTTTTTATTAAAACAATATGTTTTCTTTCAAGGGAAGTCCCTTTGATTGTAAAAATATCAATCCAACTCTCTGAAAAATTATGGATTAGGACCCCACCTTGTCAAAAAAGTTTCTTGTTCACAATTTTTAACAACTTCTGAAGAGGATGGGTATTGAAATGCGATAAAGTTAAAAACCACATATCCCATGTTATTTTCCAATAGGGAAAACTCATGTTATTCATTCTTTCAGCATAATTTTGGTCATCGAAAATTGATATCTTCAAAACTAGTCTTTCAATACCATTCTACTTTTTAAAAGTTTGAGACCCCTTGTTGAATAATGCAATAAAAGTCAGAAAATCAGATCCTGTACCTGTGTAAATAGGTTCAAAATTTTGAAAAAGTGTTGACATTTCACAATCATGACTTAGATCTTGATTATTCATTATTTTTCCAATTGTTCGGGAATTTACTTAAAAGATAACATGTGTGTGTTAATGAGAAATTTCATATTTAAATTGAGAAAGTACTCATGGTAAAAGATGACTGTCTAAAATCATTTGCTTTTGGATCAGAGTTAAAGACTGAACCACATCAATACTATCTTGATTGATCATATTATAATATGAAATATTGAATAAAGAAAAATGTAGTTTGATAACTTCATTTAATCATCTATATGATGCACAGATACAACAGTACTAGAGTAGCACTGGAGAAGTACTGGATATAATACAACTCACAATTATGACTTAGATCTTGATAATTATAAATCAACACAATTATGCTCTCATGATGAAATACAAAATCCTGAATTGCCAGCACTTGGCAATTCCCATTTGTTATTATCTCTTGTAATAATTGGTTTACGACAGAATGGCCTCACAAGAGAGTTATACATGATCAGTGGCCCCTCATGGATGTGCAATATCGCAGGATCTATTCTAAATCCTCATTGTTCTACATCAGCTCTTTTCAACATCAGCAACACGTATCTTTAAGTTTTTAATAAAAAGTAGCATAACTCCTGATAGGGCTTGATCTACTAAGTACTGAGGGAGCCAGCCCTGGAAAACAGAAAACAGTTATATGTTAGTTGTATTATCCTATGTCAAGTAGAGTTTTAGGGAGATAAGTTGATGAGATATCTCCCATATCCTGATTTTGAGGTTTCCATATCAAGAACCTTCATATCCCGCTCCAGGGCACATCTTCCAACTTTGAAAAAAGTTGAATAATTTTTTGAAAAAAAGGTGAAACAAAAATTAGAAAAAATCAGAAAAACGATTTTTAGAAAACTCAACTGGGTATAGGATAAAGCAGGGAGATATGCATGTATCCCTCTGGATAAACCCCATATCCAAAACCTCCCAGTACATAACCCTTATATATGTAATATGGAAATATGAGTATTATGGCGATGGTTACCTATTCTACAAGAATTTCACCTTTGAATACACAACATTGTGAAATCCTCCAAACAAGAACTTTTGCTGTGATATTATTTTTTATTCATTTTAATTACCATTATTTGTATGCACATAATATGATAGTACTTATAAATATTTGTATACTGATAAATACTGGGAAAATTAGCCAAGAACAGTGTAAGGTTCAAACATGGTAATTTATCAAATCAATGTAGTATATATCCAGTTATTGAAGAAATATCTAAAAACCACCTGCTTGCTTTATTTGATACAACGAATTAATTATTGTTTAATGAACTAAATCACCTGCATTTTGTAATATATAAAGTAACAGAACATACAAGACTATTTTAGCAGTAAAGATTACTGAAACTATGGATTTAAAGTATTATCATATAAATACAAAATTCATAGTGTTACTGTTAACAGTATCTTTGTTCATTCTCATTGGATATTTGAGAGTTCATCTGAATCACTCAAACCTGAAGGATGGATACTACAAAGAGACAATTGATATATTAGTACATCATCCAAAGATGAACATTCCCAAAAAACACAAAAAGTTCACGGACCAAGGTTATCTGGATTGTTTGACCCATGGGCAATGGTATAAATCCGAGCAAAGAGGGAAGTATCTAGAAAGGATGAAATGGATACCAAATAAGGATGAACTGACGCTACCCAGCGGAGAATGTGGGAACAAAGAGACAGTGTACCAAACATTTACATCACCAACGAGAAGAGCTTTATGTCACCCTAGCTCAGATAAAGCATGTTGCTATAACAACCACTGTATCACAAAATCAGTAGAAGACTGTAAGTGCCAAGGGTGCCTTGACTTGAGATCAAGACTCCATGCAGAAGAACACATTTGGAGACCAGATGACACAAACAACTGCCAAATAAGAGAGTATGAATCAGAACCAGCAGTTTGTGATATGTTAGAGCAGAAGAAAGTGAAGAATCTCATCTTTGTGGGGAATTCCTTGATTAGACACATGTGGACTGGATTGCTAATATTGCTAAATGGAAACCTAGAGAGTGGTGCACTCCTCAAAAGTGCCTCATCTGGTAAATGTGTATTTTATTACATTAGAGATAAAAATTGCTTTCTAGAACAGAATGCATTGTTGGCTATCTTTAGATTCAGTGAAATTAATTACCCTCATCAATTTCACAATTTCAAGTTGGTAGTTGCGTGACAAAAAAACGATAAATAGTATCATGATAAATTGCAAGGTAGGCTTAGTTGGATTATGCAGGTCAAAATATTAAACAATAAAATCTTGAAAAATCCCTTGCAATAATGCTTCTGGTTGCATCTCTATTTCTTCTTACAAAATCTTTTGCAAAGCAAATGACACAATTGTGGGTGATTGAATGCATTCTAGCCATTGAATTTGGGCTAACACCCTCATTCAAAGTCTAAATCCAAGTCATTCATGCTTTAAATCAGAGACCATACTTTAGATCATTGAGTACTGGGCTTAAAACCTTTCAGTTATTACAGTATTACAAACAACAGGGGTTGATCTGGGAATCAATAAGGGGGGGCCCAAATTTCAAGTCAGAGAAAAAAATGTCCGAAAAAATTTTGGGCCCCTAAAACCCAAAAGTGGGCCCAAATTTTGAAATCTTGAGGCCCATTTTCTTCAAAATTTTGCTTGAAATTAAAAAATAAGGCCTTAAAAGGCCCATTAATGACCAAAAGGGCCCACTTTTTTTGGAGCCCCATTTTTTTTCCTGGGCCCACCCAGGGGGGGGGGGCCCAGGCCCCCCCCTCTAATCCGCCAGTGAACAATGTTCTTCATAAAGAGTCAAGCTCAACTATTGCAATATTTTGAATCTTAAGTAAGAATACTGCCTCTGGGAATGGGGATTACATTTTCCTGAAAAAATCTGTTATACCTTAATAGTTTTGTGTATAACATAGTGCATAATGCATTTTACTTTCAGAAGATAAAGTGAAGTGTGCATTCCACATGCAGTTTGACCTAAAATTCTGCAGGGATCTTTTAATAAGAGACACCACAATTTGTAACGGAAAAGTAAAGATGGCTTATCAACAACGGGATCGACTCTCTGAGATCAGAGCATCTGAAAAGTACATAAAATCTGCCAAAGATTTTTTATTCATCTTCACAATAGGATTACATGATCACCTTAACTTTGCACAAACAAAGGAAACGCTTGATCAATACTTTGCTGCATTAAACTTCAATAAAGATCGAGTAATTAAAAATGGATCAAGGATCATATGGATGACGCCACACTTTCCTGGACTCATGCTTCTTCCTAAATATCTAGACAATTATCAAAGCCCAGCTGATATCAAGAAGTATTCAGAGAACATGACAGATTACTTGTCAGAATATAAGATTCCTGTTATGAGCACATTGCAAATGACAAACCACACATTTAGTTGGGATGGGGTACATTTTGGGTATGGCTTAAACTCTCAATTAGCTCACATATTCCTGAATTATATTCATCGATATGCATGACATTTAGGTCTTATATCAAAGCAAAGTATCTTTGAAGATGTTTAGAAACACCATAGTTACCATAATAAAAGAAATTTAATGTATTTTGACATTACTAAAGAACCACCTGCATCAGGTTGATTAAGGTTAAACAATTTACTTATAGCTACTAATTACTCCACATGATAATAAGCGTGTCCTTTATTCCAATACATATGACATTTTCATATTAAAACAATTAAGGAACAAGGCATTACAGTAACATGCAAAATATAACCACCTGCTATTTGTAACAGACCCAAATGTCAAATACCAACCACTGAACAAAGTCAACAACAAAAAGTTGCATAAAATTGTATTCTTTGGGAAATAGTCATATTGGATTTCATTATTTAGTTTAGTATAGTTTATCTAATATATTAAAATACACTTAAAACATCATTCACTGATATTTGGCCTCAAGATATTACTTATGAAATAAATATGTTACTTCTGGTCAGGATTAAGTATCTAGTATGTGTTTTTCCTCAAATAATAAGTATTGAACTTATGTTATATGATTTTCATAAGTTGCACCCAATGCCAAATTCCTTTCCAAAGATTGGTGGCTATAACAATATATCACCACTTCTAGCATTTTCGTTTGTGGGTTGAGGGAGGGGACAACCTGAAACATAACTGCATTCATTACAACACTGAATTATCACTGGCTAGTGAGTCCCTTACCTTTGGCATTGTATTGAGTATCCAGGTGAACCTGCACCTTCCTTTCTGACCATCTATTGGTTCAAACACCCAACCCCCTGGACCATTTTCACCCCTATAAACACACATTAATGACTAGAATTAATCACTATATTGATTAATCAATTGCAATTAACTAATCAGGCATAAGTCTGCCCTTACGTCTCAGGTAAAATACTATATAATGGATACTGTTATCAGGAATGTAGCCAATATTCTTTATAATTACACAGGCAAAAATGGCAATTTTGAAATCAAGGCAACTACCACTGGATCTAAAGTACACAAGGGCATTCTCTACAGCAGGGCATTCCTGGACAAACCCTTGACATCAAGTGAAAATCTGGGGCATAGTTAAGACTCTTTACATTAGTACTATATATTACCGTATCGATAAATCGATGCGTCTAATTTGAAGTTTCAATAAAGAAATCATATAAACAAAGAATTATAGAAGATCGTTCGACAATGCCCCATGTCAGATAATAACCCTATATGTACTCTTATTTCCAAAGGTTTATTGAAATGCCTCCAGGCCTCACTTGCCTCATGCTTGTTGAGCCTAATCAATGTAATCATGTCCTCCAAGTAGAATAACTAACTGACCTGACATATTTAGGATTAGCAGGGTAGTCTTTGTGCTCCACCGAACATCCTGCTGAGAATATACAACCGTGTTTTATACGCCATGTTCGTAAATTGACAAAATCTCTGGAAAACAAATGAGAAAATAGGAACTCTTGATTTATTTGTATAATTATGGATACAGATTGTTAAAATCTATTTTAAATAAATAAGAAAATATGGACTCTTAATTTATTTGTGTAATATGTAAACTACTCATTATATAGTACTATGTAACATATAGGGATCCTTAAACAAAGGAGAAAATATGGACCCTTCATTTATTTGTGTAATATCAAAACAGATTGTCAAAATCTCTATTACCATATTGACAAAATCTCTGTTACATGAGAAAAAATAGGGATCCTAAATAAATGAGAAAATTTAAACCTAATGATGTACAGATTGGCAAAGTCTCAATAAAATTTTCAATTCAATCCATTAATTTGGGTCACAAGTACTTTTAATATTCTATGCTACTAATATTTATGACAATATATTGTTTGTGAGATATCAAGATGGCTTAACGATTGAAACGAGTAAACAGAATGAGTTTGTGTATTTACCTTGCCGAGACCATGCCACCGGCAGCCTCTGCTGCCACATGGTAAGTAATATCTGTGTGGTCATCTATAGTTTGAGCAATCTAGAATGAACAAGAAACACATCAAAGATCTATAACTGGAACCTTTTCAGAGATGTCTCAAGAACTTTTAATGAAAAAATGGCTTACCCTACATGCCCTATAGACAAAGCTACATATAAATGTAGATTGTAGATACATAAAGTAACCATTGATGGAGCTGTACCTGAACTTCAGTGACAGTTGGGTTCCATTCTGTCTCAGCTTCTACACCATTCCACAGCAGGCCAAACAGCTTCTCTGCATCAGCATCAACTATGGTCTACAAAACATACATCAACTCTTGATTTAATACTAGCAATGAAGTAACATTGATAGTGTTTTTATTAGTACATGTACTTGGTTTTGAATCAAACAGTATATTGGATAGCAGAAGTAAATACAGACTCAGAATAATTTAGCATATCTTACGATGGTAGCTTATATCCTTATTTGAAGGTACCATTCTAGACCTAAGCCATAGGCTATGCCTCAAACATGATTATACACTATAGCTACCTCAATAGGCTGCTCTTGGACTTCAACAGATTAAACCTCAACTATAGGTGCCACAACCATTGGCTATGCCTGGACCATGGCTTTATGCCTTGAGTAGTAGGTTACTAGAAATATTGCCTAAATCATAAAGTATGCTTCAACACACACACATTGTGCCTCAAACTTTTAAGCCCAAATATGAGATATGTCTCAACCATGGGCTATGCATCAACCAAAAATTATATAGGCTTATATATTATGTAAGCTATTAATTGTTTGAAATAGGCCTACATATGTCTCAACAATGAATTATGTCTCAAATAATACACAACAATGATACACCACTGCAACATGTCATACAGGGGACACAATAGATGGCATTTTAAAAACAAGAATATAGTCCAATTATTCTAATTATATTAGTATCACCAGTGGTTGAATTTTAAGAAGTGCATGAATGAAAAAGTGTATGTATGGAGTATGGACCAACTCTAACACATGATTTTATGTGATTGAGGTGCATTTTCTGTAAGAAATTTTACCTTTTTGACCTGCCTCCATCTGTCAAAATCAGAGTGACAATTTTTGACATTTTCTGTAGATGGCGTATCCAACAGGTAAGATCTTTTGATTTTCGTGGGGAGTTTTGGTTCAAACTTTTTTGACTGACAGAGGACATACTGGGGTATGATGGCATGATAGCAAAACATGTCCACAAATCATAGTTTTCTTTGAAAGACAAATCATTTAGATGGGAATACGCATTTGGTTGTGCGAGGCCACATCACATTGTTAGATATGCATTACTGTTTTGACCAATCAGAATGCAGTATAATTACCATTCACTTCTTTTCAACCTATCATGGTTCATAAAAGAAAAGATATCCTTGTTTAACCAAAAATATACTGCACAATATATAACTGTTTGAGCCTAGAAACTGAGCCCCAGATGTAACCTAATTTTGTTACAAATATTGTTAGAAATGTTAACAAAAGTATTTTAAGTGCTTACTTCAGATTTAAATATTTTCCCTATGTTTGGTATAACTTTGGTGTAGATTTTTTCCTCATCATTCTTCACATTTTCCTCCTTCCAACCATCAGTTGCTTGGTATAATCTCCAGGCAGTGTCAGAAGCTTCCTTTGCCACCTTCAAATACTGTTGCTCCTGGAGAATGATAGAGATACATACAGTATACAATTATTGACCTCGGTCTCGGTTTACAGTCTCGGGATATAATTTTGACAGTAAACCTCTGGATAGGTCTATAATTTTTTTGTTAGTCCGAAGAATATCTTAGATTTTTCTGACCCTTGAAGTTGACTTGAAGTTGGATCCAGACCCTCGAGACGTTCATGTTGTATTTCAGCATATCGGCAGTAAGTTCACTCAATGGAGTCAAATTACTCTCCTGGGCGAAGTCCACTAAAAGCTTTGTACAAAGTTTTAGATTTTTCTTCGTATTTTGACTGTCTTTACTCTCTAAGAGACCAATAATATCCTCATCTTCAACATTTTTGAAACGGCTAGTGCTAGCGGCGGCCATTTTATCGTCTGATAATGACGTCATTTTAGTGGAATGCTGGGAATATTATTCACCGGCAATGCATTGCACGGTGTACAGTTAAAATTATTCACCGCTCGTTGACCAATCAAAATCGAGTATTTCAACTGAGGTACTAACAATATTATTTATATACTCTACAATCTCCAAGCAGATACCAAATCTTATGTTAATCAAATGCACACATGGCCTTGGTCATCTCCATTCTGAATAATTAATAAACAATAAATTAATAATACTGTTCTTTACTGATCATGTACAATATAATGTTCAAAATATTACGGGAATTTTGCTAAATACCTCTTCTCCAAGTTGCCAGGAGATGGCGCTACTGCGACTGTTGGACCTGCTGTGCCCCCTAGTGGTGGGAAGTGAACCAAATATCTGACTGTCTTCATCATCAGATCCTTCAAACATTATAATATCATTAGAGTACTGATCAATAAGTATCTTTAAATATGCTGTGAGTTACGATGTTAACTGGTAACAAAATATAAATGGTTAGTCTCTGAGAGAAACCTGAGATGAACAAGTATGTAAATGCAAATATATGTGGTAAGTACAGTATATTTGTATTACAGAAAAACCTGTCTAAGTGGAACACCTTTGGAAATTCTAAAATGTGTTCCACTTGGGAGGTGTTCCACTTATAGGAAGTTTATTTAACATTGAGTCAGTTGGTCTTGGTATTCTGAAAAGTGTTTCACTAACAGAGGTGTTCCACTTCCAGAGGTGCTCCACATTACAAGTTTCACTGTACATTTTTCATACGGTTGTATAAAAGAGAAACTTAAGAACAAATATGTTAATGCTGTCTACCTGGTAATGATATAAAGTTGTCATCTTGTGGACCAGGTGACATGTTGTTGCCTAGTAACGGTGTCCTCTCATCAACTATGTGGTTAGGGTAAGATCCCAGAAGACTTTCAGCTGTTAAAAACAAATAAAAGTAAATAACTCTATATTATTCCATAATAATATGTTTTCCCCGTGAAAATAAGGAGGATTAAAATTGATATTCAAAAAATCCTGTATCAAATCCCATATCAGCCAAAATCCTGTATTGGATCCCATAGCAGCAAAAATCCCATATCAGAACTATTCCCGATAATTTCTCTAGTGTTATTAATCATTTATACTTTTCAATTAAAACTTGTTAATAAAAGTTGAAAATGTTATATGATAAATTGTATCATTTTATGTCACAATCATTGGGTGATGACATACAAAAATAAATAAGCCCTTGAGAAAATATGAAATTGGCCTCGAGGAAATATCATATTGACACTTGGGCTATCACCCTCGGCCAATTTGATATTTTACTTGGCCAATATCATATTTCCCCTCGGAATAAAATTTGCATCCCTCCCATTAAATAACCTCTATTTATTTAAATTGTTGTAAATTGCATAAAAAAATATTTTGTAACGTTCAATAGGAAAGGTTCAATAACAATTCAATGACAAATAAGTTAACAAAAGTCCATATTTTATCTTAACCATGGTCAGAGCAATATCAGGTATATAACATGTATAACAGCAAGTGATAAGTCACATATTTGGGACAGGGATGATATGAGGATTAGAGGGATGATATCAGGGATGATATGGATATCGTCCTGGATAAATTCAAAATTTTTTCATTTGTCTCAAAAAATAATTTTTTCAAAAATTTTCATTTTTTCCAAAACCTGATTTTTTCAAATATTTTTCTTTTTGGTTTAAAAATAATCTTCATTTTTCAACTTTTTGAAGGATTATCTTTTTTCTTGCTCTTAAATTCTCAATGTATGTTAGAGTGGAATAATTGATGTAACGTTAATATTTCTCAGATTCAATCATTTTTTTCTATCATTCAGCAGAGGATTATAGGTCAATATGATATTTTCCTTGTTCAATATGATATTTTCCATCAAAATAAAATTCATATTCCATCCCTCCCATTAAAAAACCTCTATTTATGACCTCAATGAATAATGTTTCCTGTATTTGAAAATAAATAACAAACATTTAAAATATTTAGCTCAAAATATAAGTACTCATTTGAAATAATATGAAAAAATGTCAAGGTGGAAAGTTAATCAATTTAAGTTGTAAACGGTTAGAAAAGAAATTATTCAATTGTCAATATTTTTGTCAAACCTTTAAAAAATTATTTCAGCAATAAAAACACGGAAGCCACCAATGACTATAAATGCAGACTTTTGTCATCATATCACATTACAGTACTGTATATTGATTAATATACCAAAACACAAATTTCAATTAGTAATTCATCAACATACATCTAAATTTTTTATTCACATATCAGGTGTTTCTTCCATTTTTGAAATAAGATCTTCTTTCCATTGTGCTGGAGCAGAAAAAATGGAGGGATGCCAATTTATTTGTTTTGAATTTTATTTTCAATAGTAAACATCCAGTGAACTTTAGAGGCATAAGTACTGTTACTTTCATGTACAAGTATTCGACAAACAATTTAAAATTTGTGCAATCTAACCTATTGTGTGTTGATGCACCCTAGTAATGTTGCTATTTTAAGTATATTATATCCTAATAAATAGTAAATAAGTAAATAAAAATTATAATGCTAGAAATCTCAACTTTTCCCCTCATTATCAATTAATAGCAATTATACTATAATTTATAATATTTTTTAATTTACCTCTCTCTCTTGCTTTCTGTTCCCTTGGCAGAACTTTAAAGTCCATGAACCAGGTCTCTATCCAGGTTATAAGGAATGAGACAATCAGCACGATATAGTCCAAGGCATTATGCTTATCAAACTGAAAGAGTTATACTGTTTGTATTAAGGATAAACATGTGAGCTACAACATGCAGCACTGATTTATATAGAGTATATAGCTCCATTGTTCAAATAGTAAATAATTGAAAAAAACTGTACCATTCATTCATCCATTATTTCTCATTGTTAATGTATTGTATCCTTTGTTACCGCATATTATTTTGTGGTAAAAACTCTTAAGTTAATTGAAATATCATAATAATGTATGATCAAAGGAAAGACCATTGGTAATAGAATAATGGCCTAAGGGAGGCTTGAATTAATTATTAATTTCCACGCTCATAAAATATACATCTTCAATGATACAAATACTGCTAAAAATAAGCAAAGAAAAATAAATACATAAAGTTCCTAACTTACTTGAAATAGAAATGCTTTTGCAACAAGGAAGCCGCATGTTAATGCTGTTGTGATCTGCAAAACAAAGAAATGGCTACTGTATACACTAAATAATACCAGATTAGAAGGGTTAATATTGAATGGCCTCATATCGTAAGGATGCCAAGAAAAGATCTGCTGATGTTGAGGGTCATTTGAGTTCAAGGAATGCATTTTATTGATCTGACACACAGTGACATCTATTTATGCTAAGTGAAGTAAATTACTGTTATACTTCTCTCAAGAAATGATACAAAAATATTTTATCCTATAGAGGGCACTACCTGTTCATCTTTCAAGGTTTTTTCCTGGTTGTTCATTAAAATTGGTCTTGCTCATAGAATGTTTTATTTGTTTTAAATTTAGCATTGCTAATGCTTGGTATTCCTATTGATAATAAGAATCCATGAGAAGGCATTACACAGGGTAATATGTATTTTTAATTGAAAATGGTGTGAAATATATTTTGGCAATTTTGGATTACATGGTACTATATATGTAACCATTCAAAAGATGACCATTAAATTGATGATGTGTAAAATGTTTAGATTTTTTTATGACTGGTTTAAGAGAAACGTGTGTTCAAAAAGTTCTCCATATCGATACCACTCCTTTGATTACATATTGTGAGTCATGACAGAAAGCAAAAATGGAGATATGCAAATTAAAGGGAATTCTAGAAAACTAAAAAAACTTGCAAGCAACTTGCTGTATTCTTGCAAAACCAGCGCAATGTGGGAAATTTCTACAACTGATTATATGACCAAAATCCCATCCATCATGTTGTTAATACATCCTTAAAGGACAACTGAAATAGCTTTTCTCAACTTGCAGCTACAAAAATGCGGTTTTCTCCATTGTAAGCCCAACATAGAGTTCTTGCGATAGCCATTATAAAATAAATGTTAGATAACTGCTAACGGTCATAAATAACGAAATAAAACTAACTGATCAGTCAAATTGGCCCCCACGTGATTAGTAACGTCATATACAAAATATAGCTTTGGTTTATTGGTTCCTTAGTAATCACAACGTCACGGCAACCATAGGATTGTAGTGTAAACAAATAACAAAACATTTTGGCATTATGACATCATGATCTAATGGACCAAAACGGAGGCCACGTGGGGACCAGTGAGAGATCACGTGGGGACCAGTGAGAGATCACGTGGGGGCCAATAACGTCACAACCAATTCGAATATTGCTTATTAAGCAGCTATAACGATCGTTAGAGTGAAATAGTTTTCACACTACTGATGAGAAAATATGTCCATTACATTTATCAAAAAAGTATATTGATTCCTTTAGGTTAAATATACCATTTCATATCTGCTTTAAAAATACTCAGAGTTTAATTCATGTATTACTGTCATTTTTACTTTTGTTGTTTGTAAATGTAGGGATGAAGCATAAACATTTGTGTGACACCCTAAAATCCATATTTATAATGGATTTTAGGGTGTATATGTATAATGTATATAATGTATATTGTACTTAATGTAGTATAATATAAAATGTACTTTCTTCCTTTCAACTTGTTTCTGTATAAGAGTTTCTCGCTAATAAGCCAACAGGGTGTTTACTTCGCATGGATGTTTATTTGGAAGCTCTCAAAAAGAATGCCCATTTTCCCTTTAAAGAGGGAAATAGTGTTTTTCCAAGGCTAGGGCTTTAATTAAGGGGGAAATTGATTTTCAAGCCAGTGAGCTTGTGTTTCCGCCATGTGCAGCACAATCTCAGTCACACAAGTAAAAACTTAATGTTTCTCAAAAATAAATTGGTGAGTTGATAACAAATTCCAATGATGTGTTATCTAAGACCATTAAAAGGGCATACAGAAAGCCGAGGGTGGGGCAGAAAATAAAAATTTCTACTGATTGAAGATCTGGTTCCATGACAAAGAGAAAAGGCAAATATCTGAATATTGTTCATCAAAAAACGTAATACAATGGGGAGGGGTAAAATGCTATTTAATGAGGTGACATGACGGACATCGATTTTCAGTTTCCAAGGGTTTTGTTTTTTGCAATTTCTGCATTCAGGTGGAGTTTGGATGGTGATAGAAAAGCTATTAAACTGAGTAAATCATAAGTGGAAATTTCATAAGAAAAAACTCATCAACAATTTGACTTTCGTTAAGAAGGGGGGAGGGCAAGACCTAACTTAATTAATTACGTTTTTTGACGGACATCGATATTTTGACCTGGCCTCTTAAGTGATAGCACAATGTATGTTGACATAGTTAGGCTTACCAAATTGTTCTTGCTGTTAGTGTTACAATTTGAAAAACATTTGTAAATTCAACAATTGAATGGTGTTGTTTTTTTAATTTACCAAGACAGGTTTGGTACTTTTTATTATGGCAGTAATCACTTAGTAAATATTAGGTTGTTTTTAGGCATTTTAATAACATAAGAATCCTTTCTCTAATATTTCACCACCTAGGTGTTTATTTAGAAGCCCCTGAAAAACGTGAAAACCTCTTTCAAATCTCTCTTTCAAATAAACACCCATGGGGCTATTTGCGAGAGACTCCAGTACGACGGATTGAAATAGGATTTATGACACAGAAAAGTATTATATTAAACTACTATATCAAGTCTTTGGACCCCTATAACTAGTTCAACTCCAGATCATGGAGGTGAGGTGTGTTGGAGAGGGTCAAGATGAAGTTTAGGATAGTATGGCAAAAACCAGGTTATATAAAATATGAAGTTACTGGTTTTACTTACTGCAACAAACCAGGGCTTCCTGGATCTGAAGAGAGCATATGACAGAATAAGTATTGTAAACCTTGATGCTGCCGCCAACTGAAATGATAATATAAAGGATATTGCGACACTTGTTACTTTTAATATACAAATGTAACAAAGAAACATTTCCTTTCCACTCTTAGTACTAATGTAAAAAACTTACTCTTCCTTGCCGTTTCAAAATTTCATTACCTATGGATTGGCCAATCTCTCCTCATTTCTATTACTTCTTATAAAAAAAGTTTTATTTAATGTTTCATGTGCCTGAACTGTAAGCATTTTATATCTTTGTATTTCTTAAATGTTTCCTTGCAATCCAATGTTTCTTTGCAATTAGGTGTTGTCAACATTTATACCTTAAAACCTATTCTAAAATATTAAAATATCACACTTTCTATTTTTTATCTTTTATATTAGTACTTACCACTGTATCAAAGAGTGATGTTCTAATTGAGTATTTTTCCACCTGCTCATAGATAGCAACCATCAGAGGTTTACTTGTGAACTAAAATTACAATAATTTTTATTAAAATAACACGACTATATTGGAATACCAAGGATTACTAGAGAACAGAAACCTTAAAATAATGTCATTCACTTGCTTTCTAGGTAAAGTAATTATAAAATATCTTCTCTCAATTAAAGTTCAATTCCTTTATTTTACCAGCATCAGCAAACCATGTTGTGGCTCCAAAAAAAAAGTTTCTAGAAGAAACCTGTCAGAAGTAATAAAGGGGCTTTGCCAGAATCTAATATCCTCAAAAGACTAGTCATGTATAATAAAATGTATAACAAAATATACATATTACTGTCAAAATAGAAGATTAGTTTCTAGTTTCCATAAATGCAGCACCGGGCCTATTTAATTTGTAGATTTGCATAACTACATGAAGATATACTAAAATTTACAGTCTTACCTGAGAATATAACACCCAAAGTATAAATGAGAACAATAAATCAAATAAGATGATGAGACAGAAAGTGCGTCTGACAGCGGAAACACGTCCATCAATCCCACCCTCTATAGCTATTGAAGACTCTGCAAGATTCCGCGTATTACTTCTTCCATCGAGCCTGAAAAATGTTGTTCATTTTATTTCAATATTATTGAATAAAGGATTAAGTCTAAGACTCACTGAATTGTTGAAGACAGATTTTAAAGGAGAATTTTTGTCCAAGTTTTAAGGCCAGCATAGAAGAATCAAGAGCACCTACTTCCCATGTCAGCTCAGACTCACCTTGAACTTGAATTATTAGAGTTGCTTAGACTGTTGTATAAGATCTCTCCTGCCTCCCTCGCTTTAGCATTCCGTGAACCCATGTCATTAGGTGCCTAAAAGGGAAAAATGTACAATATTGAACATTATCTCACAATTATTGTGTTATCGCAGCAGCCAGTGATATTTCTGATATTATAGAGATCTAGGTGATATTTATAGGATATCCTATGATTTTGAAGAATATAGTTTTTATCTACGATATCGTCACAATATCCTCCACATATTGGTTTTCCGGAGTATATCGTAGCGATATCCTCCAGTTAATCATTTAGCCAATAGATATCAAATTTATTTTTTAATGTTATTATACATTTAGCACACTAAGTGTATATTAATTTTCGTTTATCAGCTGCACATTCGTACGATAAATGAATTTTTTTTTTTGATAGTGATCAAGAAATTTACCCAATATCAGATCATTTCTCATGATATCAAATATCGAAAAGTCATTTGCTTTGCTCACTCATGTTGATATTTTAATTGTGCATTCCTTTTCTCAAATCTACTAGTTTCTAACAATTTATTTCTGCATCTAAACCTTCAATAACTGTATATTTGATCAGATACATGCACCTCGATTCATTTTTCAGGAAATAAACAAAATTAGGATTTTACATGTACATAAAATATTAGCATGATTTTTGAAAACACTGCTTTTAACATTTAACATTATTTTACCTATATCTCTTCTCATTCCTTTAACAATAGACACAATACTTAAGATATTAATAAACAAAAGTAATAAACTTACACGTAATGCTATCATTGTGAATTTGACTGATGTTTCCCAAAGTAGAACAAGATATAGAAAACTATATTAATTCGACAACTAGTTGCGATTGTGAGTATTTTGAGGTTAAGATAATAATACACTGTGAACAACAAATGAATATTCGTTAATTCATGTCTTTGATAAAAAAAAACAACCTGATAACTGATATTGAAGTCATCTTGACCTTTGGGGTTGATATACTGTGACTATGTAATTGCACTATTATGTTTGACACATTTTACAATTTCAAATGCATGTAGCCTATCAAAATCAAAAAAAGTTTTTTTATGCATCTTAATACTGTATTTTTTTCAGTGTATGTGAAATCACTGCACAAAAAACAAACATTACCTTAAAAAATAAATCTTACCCTAAAAAATTAATTTCACCTGAAAATGAATCTCACTTTAAAAGAAATTTTACCTAGAAATAAATCTTACCCTATTGACTGACATAGTCCCCTGACTTAAGGTAAATTGTATCGCAGAGATAGCACAAGGTGTTGGTCAGCATGCACAAGCAGTGGAGTGTCAAGTCGATTGAAGGTGATGTTATCTCATAAACTTAGATTGCTATAACCCAACAAATTAAGTGAGGATGAATCTGAAAAGAAAAAAAATGAATACAATAGATAATGTAATGCATCAGCTAGTCTGAAATACAGGCAGATAAAATAGAAAGAGCATTATGACATTGATCTTGTCATACTACTATAGCAGTTACATTTTTCTGAATTAATGAAATGTATTTTCCTTCCTGGTTCATTGTAGTTAATTGAAATGTTCTTTCAAATGTGGTTGAACTGAATAAATAAAGGAATGTTTTTGAGGAAAAATATTTTGAGGAAGATTTCAATTCCATGTCAAGCCAGGCATACTCCAATTAATTTATAATAGCCAGAACAAGTGGCCAGAACTATATTTGCATTAGCTTCTTGTTTGTGAAATGGTTTGCTTTCAAATATAACTTTGGATTCATCTTAACAAAAATGCTGAACAGCTAATGTTAAGGTAAAGTTAGCCATTCAGCAGATCAGATCTTGCCCAGCTTTGCCTGGTGGTCTGTTTTAGCCTACTCAGACCCAGTGAAATATTAACCAACATACTGTACATGTACAAGTATTTAAGTATTTTATCATATCACAATCTGAATTTCATTGTGAAGCCATTTAGAAAAAATCACAAATCGTCTCTTGATTGAATGCACTTCGGGGTCTGGTGTAAAGAAGTGACATGTTCATTCTTTCATCGGACCTCACAAGGGAAGATAGGGCAAGATCAAACATTGCCTGGTAAGATCCAATGAATGAAAAGGTGTGATGAAATTTCAGGTCTTGCCTGGTGTACAGTTAGCTTACGACATGATGACATAGGCTTACATTATTTAGCACCATGTGACCATGCTGTATATATATTTAATACATGTGTGGCATTGTATTGGTTATTACAAATGGCAGAAATGACAGCCAATTTGAAATTTAGTGGCCATCTTGAAAATCTCTACTTGACCAAAGCTGCATTGTCCCTATAGTCATGAACGTGTAAAAGGATAGGTATCGATATGGAGAACTGAATTCAACAATGTTTTCTCTTAACCCAATCATTGAAAACATTCTGTAAAAAACATGGTACATGTATTTTATGTAATGTTGACTGATTGACAACAATTTAATGCGAAAATTATTTAGAAATATTTTATTATATATAACTGTTTTTGTTAACATTTTTTGTTTTTTTTAGTGCAATTGTTTTTGCTCCTTTCTACCAATTCTTGAGAATGAAATAAAATGTCTTTCCGAACCTTGTTGGAACAAAATAGCATATACAACATGATTTTAGACCTATCAATATTATAGTTATACAAAGGAATTTTTGGTTGATTTTAAAAAGTATTCAAAAAATTAAAACAAAATCCCCCCAAAATAGATAAAAATCAAGAATACTGTAAAACGGGTATTGTTAGCGAGGGGTAATTGTTAGCGATCGCTATAGTTTCGCTAAAAATTCAATTCGCTAAAATAAACCGGGGTTAAAATAAACCGGGCGCTAAAATTTGCAAATTCCCGGGAAACTACATGAATACTTGTATTTAAGGAGCTTTTCGTTCAGTGCTCGACTTCCGGTTTGTAATTTGAAAAAGGTAAATATTTTTAAATCTTATGTTCCTTTCAATCTTTCGTGATTTTGTGATTAGTCAGATGAGATTACAGAAGTTTGGACCAATACCATGTGCGTTAGAAGTCTTACATTTTGATAATTCCTCTGTCATGTCCGTTATTCATTCTTCTGCCATAAATGATAAAATTTCTAATGCATTTCTCTAATTTGATTTTTTAAAGATTAATCTTCATTTCGCTAAAATTTCCCGCGCTAAAACCCCCTAAAATTGAAAAATCGCTAAAATTTCCCAGTGTCAAAATTACCTGTTTTACAGTAACCTTTAATTCCATTAACAAGATACTTTTTTAAAATCAACCAAAATTTCATTCAGTGTACAATTACAATATTGAGAGACCTAAACATGTTGTGTTTATGTCATTTTGTTCCAATGAGGTTCGGAAATATGTTTCATTTCACTCTGGAAACATGATACCAAGAACAAAATAATTAGTGTTTGATCTGTTTTTTAAAACAATATAGATGACAGTATGTATATCTATTTCAAATTATCTTGTTACCATTCAAAAGATTGCCATTAAATTGAAAATTTGTAAGATTTTCAGAAATTTTTCATGACTGGTTTAAGAGAAACGTGTGTTCAAAAAGTTCACCATATCGATACCGATTCTTTGAACCAAATTCGTCAACGATGTATTTGAGTTATCAAAGATTCCATTTTTTACAAAAAATGGATGTCAATTAAAATTGAGTGGCCATATTGAAAATTCCTTTTCCAGAAGAGGTCCTTAATAAGGCATAAGCCTATTAAATTTGAACCAAATCTGTCAACTGCCAGGGACCCTGCAGTGATTACGTAATGACCTTCGAAAGGAAGTCGCTACTACAGCCTCAGTTGTAGTGGCTAGAGTCTTTATGGCTCAGGGGTAGTAGAGTATCTGACTCAAGATTGGAAGGTCCTGGGTTCGATTCCCATACTGGGCAGGCATTGGATTTAGCACACTCCCTTTCAAGTCTAATATCTGGCTCGTTACACTGCAACTCCCCGATGGGTCATTACAGTGGTATCAGAAATGGGATTACCCTTTTCAATCAGTTACGACCGGATGTTGTTTTCATCTGGTTCGTTACACTTCAGCTCTCTGACTGAAGTGCCCTATTATTCAGCTGTTCAAGTGCGCCGTGAGAAAGCTATTATATCAAAATCCACATATCTTTCGCAGGAAGTAAATCATAGTACTAACCTCCGCCTATGATAATGATTATATAATTCAGTATCCCTATCACTATGCATTTCGGATGGTGCATGGTTCCAGCACATGTGGTATGATATTTGCTTAAATATTTTGCATGTGGTGTCTTATTTGATTTTCAAGTCTAATTTCATTTTGAAGATTTTCATTATTTTCAATTTCCAATCAATTTCAGATTGAGATTTGAAGAAAATTATGTAAATTTGTAGAGAAAAGAGCATACCTACACCAGCGAGCTCAACTTGCAGCTGAAAAGGTCATTCAAACTAACTGAGTCTTCACTGGCTACTTTCACAAATTGATCTGCGAAGTCAAAATAACGCAATAAATTGAATAATTCTTATTTTGTACTTCGATCGCACTTGCTTTTTTATATGTCATTGTCAATCGCCATTTTGATCGGACCATGTCACGTGATTTTATAAATATTTCAAATGCAGTTTTTCATACAAAGTTCTGCATTTATATCCCATAACTTTATATCTGTTATCATCATTACTATACAAAGATTTATAAATCAAAATGGATTTACTATAAAATTCATTATTATTGCCAAACTAGGGAAGTTCTCGTACTATCACGTTTGACCTCTCGCTGCTTCTCGCAACAAAAACAAACTCGCAAAGTATACGTGTTACTTTGATTTTATCAATTTTCGTCTATTCACAGCAACATGAAGTGGTTTGAGGGCTCTATTCCAGACGCCATCAGTCATGCAAAATCTACAGAGTCATTGATTATTGTCTATATTACAGGTGAGTCAATATGAAATAATTCTAAAGCAGGCAGATTTTTTTTCATGATATTGAAAATCAACGAGACCCTATCTGTTGCAAGACTAACGCCTGGCGTAACCGTCACTATGTTATTCAGTGTTTTTTAAGTAGCGCAAGGATCCTGCCATGACCGTGGTAATGTTATCGTGAAAGCCTGGTATAACCGCGACAATGCTGTATTATATTGCAATGCCTGCCATGACCGTGACAATGTAATATAGTTCTGCAAGGCTTGGTATGACCGTAACAATGTAATATAGTACTGCAAAGCCTGGCATGACCGTGACAATGTAATATAGTATTGCAAGTTCAGGTATGAGAGTGGTAATGTAGAAATTTACGATTAGGACTGCTATAACCGTGACAATATGTATTGCAAAGCCTGGCATGACCATGGCAATGTAATATAGTATTGCAAGGCTTGGTATGACCGCCATGGCAATGTGATATAGTATTCCAAGTTCGGGTATGAGAGTGGTGATGTAGAAATTTATGATTGCTATAATTGACCGTGACAATGTGTATTTGAAAACCTGGCATGACCATGACAATGTATTATGGGATCGCAAAGCCTGGTATGACCATGGCAATGTAATATAGTATTGCAAGGCTTGGTATGACCGCCATGGCAATGTGATATAGTATTCCAAGTTCGGGTATGAGAGTGGTGATGTAGAAATTTATGATTGCTATAATTGACCGTGACAATGTGTATTTGAAAACCTGGCATGACCATGACAATGTATTATGGGATCGCAAAGCCTGGTATGACCATGGCAATGTAATATAGTATTGCAAGGCTTGGTATGACCGCCATGGCAATGTGATATAGTATTCCAAGTTCGGGTATGAGAGTGGTGATGTAGAAATTTATGATTGCTATAATTGACCGTGACAATGTGTATTTGAAAACCTGGCATGACCATGACAATGTATTATGGGATCGCAAAGCCTGGTATGACCGTGACAATGTAATATAGTATTGCAAGGCCAGGTATGAGGGTGGTAATATAGAGATTTAGGCTTAGTTCTACTATGACCGTTATAATGTATTGCAATGACTAGTAAATATGTATGACATTAATGCCAGGAATATCCTTAACAATTTTAAGTGATCCTAATTACAATTAAACAGTCTAATACTATGATCATGGTGTTTAACTACCTTAATCATGTCAAAATCAAAATTACTACTATACATTAATATTCACATTCGCTTATAAACCACAATAAAGGCTACGGTCGCGCCAGGCTTCCACGATAACACTTCCAGGGTCATGATTGGCCTTGCAATAGAATACAGCATTGTCACGGTTATACCAGCCTGTCACGGTTATACCAGGCTTACACGATAACACTACCACGGTCATGGCAGGATCCTTGCGCTACTTAAAAAACACTGATTAACATGGTGACGGTTGTGGCAGGCGTAAGTCTTGCAATAGATAGTATGTGAAATCAACCCCACATTCACAGATGCGAACTCGCGTGCAGTGATATATCACTGCGGCAGTCAGGTATCTCACCGTAAGCATGGTAACTTCGTAATAAACAACTGACGTGATTGGTTCTAGTCCCATGCTCAGGTCGCGTGATTGTAAAATTTAGACAATTTCATTGGTTGAATTGCGCGTATTAAAGGTGCAACAAGTAGTGCAGAGGGGCCATTCAACGATCATGGAACAGTGTCAAAATATATTTAAGTTTGGATATTTCATCAAGACTAACATCTATTTTTATTTTCTACAAAGAAACCCCCTAGATAATCATTATTTCAGCTTATATTCATCATCATCATCATCATAGTACACGATTCAATCATTTACTGATTACTACATCGCGGGTTAGTATGCATAGTAAAAGATAAAAACAGTGTTAGAGTAAAAGGTAAAGTTAAAATCGGTTTAAAAACAGTTACACAACAGTAAGAGTTAAGGAATGGGGTTTTGGTAGTAAGAACCCAGCGTGGTTTTAAAGCCTTCTAATGTTCCCGCTGTCACTATTGATTCTGGAAGTGAGTTCCATTCCCTGATTGTATTTGGGAAGAAAGACTGCAAAGTGACATCTTTGTTGTATCTGTGACGGACAAAGGCTTGGCTGTTAGTTACTTGTAATCGTCTGGGTCTATTGTGGGAGGGGGGTTCAAGATATTGGTCCTTGGGAATTCCAACTAGGCTATTGTTGATTTTATAGAGCATGGTGAGCCGTTGTTGTTGTCTTCTCTGCTCCAGAGACTCCCATTGTAGCTTGGACAGCATAGCACCGACAGAGCTAACACGGTTGAAGTCATTCATGACATACCGTGCTGCTCTTCGCTGGGTCATCTCCAGAGCTTGTTTTTGGGTTGATGTGTAAGGGTCCCAGACACAGCCTGCATATTCAAGCCTTGGTCTAATCAGGGTGAAATATGCAGTCTGCTTAGTATGTTGAGGAGCTTTCCATAAATGACGTCTCAGCATGCCAAGGAGCTGGTTACTCTTGGTTATGGATTTAGCAATATGCTGGTTCCACTTAAGGTCTGCCTGCACTGTAACACCAAGATATTCTGCAGACGATACCTGTTTGAGGGCATGTCCCTGCATGTTGTAGATGGAGACAGCAGGTGTTCGTCTTCCAGTTGCCGACAGCACAGTGCACTTGTCTGGGTGGAATTGCATCAGCCATTGATTTTCCCAGGCTACTGCAGCATTAAGGTCTTCTTGTAGTAATGCTGCATCGAGTGGTGAATCAACTTGTCTGTAAATGATGCTGTCATCTGCAAAAAGCCTCAAGGTACTATGTTGCAGGACATCAGGTAAGTCGTTAATGTAAATGAGGAAGAGGATCGGACCGAGGACAGTCCCCTGGGGGACTCCTGATGTTACAGCTGCCTCATCCGATGTCACTCCATCTACACTAACTCTTTGGGTTCTTGCTTGCAGGAAGTCTTTGATCCAGTAGTTGGCCTGACCTCTGATACCGTAGTATTGGAGTTTGTAAAGCAGGTGGCGATGTGATACTTTGTCAAATGCCTTTGCAAAGTCCATCACTATGACATCAGTCTGGTGATTAGTGTCATTCGCCAGTACAAGGTCATGGAAAAAGGTGACAAGTTGTGTTTCACATGACCTCTTACTCCTGAAACCATGTTGCAAGTCATACAGGATCCCATTGGTCTCAAGAAACTGCATCATGTTGCTAACTAGAAGATGTTCAGCAAGCTTGCAACATATGCAGGTAAGGGACACTGGTCTGTAGTTGGAGGCCTTGTATCGTTCACCCTTCTTGTAGACGGGGCATATTGTGGCTTTCTTCCAGTCAGCTGGTATTTTGCCTTGATCTAGTGACCGCTGGAAGATTAGTGTGAGCGGCATGGCGATGTCAGATGCCAGCTCCTTCAAGACTCGAGATGGTATTGAGTCTGGGCCACTAGCCTTGTTGGGGTTCAGGCCTTCAAGCATCTTCCGGACTCCTTCTTGGGTGATGTTGATGTCCGGCATGGTTGGGTGAGGGCTATGTTCCTCTTGAAACATCGTGGATCTTAAAAATATAAAAGTGGACGTCCCCTTTTTTGAAGCTTTGAACTGAATTTACACTTTTTAATGCCGAAATTGATAGTTTATCCATACATTTTAAGAAAATAGGTATGTCAAAGAGGATGTTAAGCCAATGGTTGCCTTGATAGCTCAGAAAAAGTTAAAATTTTCCAATTTTCACTCTACAAGCCTTATTGCCCCTTTAACTAATAAACAACAGTTGCGGTAAACTATTATTAACACAACTTTTACTCAGAATTCTTTCCGCGATGATTTCTTCTCATATTTCAATAATTTTGAAATATTTTTGACAAAATAATGTTTGGGGAACATTCATGAATACATATTTTATACGGAGTGGCTCCAGGACCGACAATTGTCGGTACTGGAGGCTGTCCAGGGGTATTTGCTGGGGTACCGACAATTGTCGGCACTCTATCGTCACCTAGTAGTGCCAGATAGAGAACCGATTTGTCGGTACGCAAGTGGCTCCTACGTGATTTTGCTAGAGAGCCGACAATTTCATAAATAAATGCACTACTTTTACCTTTAGAAATAACCTCATCACTGGTAGCCTAGTGGTTAGCGAGCACGACTCGAACACACCCGGTCCCGAGTTCGAATCCTGACAGGACCGGCATAGTGCTCCTTTTGCAGTATGGAATCGTACCTGTAGCCATAATTTATTTCGACAAAAATTGATTCAACTTCCATCAAAATTGTCCTACAAACTTCAATTAAAAAACATTTTAAAGCTCTTTTCTTGTTCTATCTAATGGGTCGCCGATATATACAGTTAGGGGAGGGGATGCGTTGGCCTTCGTCGATCTCTACCCTTGCTACGCCAAGGCACAGGAGAATATCTCATTTGGAATATATCACTGTTCACTTTGCATTTGGTAGCTCTCTCATGCGAGATGGAATCGTGGCCATTAACTAAGGGAGCCAAATGCAACGTCCATCAAAAATTGTGCTTTAAGCTTCAAATAAAAAACATTCTAGCTATTTTCTTCTATCTAATGGGTAGCAAACGCCACTTTCTACGCCTGATCGGCTCAGGAGAAATATCCTGTCTGTTTAGAATATATATAGCTGTTTACTCTGCATTAATAGCTCTCTCACGTCTTACTTGTTCATGTTTTTTATTGCGTTTTCAACGTTTACTACCATTCCCTGTTCCCTGGCTACCATTTTTTGACTGGGTTTGGTAATCCCCGGGTAACCATGGCTAATGCCCTCCCCGGGTTTTGCACTTGTTCCCAAATATCCGTATGATATCTGAAATATCCTCCCGCGCATTGCGCATGCGCCAGAAAATTTGAAAATCAAAAATATTATTTGTCGGTCCTCTAGCATGTAAACACAGCATATCTCCCGTACCGACAATTTATTTGTCGGTCCTCTAGCGTGCCACCACATCAGAGTCTAGAGTACCGACAATTGTCGGTACTCTAGCCTTTACGTATTTTATAAGTTGTGTGAAAATTGACCACATATGCGATGAAAAGGGGAACAATTTTCCCCAAATTTTGGGGATTTAATGCTTCATCTGCCCGCCGCAGTGTCTATACCGAGACACTGCATTGGAGTTCGTCACAGATCTGGAGCCAGATCCAGCCCCATATTGGTAGTAGGCTCAAAGAATAAATGGGAAGATAAGACATAAACCAAAAATGCTATATCAAAAAATGACCACCCAAAAATATGATGCTTGCACTGAGCTTTATCTCTTCCATCTCTCAAACATTGAGCGATCAATATTTACCCTGTAATCTTTATGTATTAGTTCGAATGGTTGCATGATATCCATTATTGATGCTTTAAAATCGAATTTTCCGCCGGGACATTTATTTCAAATTTTCAGACTGTAAAGACATGGGCCTAGTTGAAAGCCCATGGTAAAGATAATGGAGTGCTTTGGTAACTGGCAGTGTTGTTCGTCGCTCATATTACGTCACATCGCAACAAACAGCCAATGAAAGTAAAGGATCTCGTAGCCTAACAAAACGTTCTTATTGTTTCTACAGGATTTTAAAGAAACGTCATGGTGTTTCTCGGTAATCTCTGATGTGATGTCATCTGGAGTGGCGTCGCATTCTCAGAAAATACATTTGACTTCGGGAATAAACATTTGAACAACGAAAATAGCCGAAAATAACTCTCCCAAACTGCAGAAAAATATGCCATTTAAATCAGTTTATGGAAAAATGAATGCAATATGCAGATTTATATGATTTTTACATTTTCATTCAACTGACAAAATTATAATGCTTTAAATAATATAGAGTTTACGCAGTTATAATTTTTCTATGAAGTATCAAAACACTCTTACTTACTCTTACTCAGCCATCGGGACATTTCATATTCAAGCTGATATGTTTAACTTATCTCATTTAGTTATAATTTACCACTCACATAATATTCTAAATACATGTATAGTATCTTTGAAATGGCTGGTGAACGAGGAATAAGTTTTTTCTAATTATCTCAATTCAACAGTTTTTTCAGTCTAATTTTTTAAGCTACCATATACTGTACTTGCATGTTAAAGAACTTTAAATTGTGAACACCTGCCAATCCAAACACCTGCCAATTCCAACGCTTTTGGCCAGTGGCATTTGAATAAGACAGGTTTCAATGTATATTGCAACAGGCCTGTTATGGGGGGGGGCTCAAGTCACTTAAAGGACAAAAATATATATATTTTTCCAAATAAATTAAAATTCTTATCTTTGTTATATATTGCTTCAGGTGTGGATGATATATCAAAGAATATGGACAAAACATGGGAAGATGAGGCTGTGTCTGAAAGATGTGAAAAACAATGTGTTGGACTTAAGCTACAAGCAAACAGGTACATGTAGATCTACTAAGAAGTTGGAGAACTGCATATAACATTCCTGCAGAACAAAGGTTTTGAAGGATTGAGAATGTCAAGAGCAGGATTCTGGAATTATATCACGATTTCTCAAATATTGATAGCTTTTAAATACTTTTATATACATTTATATAATATCCCAAGCCATAGTTTAAGTTAAGATTTGTTTTTTATTTTTCTATAATTGCATCATAAAAGTGAGAATCACCATTACCAATCACTGAACTTGATGTAAATAAATGAAATGATTTTATTATTTTCTTGTTTCAGTGAAGGATCTGCCCAGTTCTGTCAGATTTGTATCCTTTGTTTAATAGAGCATTTGTCTATTGCTTTGAAATCTCATTGAAGTCCAGGTTTTCATGAGATTTTAAAAGATTTGCATATTTAACCATCAATGACTTAAATTTTCCATGGTTGCATGCATTAAATTCTCATGTTTCAAAGTATAAAATCGTTACTGGCAAAACATTAGATCTAGGCAATCTAAGTTTTTCAGAAAAATCATCACTTCATTTTGAATAAAAAATTATAAGGCAAATAGGGTGAAAATGAAGTTAATACTGGTATGGCCAGTATGTTTAAAGGTGCAATAATTAGTGCAGAGGGGTCATTCAACGATCATAGACCAGTGTCAAAATATATTTAAGTTTGGATATTTCATCAAGACTAACATCTATTTTTATTATCTACAAAGAAACCCCTTAGATAAACATTATTTTAGCTGATATTCCTCTTGAAACATGGTGGATCTTAAAAATATAAAAGTGGAAGTCCCCTTTTTGAAGCTTTGAACTGAATTTACACTTTTTCTTACAATTGATAATTTATCCATACATTTTAAGAAAATAGGTATGTCAAAGAAGATGTTAAACCAAATATTGCCTTGTCATTAGCTCAGAAAAAATGAAAAAAACTTTCCTATTTTCTCTACAGTCCTCATTGCCTCTTTAAATTTTTAAATTTAGATCTTTTTTTATAATTATTATTAATCAGAATGTTTAATAAATATCAATGAATTCATTAAATATAAATTTATACAAAAAAAGCTATTTTACACACAGAATTCAGAAAACATTTTACAACAATACCTTATCTGAGCCTGAATTTATCACGTGTGGAATCCCTCAAGGTTCAATTCTTGGACCACTTTTCTTTATTCTGTACATAAATGACATTTACCTTTCTTCTCCACGATTGTTTTTTGTTTTATTCGCGGATGATACCAATTAATTGATAAAAGGTAAAAATCTAACTGAACTTGCTGATATTCTCAATACTGAACTAAAACTAATAGAGGAGTGGCTTATCACTAATAAATTATCCCTTAATGCGGATAAAACAAAATATATTATTTTCACCTCAAGTCAAAAAAGATATAATGCAAATAACATAAACATCTATCTTAATAAAAAGAAGCTTCAGCAGGTTGATAGCATTAATTTTCTTGGCATTACAATTGATCAAAACTTAAACTGGAAACGTCATATTATGTCCGTTAATGCTAAAATCTCCAGAACCATTGGTATTCTATATAGGGTCAAACAACTGTTAAATGATAAAGCATTCTTAAGCATCTATTATTCCCTTATTTACTCTTATTTGATATATGGCAATCTTATCTGGGGTGAAGCGGGTAGTGGTTTGTTAAACTCCCTTCATATTTTGCAGAAAAAATTTACACGTATTGCAACAAACAGTAACTACAGAGCACATTCCCTTCCCCTATTCAAACAACTGAACATTTTGAATATATTTGATATTAATAAGCAGTTGAAATGCATTTTCATGTACAAATGGATTAATGAACTCCATAATTATCATAAAATTTTTCCAAACCTCTTCAGTACCATCCAAGAGAGACATGCTTACAACACCCGAAATAGGGTAAACTATGACAAACCCAAAATTCGAACAAATTATGGTGAAGCCTTGATATCTTTTACTGCACCATCAATTTGGAATTCATTACCTATTGAAATAACATCATCTGGAAGTATTTTTATTATGAAAAAAGAATTGAAAAAATATTTTATCAATCAATAATATCAATTTCAGATAACCATAGTGGGCATTATATGACACATTCTTAGTCAGACATAGATAGTAGCATTCATCACACAAGCAGATCCCCAATCTGTACATTTCATGATTATAAACACGGGAATATACACGAGAAGTGTCACCCGTTTACTGTACATTTGATGTTGAAATATATATGAATAAATAAATAAATAAAAATAAAAAAAAATAAATAAATGGGGAAAATATTGAATAGGATTTTCTTAACAATGGTTCAGATCCAGTATTAACTGTACCATCTTGCTACTTTATTGGTGAGAATGGTGTTCCATTAGAGGTCCTTGCTGGGTTTTTAGAACCAAAGGTTCTACTTGAAAAACTGAGGAATGTCAGTGAGGTAGGTAAAGTCTGTATCCAGGTATGGGGACTATTTATGAAGTAAATTAGTGTAGAATCTCATTGGGAAATTGAATACATAAGGAACAGGATTAATATATTTTAAGTCACAAAATAATTACAACTTCAAGAACTTAACATTTTGATAAGAAAGCATCATGATGGATCAATTTTGTCACCTCGTATCATTTCTATATTTTGTCTCATTAAAACCTGAGTCACTATTCAAAATTAAATCATCCTTCATTTCCTTAAAGTTACATTTATTTGCACTAATCCATACCACAATGAATGTTTAGTGGAGAAGTACAGAAGGACCCATCTTAGACGTTCATTTAAAAAATTATTATTTTACTTGCAGATGTTCAAATCTCAGAAAACTGCTTCTGGTGCTAGTGCTACTGCTCAGACTCCCCCTGATACCACTTCAAAGCAAGTTGAGAGTCCCCCTACTACATCATCAGCAAACATATCACCTCCCACAAATGACAACATCGTAACTCCACCTGTAGAGGCTGCTTCTGCAGATGCTGCCACTACCCCAGTAGCTAATAGTGCTGAATCACCTCCTGCAGATGATACAACAGAACCAACACAAAGTCAAGCATCTGCATTAAGTAAAGAAGAGAAGGTTGAAAGGTTTGTTGATTTTAAACCAAATTTGTAAAGATTATTCATGTGATATTAAATGTTTTGACCGATTGGCATACATTATAAATGCAAATTGTATGTTTAACTTATCAGATTTATTAAACTAATTTTGATGGAATTATTTTACCTTATCTGTGATTGATCAACACCCAATGGGCAATCATTTACTCTGTGCTGAACCACAATATAGGGCTCTTCACTATGAAAAGATATTTAAGAGTTAACAGTGTGACTCTCAAAAGACCCAGTGATCTCCCCATGTCACTTTTACCAGGGGGGGCCCTCTACTTGAAACCAAAGGCCCCCAAATTAGCACCCTGCACTCCAACTTCTGATTTGCAAAATGAGTGAAGTAAGGACCCACTTGCGGTGGGTGATATTGCGGGTGTAGTGGGCGTCGATTTTTTCAGACTTGAAAATTGCACCCAGTTGAAAATTTTGGGGGAAAACACTGAGACCTGTCAAAAATCCAATTCAATCCATTGATAATTTGGCCAATTGTATCATTTAACAAAAAATCATTTGCGATCAAAAGTGATGCGAAATGTTTTTTAGAGCAAAACAGTTGATTCAACAGAAGCAAGCAGAAAAGGCCCTCAAAGAGAAAGAGGAAGCAAAGCAGAGAGAGATTGAGCGTAGGAAGCAAGGACAAAGTGTTGGGAAACTGAGAGAGTGGCAACGGGACAGAGAACAGAATGACATTAAAGAACAGCTACGGAAAGATAAAGAGGATGCCAGGCTTGCCAGAGAACGAGTGAAAGCACAAATTGCTAGAGATAGGTATTAACATGACCATTGACAAATTTATTATAGTATAGAATAGTATATACTTATGTTTTATTTCTATACAATTGCAAACATACAATGTAGTGCTATTTATAAGGAGATATGGGACTTGCTACATATCTAGTATTCGTTAATTTCAGGGCTGAGAGAAGTGAAAAATATGCCAAAGAGAAGTCTATAAAGGAGAAAGAAATTCAAGAACGAGTGCAGGCGAGGCAGGCCAATGAGGAGGCTACATCAGCCATAGACCAGGCAAAAAGAAGGTATTGCAGGATTTTAAATTCAGTGAAGCATGTTGACTCTGCTCACTAGAGTTAGGGTTAGATTAATTGTTAGAGGAACATTCCTGGCCAACCTTTTCTATCCTGATGTGATAGCTATAATCATATATATATATACTTTCCATGTTTAGCAAAACATGGGGAAATGTTTTGATATAGTCAATAATGATTAGTGGTTGGAAGACTGACTCGTGTACTCGAGTTTTACTCGCATTTGTCCTAAAAATCAATTGATCGAGTTGAAAACTTGAACTCACGATTTGAAATTTTTACCAAAAAAATATTTTTCACTCGTTTTCACCTTACCTTGACTCGCGATTCGTCTCTCCTATTTGCAATTCTCGTGCTTATAGTTGTAATGTTCTGCTTAATCTGTATAGAATACAACTTATTTTCTATTTAATGCCATGTGCGGAAGACAAACATACTTGGATTTTATTCTGCGTTCGTTATTTTTATGCCAAAGTTTCATTTCCGGTTTGATGCATTCTGGGAATATCCAACAGCCGGGAATTTTAAAATTTGTCTACCGCGGTGCATCCTGGAACTTTATGGATTGACGAAGTTTGTTTTCACTATTTATCTGGTAAGTTTTACTATCTATAGGGGACTAGGGGTGAACTTTAACGATCTATAGGGATGTGCAATACGATTTAGACAATAAAAAGTATAGAGGCACTTGAAAGACTTGATCAAATTGATGAATTCTGCCGCTACTTGGGAAACTGAAACCGGAAGTAACTCAACTAAGTCAAATCGCGAGTAAAATCGTGGTTTTTCATGGCCCACTCGAGTGGAGATTTTCAGGCGAGTCCGACCACTAATAATGATAATTCAAAAATGAAGTGCTCATTTCCAGTAAGCTGCCATCTTTTAAGATTTTACTCAGGAAGTGATGTCATCGACTCTCAACTTTCATGACCATGCATATAACAGTATAGGAAAATAGCACAATATCACTTCTAGACAAGTGATCCTTACTTTATGCGCAAAAATATGTTCAGAGCTTGTCAGCTTAGAATAAAAGAAGAGAATTTTAGAAGGATTAAATCATAGACAAAATTGAAAAAGAATATTCAGCTGGTTTTGTAATTCCTAATAGCTCCTTATAGTGTTATATGCAAAGTTGAGAGTCGATGACATCACGTCCTGAGTGAAATATTAAAAGATGGCAGCCTTCTGGAATTCGGCACTACATTTTCATGTGATCAATATTGACCATATCAAAACATTTTTCCCTGTTTTGCTAAATATGGAAAGTATATATATGGTTAAAGCTACCATATTAGGAGAGAAATGGTCTGGCCAGGAATATTCCTTTAAGTCAGTAGAGAAAGGTCATTTTTATTTTTACTTAAAATTCTAGTCTTCTCCAGTGACAAAATATTACTATCTCGACTTCTCTCTCCAACTTGACAAATTCTTGACTTCCTTACTTTTGAGACAATTGATATTTTTTCCAGATATGCATGAAAGTACATTCAAAGACCACTTATGAACCTACTAAAATATATTGGTTCATAAGTATGATAAGGTCCTAGAAACTAATGAAACTGCAATCAAAGACACTTAATGTCAATTATGCAATATGATTAAAGCAGACTCACTTTGAAACATTGATTATGTATGTTCTATTTTCCATTAGAGAAACTGCTCGACTACAATTCAGGTTACCAGATGGATCCTCAGTCAACCAGAACTTTCCCTCCAGTCAGCCATTGTCAACAGCTAGAGATTTCATAGCCGAGGTAGGTACACATTCTGTTTCTTAGTTATCTTGGTTTGAGGTAGCATGGTGGCACGTAATACCAGCCCAAAGGCACAGAGTTGGTAACTTCCAACCAAACCAGCTAATTTTTTATCCGTCTCAGGATAACAGCAATCTGGGCTATACCATGTTGAAAATATTAAAACCTGTGCACATTGAACACCTATGGAGAGAGAGAGGGGTTCACTAAGACAGGTTTCACTGTATTGAGATAATTTGAAGAAAACATGTCAAATTATGATTTAGCACCCTGGTGACAGCACTACATGTATGGAAAAATAGCTTGGCAACTGGGCTGAATTTCAAATCCAATTCAAATTCTGAAATTTTGACCAACAATTATGAAACTCGTATGACATATCTCGCTAAGTTACCAATCTATTTTCATCACATATAGAAGCATAGCCTAACTCAGCAGTTCAAAATATAAAAGGGGAGGGGTTGTAGTTTTGTGTTGGTAAATAATGAAATCAATGGTTTAAGTAAAACCAATATTACAAAATTGTTTGTTCCAGCAAATTCAAAACAGAATACCACAATTCACCATGGCAACCACTTTTCCAAGAAGAGAATTCACACAAGGAGATATGAGCCAGAGCTTATTAGATCTGCAACTTGCTCCATCAGCAGCCATCGTTATTTTACCGGTTTGTTTCTAATTCTTTTATTTAATGACTATAACATAACCTTAGTATAGTGCACTCAGAGATGCAGGAGACCTATTAAGTTGGGTGTAGGAATTCCAATAATGTCTACTGCATGTAGCTCTTGTTCCCATTTATACCATTTTCCTTGGAGTGATTGATTGATTTTAATACCCTGACTTCAAGAGGTGAATGGGGGTCTTTGGGTCGAATAGATTTTCTTGATGTCTGATAAAGAAACATCAATTATTAGTTGGAATGTAGTCCAAAATGAACAAAGATTTGATCCCACTATAATTGAACCAACTGGCGAATGAATCTGACAGCCTGGTCCAAGGAGATATTAACTGGAATGATCGAAACTATGATTACCAAACCTTGTTATATACTGATCGCTCTCTTATGTTTTATATTTACAGGGATCTGGCAATACTTCAGTTTCAAAATCTACATCAACATCTAGCTGGTTCATGATACTACTGGCACCTTTTATTGCAATATGGACATTCCTTACAAATTTATTATTTGGTGCCCCACCATCCCCTCGAGGAGCATATAATCAGCAACAGTCTTCTCCTAGTAGTGAACCTACAACTACACAACAAAAGTAAGCTTCTTTGAATATAAGCTTTCACTAAGTTTTTTTGACATTGACTCAGTTTTACAAATGTACTATTCATTCTAATAAGCAAAGCAATTGTTCAAAATAACCATCAAAAAGAGGTTTAAAGAAAATTTATGAACTCTAATTGTAATCATCTTAACACTAGAATCTTAACCATCTTTGAAAAACTCACATTGGCTCTTGCTCTAAAATTAGATCAGCTCAGATCAGATGTTAGATCAGCTTAAAGGATAATCTAAGTATTAAAATAAATCCTCTGAAGGTTCATTCATGGCAGAGTAAAATAGCACATAAGTCTAAGAGGTTGATCGTCTAAGACATCCCCAGTCCCAAACTGAAAATTTTTCTCTAGTAGGTTAACTACTAGCCTTGCCCAAGTCGGTATTTTTTACTAATCTGATCTTGAATTATTACCGCCGGTCATAATAGAAATCAAGATAAGTGAAAGAAACCGATTTGGGCAAGGCTAGTTAACTAAACATTTGTTCCTTTCTCCCTATCTCAACCAGTAATTAATCCAATAGTGTTAATCGATTTTTAGTGCTTACAAAAGACCTGGTGGTGGAAAACAATCTGGTGTGAGTAGAAGAGAAGGAAATATCCACAGGTTTTCCTCGGAGGATGATGATGAAGATATGTCAACATACAATGGTAACTCAACTCAACAGCAGTAACAACATGTTCAGGATCTTGTGCAGTGATGGAAGTGTGGACATTTGCACCAGAAGTACCATTGTATGTTCAAGATTTACTATAAATTGTTACATTAGCTTGATGCTTCATGAGGGACGTGGAGGGGAAATTCCCCAGGACCCATTGTTAATATTTTGCACCAGGCATGTATTAACCAAACTTCGTTGTGAAATGAAGGAAAATGTTTAAAAACATTCTGAAAAACATACTTAGAACATTGCTTGTCTAATCAGGAGTACAATTTTAAAATTTGGACTTTGTAAAGTCAATGCTTGTTTTTTACTCTGACCAAGTTGTAAATTCCCAGAGTAAAATGGCAGTTTGTAATCACAGTTCATCCATGTTAAATTGCTTTGTAAAAGCATTATAGGTGAAAGTTATTTGATCCATGTATACTAGATTACTAGTGGGGTAGCAGCACAGTGGTGATATTGTCTGATCAGGAAAATGGAAAACTGTTGGTTGCTTGATGTCATGTAACAGTATAATGACACAAAATATATCATAGCTATTTTTCTAATTTTAAAAACCAGCCCATCATTAAAAATGCTTACACTTTTGTCATTTGTGTACAAGGGACAGTTTAATGTTTAAATCTTTTAAAGTTTTCACCAATAAATTTTGTTTAACATTTAGGCAGATTTGCTGTCAGCTAAGCTAAACAGTAATCATAAACTCATCACATTGAGAAGTTAACATTGTAAAACATATCATTTTCTTTTCCTTGAGAGTATTCCAGTAACTACCTTCATGCATGTTGGTAGTTACAAGATCTTCAGACTTAACTCTGTTGCTTGTAATTTTTTAAGTAAGATGTTCTGTCTAAAATGTCTCGGAGTGAGTGGTATAACAAAATGCCAAAAACGATGCCAACTGTCAATTATACTTATATAATTACTATTAACTGTTGTTTTGACTGTGCATGTGTTCAATTAAGTTCATGAATGGATGCATATTGTTGTAATTTATGTTGGAAATACATATTTTGTATTTAAGTTCATATTTTCTTTGTTGTTGTATTTTGAAGGCAATACTCTTGTTACATCTAGTTTAATATATCCCATATGAATAGGAAATTATTTTAACTAGCTTATCCATACAACAGGGATTTGATGCATAATCAATGGGTGATGTAATGTTCTTACAAGGGCATGAAATACCAGGAGATTTGGGCTACATGTTATAATTTATGTTTGATTATTAAATATTCAAAAGTCAGGCAAAGTGATGTCATATTTGAAATCTACATGTAAAACTACATCTAGAAATATTGTTTCGAAAATTGTTTATCAACTTTGAAAATTTAATTTTTTTGGAAAATCTTCCAGTTCGGGGAGATTCCCCATAGACCCCATGTCATGAAGTCACAAAAAGTGAAATATCTTTTCTTGTATTGGAAAGGTAACATTTTCTTTTACTGGACATATTTTAATTTGCATAACTATTAGATACGCAAGGGTGATATGAAAATTGAACCACTAAAACAGATAAAAATCTAAGTTAAAAGAAACTTTCTACTATACCCGCCATGCTATCTGACCCGAACGAGCCACCTGGTGGTGAAACTCGTAATTACCTACTCACATCTGAGTTTTTGAGTTTGATACTTTACATCTGCAATTATGGACTTTGTTTGTACTTGGCGTTGTCTTGTTGACTTTATATGAATCAGTTTTCTCAAAATCAGCCAAGGGCTTTGTTACAGATGGTGATATGAAATCTTGTATTTTGATTTCACATGTACACTGGTAAGTTTTCATGTTCTGTATTTCCCATCTAATAAATGCCATCTTTTTTTAGAAAATGAATACTTCCCTCCTTTCTAGGATTTTGGCTACAGCTTGTTATTCACATTGGTCAGATTTAAAATTATGACACACGATAAATCCGTTTGTGCAGAAATTACAAAATGCCCACCTTGCTTCAAATATTGAACCATACTGGAAATTCCTTCTTAAACAAAGGTCCTATGCCAGTGTAATCATAACATGATAGTCAATAAAAGGTGGAGCAAATCAGCAGATCAGATAACCAGTATTTAAAATTTAAAGCTAAAAATTACAATTTTCAGAGCAGGGAAAATGGCAGCCATTTTGAAATCAGAGGCCATCATCATGTCTCTTACTAGGCATCAGCATATAAAGTTTGGTTTTAATAGAGCAACCATAGTGAAAATCCTTCTCCAGCAGATCAATGGGATAATAATAGTTTCCAACAGAATTTTTAGACTTTTATACAAAAACATCCTTTATTTTGTTACAAATGCTTACATTAAATATAATACAAGTATTACTTGGTTTCAACTCATTCTGAAGCCTAAGGGACAAACATCATCGGAAAGCACTGATATCTTTCAATGTTCAATTCTCTTGTCACTCCCATTTCTTGAAATTCCTTTCTTTTGTTGAAAAGTACAATCTATCACAAAATTAGTCACAATGAACACTTCCAAAATAGCTCCATTCACTAGAAACACATTCCTTCATGAGAGTCCTTCCGTCGCCACCTTTTTAAATTGCAACTGCAATATTTGTCCTGTATTTCATTTCACTCAGTTGATTGCAAATGATAAGCCAAGACATTGTCATGTTCCTCCTAGTAGGGTTATCTGCCTTCAACGGCTTTATCTCTTATAATAACTGATTCTTCAAACTTGATCATAAATGTTGTCCCTTTATGCCAGTGAGCTGTTACCTTTGCAGGCTAAAAAGAAAGAAATAATTCATTTTATTACATTTGATTGTCAGCAATCATTTTTACAAATATATCTGAATTTAGATAGAATTTTGATAAAAATTTGGGAATATAAGCTTCCAATATCATGTACATTGTCCATCGCGATAATCACGCCCCCTTTGTCTTTATCCTTTCAAAGTCTCTCGCAAATGTATAACTGACAAAGCCATAGTTCACACATAATAAAGGAAGGGGTTTTCTCTTGATCTTAGTATTATTAATGACATTTTTCAGATACAAATAAGAATTATTATGTCTCATCTACTAAAGGAGGATGCCACAATTTTAACATTGCCAAAGAAATAAAAATATTTTTCAGATTAGGTGCGATTATACAGTATCTTTTGAATGTCTATGAATCAATTCTTTGACAATTAGTTCGTTTAATTATACTTACAAAATTACATCCATTAAGAATGGACTCAATGATACCAGCTGTAAATGCTGCACAATTAAGGCTACCTGGAAGAGAGAAACATGTCAGTTGACAAGTTATTATAGCTAGTCTTGCATCAAGCTCTTGTGACTCTCTCATTATGCTACTAACTGGCGAAGCTTCATAGAATCTACAGTATTTAGATCAAATATCAATGTGTAATTATGTCACAAATTATTGTTATTTATCAGGGGTCAGATTTTGTTGAGGAAAACATTGCACATTGATGTGAATGTGATGAAGTTACTCCAAACAGGATGGGAGGTGTAGATTATGTGAATTGTACTATTTTTAATACACTGTACATACACTATATCTATTCTTGCTACACAATGATGTTGTAATAATAGATAACAAGGCATTAACATGCAAAATGTCACCACCTGCCATTTGTTACAGATGCAGAAAAATTTGGAGACTATAACAATGTCATCACTTCTGGTGGTGACATAATAAATACTATTTTCAATTATGCAAACATTATACAAGTATTCTGTCAAAACTTACTTTTATCCTTAGGCACTGATATGAATTTATTCACTAAAGGTTCTTTTTCTATTATGTAATCTGAGATTTGTCAAGGAATACAACATCATCAGTCTTCATTCTTATGCTGGCTGTTGCCTTTAAAATGAAATTTTTATGATTGTCAATATCAAATCTTATCAAAATTCTTCCAACTTCATGAACTGAAGTGATATGTTTGAATCTACTGTAAATCAATAAATTAGCAATTTGTTGTCCCCAAAGATAAATGGTGGAAAGAATGCTGTATTGCTTTCAAAGAACATTTTAGATTTTTATTCAATAAAATTAAAAAGATGTCATTTCATTCTAGTAGAGAACAAAGGAGGCAATGTTGTCCATGTAGTTAATTGTCGTAAAAGGAAGGCATACATTGAGTCCCTCTACTCTAATGAATCAATACAACAAATATTAAGCCCATTTGTTTTGTCAAATCAAAAATTATTTCCATTTATCTCTCATTTGTATTAATATTTTTGTAAAAAGATACATGTCTTTTCATCATCATTTGCATGTTCTAGTTTGTCAGCTTCCTTTCCAAACAGAGACTGAAAATAAATCAAACATAAATACATGTATAGCAATGCTCATAAATAAATACAGATATCCTCAAATATTATCCATTATATCCAATGTCTGGGTACTGTAGATTGGGTTAATTTGGCGCACGCTTTAATTTTGTGAAATTGAAAAATTCGCCAATATAAATCTTCGCCAAAATTTAGAATGATCCCCGGGAATTATCTAGGGTATTTCGTCCAGTGTATTAAGGTCACTTCCAGTTTAGTTTTTTTTCCAAAAATATGAAAAAATGTCTCTCATAAATTGCCTCAGAACTGGTCAGTCACTCATTAATACTCAAAAACTAAAAAGGAAAAGCGCAGTAAAGTAGCAGCATCGATCGAGGTGCTTAATGTAAAGGATGATCTCACAAAAATGTACAAATGTGGTGAATATCGCCAGTGGTCCTCAAAAGAAAAAATGAACATATATAGCCAAACATGCCCATTTACATGGTAATTCGCAAACAACACGTAAGTTAATTAAATTTTTTTTCATATCCGCCAAATTAAATAGCCGCGAATATGCCAAAAATGGCAAAATCACCAAATTAAGTAGCGCCAAATTAACCTAATCTACAGTACTTGCCAATGATTGAGGCATATATTCGTATTTCAACTTGTGAATTTTGAATTTGTTCATTGTATACAAAATTAGAGAATAGAAACCATATAACATGTGCATTATTACTTTAAATAAAAAATAAATGTGATTCATACAATTTTAAGATGGGTGTGGAAACTGTGGATTAGTATCCAACTGTTTTGCATCTTCAGAGAAATAAAGCTGGGATCGAATTTGGAGATATATGAGAGTCAAATCAGAAAGTCAATCTGATATCTTAAAGCAAACTGTTCTCTTGAGAGAAGGGCTGGAGGAGTAACTGACCCAGATGGTCCTATATACTTCTTTGTAACTTACCTTCCAAACATTTGACTTGATGAATAGAAGCATGTTTAAAAGTTTCACTTCTCGCTTGAAGCCTCTCTCCCTAATGAGAATAATGTCCAAGATTTTGACCCCAACATGCTGACCCATCTCTGATAACCTGAATAATGCATAAAATAAGACATTTGTAAACATACTAAACAATAAGCTATAAGTAAATGAATATACATAGAATGAATGTAGATTTGGCTTAAAACAATAGCAGTTTTACAGTAATTTGTGCGGCCAATGTTGACAGACGGACAAACAGACAGACCAACGGATGGCTCAATGGATGGACCAACATTCGCCTAATCGATCCCTTAGGCCAAACTAAATCGCACACGGAAAATACTGGGAGTACAGTATATCAAAACTCTTGCAGCCAAGGATGGAATGGAGAGGTGTTCAGGTGCCCTTTGTGTTTGTTCGACTTCCTTACTTAAAAGAGAGCAGTGTCTTCACTTCTTCAGTTTACAATAAATCTCTGAGCTCACTGAGCCAATCAGAATTTGTCTTCGAAATACAGATGAATTTCTATGTTTGATCATTTCTTCTGATGTCATCGTATAGTTAATGAGTATGCATTTAGCGAGTGTTCCTTCCAGTTCGCTGATTGGTTGAGAAAAGGTCAGGGCGGTAGGTTCGTAAGGATTTATAACTGGGCTGTCATAGACACTGGTCGTGGTCGTGCAGGTACATTTTGATATAGGCCCTATAACACAATGGGGAATAAGTGTTTCATAATTGCCATAATTGGTCATGAAAGCCATAAAGTATAATAATTATAAGCATAATATATAGCATACTGTAAACCAAAGGCACCAGAACATACTACAGCCCATTTCATTGTTTTATTTCGTCAGTAAAACCTAAAAAAGAAATCAAAAAATCATTGTGCAATAATATATGGAAAAATATATTCCTTTTGTTCATATTATGACATTTGTATGTCTTGGATTGCTTCTAGTTTGGCTAATAAAGTATGTGGCCTCTTATATTTTGATGCTTCTCTGCCATAGTATTTTCAAAAAGATAAACATGGCTGAAATCCTTTAAATTACAAGACGGCATTGGCTTATTGCACTAAAAACTAAATAATCTGAAATATACAAATGTCATTCATGTACAATATGAATATACTTTTCCATGTATTATTGCACAATGGTCTCCTGATTTCTTATTTTTGGGGTTCTAGATCTACTGACGAAATAAAACAGTGAAACACATGCTATCTATTGCAAGACTTATGCCTGGCACAACCGACACCATGTTATTAAGTGTTTTTAAGTTTCGCAAGGATCCTGCCATGACCGTGGTATTGTTATCGTGAAAGCCTGGTATAACCGTGACAATGCTATATTATATTGCAAGGCCTGTCATGACCATGGTAATGTTAAAGCCTGATATGACCGTGACAATGCTATAATTATGCAAGGCCTGTCATGACCGTGGTAATATCAAAGCCTTATATGACTGTGGCAATGGTTGTAAGGCGCATCATGACCGTGGTAATGTTAAACCCTGATATGGCCGTGACAATGTTCACGTTATTGAATGAGATTAGAATTATAGTTTGTGAAAATGAATTATGAGTTAAAGTAGTAGTAGTAGATCTAGTCTAGATTTACATATTTAAGGTAGATAAACGATGAAATTTTTCATAACAGTATTCTCATGCTACTAAATATCAATTATATAACCATTTTCATGGTCATATTGTGCTTTAACATTACCACAGTCATGACAGGCCTTGCAACCATTGTTACGGTCATATCAGGCTCTAACATTACCACAGTCATAACAGGCCTTGCAACCATTTTGACTGTCATATCAGGCTTAAGGTGCCATGATACTTAACAGGAAATGACAAAACAGGAAGTGACAAAAATAATTGATGATAAATCTATTTGGAACTTGTTATTTTCCATGTCTGACCAGGAAGTCTTGCCTATGCGCATACGTGTAACTGGAAGCGGAAATCTCATGGCATGGAAGCGCATGCGCAATACCCAACTTCCTGAGAAGCCATCTTGAAAATTATCAACTCTTCAACATTTTTCGTCAATTACCCTGTCTCCCGACTCCAGCTAGCTCGATATGGTTAGAAAAATGATACTTTAGAATGTTATGCATCGACTGAAGTGGGGTAAATGTTTCCAAGATTTCTTACATTTTTAAAAAAGACCTTTATAAGAGCAGGGAAAACCCCATGATTCAATTGATGACATACGATTTCCTCCTTCGCGCATCTCCTTTCCCGGAAGTATGTATATTTATACTTCCCTCCATCTTAAGAGGAGGTAAAACCCCACGATTCAATTGATGACATACGATTTCCTCCTTCGCGCACCTCCTTTCCCGGAAGTAATTACCCTCCATTTTGGTTTTCAAAGTTTTTAAATTGACCTAGATTTAAACCAATCAATGATCGACTCGCTAAACCAATCAGCAACGATGTCATCTCAATACAGAATTACATTATAAGCATATGTCATCTTTGACCCTGGGGTTTCTCCCCCTCTTCTCCATCCTGGTTTTCAAAGTTTTCAAACTGACCTAGTTTTAAACCAATCAACGATTGACTCGCTAAACCAATCAGCGACGATGTCATCTCAATACAGATTACATTATAAGTGAATGTCATCTTTTTGAACCCTGAGGTTTCTCCCCCTCTTGACCTTTATAAAGGACTGGGAATATCAACATATGCAAAGCTATCTCTCAGGAGATAGCTTTGTGCAAACTAAGTAACGGTTGTGCCAGGCATAAGTCTTGCAACAGATAGGGTCTCCAGTGAAATGGGCTGTAGTACGTGTAGATGTTCCGAAAAGAAAATCCACCCTCACTGTCTGTGTACCAAGGAAATAGCCACTTCAGTCCATTCTACTATCTGTTTAGGTGCCTGTGATCTATACATTCCATGAATGACTTACTTATTTTGGAGTTCAGGAACTGTGGCCACTCTATTTTGACAATATTGCACGATTTCAGAGAACAATAGAGCAAACGTGCTCAGGTTGATCTGAAAAATGAATAAGTATAATTAATCTTCGTTGCTATGTTTAATTAAAACTAACAGAACAAGTGGTAAAAACCATGCATACCTCTGATTTGCCCTTGCTCAAAGGACGATCCAAAACACTCGGTTTTGTTTTCTGTGTTGACGCCATTTTGAATGCAGGTCACGTGATTGTGACAGACTGTATCTAAGATTAGCTCGTTTAGTTTCTTTCACTTCTCGTAATCTCAATTTCGTCTCTATTATAAGAGATGCTATTATCAAAGTTTATAAAAAAGGTTATACTCTCAAAATATATTATGATTATTATGTGTATTTGTCTCAAAGTGTAATATCAGAACATACATTGTTTGTCATGACCCATATTTTAGCGTCGTCTGCCCTTCTGGCTGTAGACATGTCTATCCTCTCATGATCTTTATTTATAGCTGTTGCACGGATTTATCCTTTTAATATGTTTGCGATAAAGTATTGTGACACATTGTAGTATAAAATGGAGCAAACAGAATGGCAAAGCGCAAACGGTAGGTGTCTAAACATTGGTCTAAAGAATGTGTTTCAGGTGCGTCAGTGTCAGTCACTGGCTGAGTCAGCAGTTCAGATAAATTCATGGCCATTATGTCAGTCACCTGGTAATAAATAGTAACAGTCTTTTTACTAACTTTAAATCCCAAAGCATGGATTGTAGAATTCAACCACTGTTCTGTCCATGACATGCATTTCGCTAGAATGAGCTGATTCTGCATTTCCGTCATCTCATCACACTTGAAAGAAGTTAAAACCTTTCTGGCCCAGGGAGGGGGGGCACGCATCCCTACCCTGGATCCACCACTGTCTCCTCTTGACATTGTAGATCTATGGCATTTCAGATTCGACTAATAAAAAAATGGGTCAGACTGGTTTGGTTAGAGGGGGGGGGGGGGGTGATGCTCTACTAGAGCCATAAGAGTCACCCCACCACAGCTGAGCTGTTACAACTTGCTCTTACGTCTCAGGGGTCGCTGTTTCAATGGTATTGAACTGAAATTTGGAGGGTGGTGGAAAGAAAACATCTACTGCTTACAGACTTTTGTTTTAGATCCCATTCAAACAGCGCCAGAAGAGGCAGAAGCTACAGCAGATGATGTGCATGATGATTTTGGTGAGGAGGATTTTTTCAAAGAACTGTCCCAACTGGACTGCAGTCCTTATAGTCCCACAGATCCAGTTGATGGCAGACAAGCAGACCAGACTGAGAGTCAGGACAGTGGACTGGATGCATCAGCTCCAGTAGCAGCAGCTAAATGTCCTCTAGATTTAAGTTTTCCATCTCCAACTATTGCAGAGGCAGCATCTACTAATTCATATGATCCAAAGAGTGAGCAAAATATCAAACTTGAGCATCACCCATATGTGATTGTTGATGAAGAATTTGGCCACTTACATACAGGAAATGAAACTACTGAGGTAAGGAAGGAATCTACTATTGTTTTTTTTAATACAATGTGATACACATTTGTATTGTGCTTGCATCAGATGCATCATTGTTGGTGCCGATCACATTTTTGTGAATACATAGAGACAAAATATACAAAAAATTGAAGATGGTGATTAAGATTTTTATTTTCTTAAAATTGATTATAATTTTTTAACTTTACAGTGTGCAAATTTAAAAAATCTGATGGTCTCTTTTTCACCCACTCTCTTATTCCTGAACATAGGGATCAAAATGTTTTCTAAACGAAGTTGGTGACACCAACTTTTTTGTTTGATTATGAAGCATAAATGTGTCATGGACTCATGGTCATTTCCATATAAGTATACTGTAACTTTATTCTTGCATTTGTCACCTAATTTTTAGGCATCTTGGAAGATCAATTTCATTTGATATTAACAAAGAAATGTTTTATTTTTTTGTCTTTAGGTGCAGCTTGAAGAAAGGGACATAGAAAGTCAATCTGCAATAACACGACTTCGCAATACATTAGTACCAAAGGCAAGGTGCAATATCCCATACATACCAAACATATCTCCAATAACAAAGGTAAATGAGTTATTACATCAAGTAGAATTTATTCATACAATATATTAAATATGCTTATTAGTTGATGGAAAGTTTTATCATAAATCTGCATGATAGTTTATGAATGGCTGCACAATTAGTATTCATTTGTGATTCATTTACTGAAGAAAGTGCACATGCTGGATCAGTATTGTTCTGAGATAAGTACCTACCTTTCTAGATTTATTTTGATTTCACTGTCTGCTTTCATTTATAGGAAACTGTGTTAGATGAAGCTGCAAACTTCATCAATGTAGTACAAGAACAGATCAAGCAAGCCTTGATGGGACATTGGAACCATCCCATTATCACACATTCCCCTCTAGAATATGCTTCAGACACAGGTAGGCCTTAAGGTACAACATCTCAATCATCCTTTATACTATGAACACTTATGCTCATATTCAAAGATTAGTGTAGCTTTAAAAAATTTGAAAAATGGATTGTTTGTAAATACAGTACATGTAATTGAAATATGGAAATTGAATTATTTCAATTTGTATATTTTGTGATGTTGACAAGAAAATTCAACTTTAAAGAACTAATATCTGAATATGGAAGTGAATCAAACTACTGCTTAATACTTCATGACAATATTCGTTGTCCATTGTCATTGCTTTTTGACACTTTTTCTGTTTATTCCAAACAGTTGATCCTAAACGACCCAAGAATGGCTTCATTAGATTCTCTATCAAGTTCCGCAAAGACATTGCCACAGAGCACCCAAACTTGGATAACAGAGAAATATCCAGAATATTGGGATCCAAGTGGAGAAAGTTATCTGACAAAGAGAAGAGACCATTTGAGTAAGATTTAAAAGGAATATGATCAAAAAATAAAACCACTCATACAGACATGACTGATGATGTAAAAATAATTTTGTTCTGAAAACATTTTGTAGTGGCTTAAAGTCAAATTGTCTCCTTATATCAACCTGCAAGATGAACCAATAAGCTCATCATAACCAGGTATGGAACAAAGTTCTAACCATAATTTGATGTAATTCATATCTTCAGAGAGGAGTTCATAGAAGAGATGGCTGAAAGAAGACGGGAAAATCCAGACTGGAAGTATGGAGGTGTAAGAAAGAAGCTAAAAGCTGACCTCATAGAGCCAATGCCCAGTCGACTTAGACCTAGAGCCAAACTCAAGCGCAAGGTTTAAGTTTAATTCTTTTTTCCTACTTATCACAAAAGATGATTTTTTAATGCTTCAAAATTATGTGGCATTACCAATTAGGTTATTAATGTTTGTATATTGTATCCCAATTAGATTCTTGCAGCAATACTTTTTGTTGTTGATAAAACTATCAAATATTTTGTTAATGCATCTCTATTATGATCATCTCATGCAGTTGATACTGAAACTGTATTGTCATTCATGTATTGATCAAAATTAAATTTTGTACAGAAATCATACTTTCAACTGTTCAAGGTCATCATGCAAAAATATTTTCATGCATTAAAATAATGTCATTTGTTTTTCAGCTTCCAAAGCTCACTCGCTCTTACAAACGTCGCAAGACCCATTCCCATCACTACCAAGCTGGGCACAGTGCCTTCCGTCAGAGGTACCCCATCTTAGTGTTCCACAGTAACTGGGTGCAATGTGATCTCTGCAATAAGTGGAGGAAGTTGCCCCCTGGAGTCAATACATCAGAGCTTCCAGACAAATGGTATGAAATATTGTTATGCAATTAACCTGTTGCCTGAGCTGATGTGTTGAAAAAATTTAAACAATGTTAGAAGTTAGAGAAATTGTAGTTGCAATATTGGAAGCTCTGAAGTTATTACAATGATGTTATGACAATAGTAAAACCTTTGAGTTGGAAGAACGATATTGATAGCGAAAATCCATCCAATCTTTAAATGCCTTTATAGTTATCATTTTATGTCATCACCACGGGTGGATGGTATTCGGCAGTTAGCATAGGCCCAGGTTAAGTACTGTAGCAATCCATACATATGTATGAATTTTATGTATGGATTACTACAGTAGTTAACCTAGGCCTATGGCGGTTAGTGTTCAGCTTTTGGTAGTTGGTGTTCAGTGGTCGGCAACTGTAACAATTGACAGGTGTGGACATTTTGCATGTTTTATAAGCTACTGTAAGTTTCTAGATTAAAACAGAAAGAGGAAATAAGAGAAACAAAGTTTTATCAAGGTATTGCATTGGACTTGCAGAGCTTTTATTTTAATCTAAATTTCAACTGAATAAATGGATTATTAAAAAATACATTTCTTACCCCCAGGTTCTGCTCACGTAATCCTGATTTGATGCACAACTGCTGCGAAGTTGAGGAAGAAGGTGAGACAACATCCACTGGTAGCACTGTTCACCTCCAAGCTGTAGCAGCTGAAAACAACCATAGTCCACAGCATACATGTGAAACAACTGACAGCCAAAATGTACATGTGCCAAGCTTTGAACCGAATCTACCAAATATTGATCAGTTAGATATTCACAGTGATACCTCTAGTGCATCAGAGTCTCATATTCATATGTCTGTCAATGAATTCCCAAGTAATGAGAATGCAGAGGTGATTCTAGAGCCATATGATACATCTCCAGTCAAAGGAGCTCAGACTGTGTTCACCTATAACACACCACTCATCAAATCAGGACAAACAGGATTTGCTAGGTCACCTCTGAGTGGAACCCATCTTAATGATATAACATCTCTCGCTATGAACCAACCTGATTTTAGTAGAAATCTCATCATTGACACATCTCCTTTATCAGAGACACAGCCACACCATCTTGACACATCACCATTATCCAGCAATGGGTCAAATTTTAGTGATTTTAGAGTGAGCTTGGATCACCTAGATGTTATACAGGATGGGATGGTTGCTTTAGGAGAAGAGACTGGACAATTTGACATACAAAATTTCACACAGGATGACTTGGAAAACACTCTCAATGGATCAGACCAATCTGTGTCATCATCCAACTGTATAATGCCAAATGAAAATGAAATATGATCAGGACTGAGACACTATATGTCTGTATGTTCAGACAGGATGACTCAGAGTACACTCTCAATGAATCAGATGAAACTGTGTCCTCATCCAGCTGTTTCTCGGCTGTAAATTAGACAAAATGAGTGGGGGAAAAAAGCAATCACATCCTCCCTCACTATGGCGCTCAACTCATTTTGTCTAATTTACGACTGTGTGTTTAGTGCCAAATGAAAATGAAATGTGATCAGGAAACACTTAATATGTTCAGACTCTCCTACCTAACTCTTAGGAAGGCATAAGCCACCCAAATGGTCTGATTGGATTATTCAACATGTTCAATAGTAACAGTAATACCTGTAAAAGAACACCACAACATTTCAAAGTCCTATTACACGTTATACTAAACCTCCATTACCGATTATAAGTGAAACACTTCCCAAGTGGTATAATGTTTTGATGTGCTGAAGGTGTTCTTCTTACACAGGTTCTACTGTATGAACATTAAATGTAATCTGAATCCAATGAGAAAAAGTTTTGACAAAATAATTCAATAAAATCATGAGGCAAATGGGTTGCTCTTGCTCATGAATGCCAAATGGAAGGTAGAACTTTTTATTTCTGATGGATGGTTTAAAAACTTTCAGATTTCAGAAGGTTTATAATTTTCAAGTCCACCTGGTGACATATTATTATTAATAGTCTCAAACATTTTTACGGATGGTGTTTGGCAGTTGGTGTTGGTTGGTTGGTGTTCAGTGTGTAACAAATGGTAGGTGTGGTGATATTTTGCATGTTAATGCCTTGTTTGATAGTTTTAAGCTTGTTACATGCATATGTGAACGTAGTATAGCTTACTGTAAAGTAGGAATTTTTATGTGCATGGAATTATGTGTTGATAAAAATTATTAATCAGTTAATAGCACCCTATTTGTATACAAATTTGCAAAAATACTTTTCTCTGCCCATATATCTGTCAAATAAGGTCAAATAAATTTCATCATGACTTTTTATTTGACCAAATCAATAAAAATTTTAATTTTCAAAAATTGGTAAGATCACGAAAATTAATCTTAAAGAATTGCTACTTTTACAGTAGGCTATAATAACATAATGTGATGTGTTAAATAAGATGTTTCTTCATTGTGAATCATGTCTAAACAATACTGTAATATTTGTAAAATATTGTTATTGATGGTTGTAAGAATCATGTAATATTGACAAATTGATAGAAGAACCTGATATGTACATCCAATTACAGCTTCTTTCTAACTGGCCTTATTTAGTGGAAATGACACATACTGTAAGGTCACTTAAAAAGGGCACATACACATTTCCCCTTCTTTTACTTATACTAACTAAGTGTAATATAGAGTATTTTAAGAATATTTGTTCTTAATCTGACATTATTTGAAGTTGATGGATTTGAAAAGTTTGCCAACTTATATCCTCATCAAAATCCTGGGTTTGGCTTTACATGCCAGATAAATATTGTACAGATTACCCAAGAATTCTACTAGCATTCTATCAAATGCGTAAATACATGTATGTGTTTTTTGTCTGCTACACTTAATTGTGTTAAAACAGTGATTGCCTGGTGAACATAGGGATGACCAGAAACTAGGGTTTTCTTTTGCCTTAACTGATTTGTTAAACCAATCCTTAAGGTAGAACTTCACTGTTCATTGCACAGTCAATACATGCATCTCTGATGCCAAAAACGAAAACTGAATAAAACATAGATAGGCTTGTACTTGTTTGTTTGAAATATTTCACCAATTTATCAAATGTCGCATGGCACACTTATGTTGATCTATCAAGAGATTTTTTGGCAATATGAGTCATTATATGCAATGGAATAACAGAGTTATTTTTGTTTTCTCAAGATCCAGACAGTGAATTTTCATAAATATTTTTTAAATACTTTTGGTTTCCCATTGAGAATGATCACAAGTTTTATAAAGAGAATCTGAATTAGGCTATGCAATTATTTTATTTTAAAAAATGCCTTTCCTCATTGAAACCAATGTTAATTCAAACATTTTTTTAGAAATGACCAAACGATCAATCTTTCCAATTTTCACATATTTTTTTGTTATAGGCCTACTTACTTATACTTACTTGTGCATAAGTATATCCTTCACCTAGATTTTTTCAAGTCAAGAAAATCTGAATTGTAGAAAAATAGTTGATGGACAGTGAAGTTCTACCTTAAATGCAATATTGGGGTATAGTCTTGTTACCACTCGCTGCTTTTGTAATTACAATGAATTAGTAGAGATTTTGCAACTCACTTATAGCATGTTTATTATTCCCGCATAGCGTATAACTTATGAAGTATTTAATTACGTCGTTATTTATTGTGCAACTCTATATGTTCACAAGTGTGATATTCTTACGTTGTGTGGGTGAAGATTTATAAGAATATCACACTTATGGATGTATAGAGCTGCGCAATAAATGATGACGTAATCAAAAGCTTCTTAAGTTACACGGAAATAATAAATTTGCTATAAATGAGTTGTGAATCCTCTCTACTATGACAAGTATTTACCTTTATGTGCAAACAGGAGACAAAGTATACACAGGAAATGTGATGTTTTAGTTATGATGGTCCATAAAACTTCCAGTTTTTTAGCTTTTTTTCCCAACATGTACTGTACAGAACAAAATAATTAAAGTTAATCACTTTATTTTATAAATAAGTTTTCTATGCTCCCAAGTTGAAAATAATATTTACTACAATAAAAGACAAATGATAATGATTATCCACTCATGTTTAGTGATTATAATTAGTAATTACATGTTGTCAATCTAAACACAACTACAAGTAGGCTACTTAATGTGTTCTAAGAATATTTACTATCCATACAAGTATTTACAAAATCCACAATATTTAAATAGATTTACAGTACCAGGTTTAATGATAACACAAATGATAAAAATATAGTTTGGATTACATTTTTGCTTTGCATTTCAATTTACAATTATGAGCTTGGCATAATGGGGAATTACTAGGGTAACAATTGAAGAACAAAACAATACATACAGCCTGAAAATCATGCCCATGGTAAATGTCACATGAAAATGGATCATAGAGTCATTTTCATTTTAGCTGTATGTTAGAAATGTTAGCCTGTTTAACTTATATCATTATCCCATTTCATTTTTTCATTTTACTGTACAACAACATTTTGATGGCAATTACACTATTAATATTATCCTGTTTTAAAAGACAGGATTAATTTACGTTTGTTTATTTAGAATGGTTGACAGATAACTTTTACTATATTACATTGTACTGTTATTCTGTTATTAGATTAATTTATTTTACAAATGTTATCATTTTATAAATACTCATATAATTAAATATTTTTGTCTAAAATAAACAAAGTGGATAATAAATGATGACATATAATTTAAACCTTTTTTGTTTGTTGCGTTAACATTCTGTCTACCTTTAAGAATTAATGAAATGAAAGGAATCTGTCCTTTTACTAGTTACTACTTAACTAAGAATTGAAAACAAAACTCTTAATACATGTAAAAAGTGATCTATCCAAAGCAAACAGAATTATTCTACCAATCTACAATAGGCTAAGTTACAACACACATTACACATACAAATCTTTATTGATAAATGATTAAAATAAGCAGACTGTCTCTCATTCAGTTGCCTAGGCCTACAGACTTGAAGCATTATGGCTATAGACATACTTCAGTCCTAAGCTGCACATCAATATCATAATCAAAATATATGGCAAATTGATTTAATGGAAAAGTTCTCTTTTTGACCAAAACAAATTCCATTTAGGAGGAAATACTAATGCTATCAAGATGGAACTATGTATGTAAATTATATACAGTATCATAGTCAATTGCTTGCATATGGTCACAACACAGAATATTTTTATAATGTACATGTACAAGCATGCAAAGAACAAAATATAAACACTCATGTTAAAGTTGTTAAAGCACACATTTGGATCAGCTAGATTTATAATGATGTCTGAACTAAATCAGTATTTATGATAGTTTCCCCTGAGGATATAGACACTGAATCCATGTCTTTGTCAGTAGTATCTAACACTACAGAAGAATCTTCACAAGTACAAGTACATTTTCCATGACTCTCATCAACTCCATGACTTTCACTAGCACTATGCTTTTTATCCATTTTTGTACCAAACTCCTCTCCTTCACTTGAAGCTAAATTTAAACTGTTTATACTTTCAACTCTCTTATTCTTAGTTACTTTCTTCATTCTCTTTTTAGATTTCCGATCTCCATCACTGTCTGTGTCATTGATCATTTTCCACATATTGCGTTCCAAGCGTCTTGCAAGTTTGTTATCTTCAGCTATAGCAGTGTTGGGCTTAGATCTTCTTCTTTTCCCTTCAACAGTAGTGATCTCAAATATATTTCTATAAACTGGTGCCTCATCGTCTGAATCTGCATACATTATCCTTGGCTTTCTTTTTTCTTTTACATGATCTTTATTGTATGACTCAACTCCAGATTCTATTGCAGCCTTTATTGGATCAGAAGCACCATCTTTCTTAGCTGCATTTATACGATTCACATTTTCCTCAATTATGTCAAAGGTTTTGGTTGACTTTTCAGTTTTATCATGAATACTTCTATTTTTTGGTTTCTTTTGTTTAAACATCTTTGTAATTTTCTGCTTGCTTTGCTTTGTTTTCTTCAAACTAGTTTGTCTTTTCACAGTCTTTTCAACCTTTGCAGGAGCCTTTTTTCTATTCAAATTGATACCATCAGCCTTTTTTCTTTCTTCAGGTTTTTCTTTACTGTCTAATTGATTATTCAGCCACATGATTTCATGCCTAGTGAGCATTTGAAGATGTGTAGTCTCCCAGTTGTTTTCTACCGATAAAGCTGGGCTCACCAGTGACTCTTCATCCTTCTTAATATTGTCATCTTTCAAATCCACTGGAACGCCAACAGTTTCTTCTTCAGCACTGCCATTGTCTGTTTTATTGCCATGTGTAGGTATTTCCGATGCTGCAGAATGACATTTATCCATTTTAGAATGCTTAGTCACCTGTTTTGCTTTTGTGTTATGTTTTCTTTTGTGCTTCCTCCCTCTTGTGTCATCATGTGAATTGGCGACCCTTGTTTTGGTATCATCAAAGGCTGGGTCTATATCAACATCATCATTTAAAGCAACAACCTGAGGTATTTCATTTGTATTTACATCTGATATTTGTTGGAGCTGAGCATTATCTTGGTTTTGTAACAGCCAGTGCATCTGTTTTCTCTCGGCTTTGGTCCGAACTCTACCAGTAGATGAAATGGAGCATTCCCTGGGAGACACTTTTGGAGCTTGGTACATGTATACAAGATCACTTGGTTGTACTACAGCATCTGATGGTTTGGTAACAGTTTTCGATGGTATTGCTTGTGCAGGTAGAGAAGATGTTTCAACATTTAGAAGTCCAGTCTTTTCATTCAATGTAATTGTTGGACTATCAGATGCTGATATTTCATCTTCTAGTTTACCTGTTTCATAATTGAGCACTTGTTTCCATGGTACAGAAACAGGGGGTGAAGGAGATTCTACTCTGGATTGTTTCTCACTTGAATTGAGACTAGGTTTTTTAGTACAAGGCTCCCTCCATGCTGATTCAGCTTTATTACCCACACTCGGTGGAACACTTTGTCTCCTTATGTTATGTCTCTTTAAGTCATGACGTATTCTCTTTTGAAGCATCTCCTTATGATACAATACAATTGGTGATAACTGTGTTGATGAGGATTCACCACTTTTGGCATTATAACTTGTGTTTGTTTTCGTATCTGTGTCAGTAACAACATTAAGTACAGTTGTATGTGCTATTCTATGCTCTTGTATAGGTGGCTGTTTGTTTGAATTAGCTTCTGTATCACTTACATTGCTAATAGATGCTGAATGCACTAATTTATGTTCATTTATAGGTGGCTGTTTGGTGACATCTTGATTGGAAGTGTCTTTTACATTGGATGGTACACATTTGGTGCCTTCCTTAGATGGGCATTCAACCTTCTTATGTGATTTATTCTTGTCAAATTTAGACAAACTTTCTTTGATAACAGTTGCCATGTTTCTCCTTTCCTTGTCATTCATTTTCAGATGCTCCAGATGTCTATATTTCCCAAGAGGAGAACATCCTCTACCTTCTGTTTCTGAGAAGCTAAATGGGTCAGAGTCTTCTACCAATTTTGAAGTGTTTGGCTCACTCACTTTGGTCATTTTCCTGGTGTACATACATTTTGGTCCTGACTCATTTTCCTTAGGACTAAAATTTCCTGTTGAATTAATGGTATGATATCGTCTAGAAGGTGAAATAACAGGTGACTTTTCTCTGTCGTTTTGCTTTTCTGAGAAGCTGTATGGATTGGAGTCTGCCATTAATTCTGAAGTGTTTGGCTCACTCACTTTGGTCATTTTCTTGGTGTACATACATTTTGGTCCTGACTCATTTTCCTTAGGACTAACCTTTCCTGTTGAATTTAAGGTATGATATCGTCTAGAAGGTGATATAACAGGTGACTTTTCTATGTCACTTTGCTTTTCTGAGAAGCTGTATGGATCAGAGTCCTCAAACAAATCTGGAGTGTTGGGTGCACTCACTTTGGTTGTTTTCTTGGTGTAAACATACTTTGGGCCTGGCTCATGTTCCTCAGGACTAATCTTATCTGTTGAATTAATTGTAATGTACCTTTTAGAGGGTGAAATTATAGGAGACCTTATTCTGTCATTTTGCTTTATCATGCTACCATGAAACTCATTATGATCCCCCGACTGATGTACATCAATATGTAACTCTGTTAACTTGGAGAACTTATTGTGATGATCATGTTGTTTTTTATTTTTTAGTATATCAGCATTCAATTTTTGGAATTTATTTGAACTTAAATTCTTCTTGTTGATCCCATCAGATTTAGTTTCTACTTTATTCACAAGTTCACCTTCTGGCAGCATAGTTTTTTCAAACATTTCATTTTCATGTTTAGTCGGTGGGCAATGTTTCTCTCTAGATTTAGCTTCTTCATCAGAAACAGTTCCTTTGAGCATTTTATTTTGTTTGGTTTCCACAGATTTTGTAACTTTAGAACCATTATTCCTGCTCTTTCGCTTTATGGGAAAAACAATAGGAGCATCTATGTCATCATCAAGAGATTCACCAAGCAGACCAGCAGTAATACTATCAACTGCTCTTCTTCTTGCCAGACGTATTGTACCTGACTTTTTCTTTGATGTTAGTGTGTCTGGATATAAGTCTGGTATAGCTAGAGAATCATTCTCAGTAGATTGAGTGTTATTTTCTCCTATATTTGTATACTCATCTTGATTACTACAGATTTGAGGTGCAATATTTGTACTATCGCTGGTCCCATCATCAGTCTTGGAGTCTTTGTTTCCTTTTTCCTCCACAGAATCCACTTTTGTTTTTGCAGTTGATTTAGGCCTGTATCTTCTATTAGGCCTGGTTTTGGTTTTGATAGATATTGTCCACACATCTTTCTTGGGAGTTGTTGAACCAGTGACAGCGACTTGAGTTACTGTTTTTTTCTCAGGATATTTAGGTAACTCTGTAAGCATCTGCTCACCATCAGGAATGATCCCTGTGTTTGGCAAGCATTTCACATTTTCAACAACACTTCTCACTTTTAGTTCTGGTGGTTTCATTTTAGAAACTAATACCTGATCCTTAAAATCCTTTTCAAATTCATTTACTGATTTACTTTCAGACAACGTTATTTCTTTAACAGCTCCAATAGTTGCCAATGGAATTTTAGAGGCTTCAACTTCTTCCTTAATATGAGTTTCTGAGGTGGGCTTGATCGTATCAATGTCACCAACTTCCAGGTGGATTTTATCATTGGTCAGTCTATTTATCCTTTCCTCAGGTTTTTGCACTATTAATTCATTTGAAGGTTCTGTCATTTCTTGTATCTCTACATTGGTTTGCTTTAGATGTTGCATATCTTTCAAAGCTGGTTGTAAAATGGGTGGTTTGTCTGGCGTGTGAAGCTTTCTCCTTGGACGCAACTTATGCATGCCATCTGGAATAAGAGTTGGGATACACTCCTCTGGAACCTTTCTCTGTTTTCTGTCCCTCAGTGATTTTTTTGATTGGAACATCTGGGTTATTTTCTTTGTCTTGAGACTCTTTTTCATTTTTCCAATTTTCTTCTTCATTAAGGCTGCTTTCATTTTTGACTTTCGTTTACTTGGCGTAGATTTTAGAGGTATTTTTGCTTGGTCTTGAGGTATATCTGTACGAGTCTGATCTTGTTCAATTGTGATATCATCTGACTTAAGTCTACTTGTCTGTTCATTGTCATCTATAAGTTTCTTCATATACTGGGTGGTGGGGCTAATTTTAATTTTACCACTAGCCACTTCATCTATGATATCTGTAATGACACTGCTTCTATTAGGAACCTCCTTTTTCTTCATTTTTTCTCTCTTCCTTCTATGACCTTCTAAGGTAAGTGCAGTTCTGCGGCGTCTTTTTACTCTCCTGAGAACAGTTTGAGCAATCACATTTTTCTTAACGTGAGAAACTTTTCTAGGTTTGTCAGACCTTCTCTTCTTTAAATGCGTGACAGGAATTTCCTCCACAAGCTTATTAGTCCTACTTGGAGACCGAGTCTTCACCATAGCCCTTGTCTTTGGAGCATGTGTTTCAGTTGATTTAACCGCAAATGGTTCTTTAGCAAGTTGACCCTCACTTACCATTTTAATCACATCATCATATGATTTATCTCGAAGTCTCTTTGCAGCTAATCCTGATAATCGCTTTGACTGACGCATCAAATTTTCTCTTATTTTTGAAATATTGTCCATTCTGTTGTGTTGTCTTGTTTTTCTAGCAACAGCTGCAAGACTTATATCATCAGAATTACTTGGACTCACTTCAACTTTATTAACAGTTTCTTGATCTTTAGCAATCTTAATATCCTTTTCTTTCTCAAGTTCCTTTTCTTTTACATCTCTTGCTTGTTTCTTTCTGTACCATGAACTCCATTTGTGATTTCTGTTTTTGGGTTTAGCTTTCCTTTGAATTGGGGATGGAACTTCTTTTTTCGATACTAATTTTGGGGTATTTTCATTCATTTTCCTAAACTCTTCAGCATGCCTTTTGCTATTGGCTAGCAGTTCCTTTCTTTTGGAACAGAATACTTTAATATGGTTCAGAAAATATCCCTCATAGGCAAATTCTCTTTGGCAAAATCCGCATTGGTATAATATTGCCCCTCCTTTCTTTGTTCTAACAGGGTTATGATTCTGTATTTTTGACTTCTTTCTCGTTTCAAAACATCGCTTTGCTTGAGTTTTGTGTCTTCGGAATTGCTTTTTTCCAGCAAAAATTTTTCCACATACCCAGCAGATTGGCATATCTGCCGCAACCCATTCCTGCTTTTTATCAAGACTTTGAGCACTACCTTTATTTTCCTTGTTCTCATCACTCATTTGCTTGTTCTGTGTACTAGATGGTTTTGTTGCCTTTGGTGGTGTGACAGTTTCAAGTAAAGGTTCATCCTCCTCATCATCAGCATCTAATCTATTCAACTTATATTTTCCTCTTTTATATTCTTGACGCTTTATTTTCTTAGCACTGCCATGACGTTTCCCTTTGGTTTTTCCGACTGCTTCATATTCTTGAGGTATTGGGGCTGCAATGGTTGTGCTGTCCCCTGCACATTGTAATATGTGCACATGAAACTGGTCCATTGATTCTGACATATGTTCACACTTGGTACATACAAATGCTTGCTTAGGAGATTTAAATGATATTTCTGATTCCGTGCTTTCCTTTGCTATATCAATATCTCCTCCATGTTTAGGAGCATTAGGTTGGTAGAAGGGGACATCCCACTGGTTCTTCTCAAGTTCCATAAATGTACAGTGTAGCCTTGGGTGGACCAGCCAATTATGTGTTTTAATACATGTGACATCATAAAAGTCTTTTCTGCAGACAAGACAGACAAACTTTGAAACACTTGTTTCCATGCATATCTTATCACATCGATCACCGTCACATTCATTTGTCTTTTCAGGCTCTTTTACTGGTTTAACATCCCTTTCTTTCAATAAGCCTTCAAAACTCTTTCTCTCTTCATGGTTAAACATGCGTCTGGCAGCTGAACGAGTCTTTGGTATTTCATGTTTTTCTTTAGTAGCCACTATGTCTTCTCGTAGCCTTTTCATAGCCCTGGTCAAACGTTTGGATTTATCATAAGCTAATTCCATTGTTGGTGTACCCCCTAATGATCTAGAATTAATTTCCTTATCCTCTAATGTGAAAACATCAGTTAGATTTTCTGAAGATTTGGATTTTCTAAGCTTTGAGGTCCTTCTACTAGCATCATATTCTTTCTCAAGTGATCTTGCTCGTGTGGATTTTTCAACAGAAGAAGCCCTGTGTTTATTTTGTAAAGATTGAGATCTAGTTTTTGGCATTTCCTGCAACCCCAAGTCAAGATTATCTACAGATTCAGGTCTTGTCTCACTTTTTATGTCAGATTTTTCTTCTTTTCCTTTAGACGGTGAAGATTTTTCTTTAGATCTTGATCTCACTGAAACATAAATTTCCTCAGATTTACTCACTGTTGTTTCAGCCTTGAACTTACTTTGGTGCCTTGACATCAATTCAGGCTTTTCCAGTGATCTCGATCGTGTTTTCGTTGAATCATCAGAAAGTTTTCTTCCTTCTATTTTATCCAATGACCTTGATCTGGTTGTAGCTTTCTCAGGGTGTGTAACTTGTCTCTCAGTTTTACATTTTTTCTCTTCAGCATTGTTTTGAATACTTTGTTCTATTTCAGATTCATGATCGCAAGTTTCTCTGAATTTACTCTGAACAACATCAGATTCAAAGTTTGCATTTTGAATATCATTGCTTGCAATTTCCTGTTCTTTTATTTGATCAATAACTTGTTCCTGAGCTACAAGGCCATGTTGAACTTCCATATGTAGACAGAAATCATTGTTCCTCTGAAACACCCATCCGCATACTGCACATGTAAACTGAGCAGACTCAGCCAGTGTATTGTAATCATGCCCAGTGAATGCACTGGGTGTGGGAGCACAGTTCCCAACAGATATCTCCATATTTGTAAATGCATCATAGATCTGAGCAGGTGTGAACTCATTCAATAAATTATAACCTTCCCAATTAATACTGTTCACATCATCCGACTGATTGTCTTTATGCTCAATGGCTAGTACATCCTCTCTAAACCAGATTTCACGTTGGTTCAAAGCTTGTTGATTACCATCAATGAAATACCTAACATTCTCTGCAACACCCCTAGGTATGCTGGCAAAGTAAGCAGTATTCTGATCTAGATCTAAACGTTCATTGTTGAAAGATGCGGGTACAGCACTATTAGAATCAGAGTCAAGTACATCAACATCACTTATTACATTGGGAGCTACTTGGTGCTCATTGCGCCTGTGTCGACACATAATAGCATAGCTTTGAAACCTGTTTTTACAAACGGTACATGCAAACATAAAACCTGAATTGCTACTATGAGATCCTGAACTAGTATATGAAGCATTTTTACACTTGCCTTTTATGACATGCTTATTCATGAGGCTATGGTTAGGGAAGGATCGCCCACAATTATAACAGTTAAAGCTGTCGGCTTCATCCTCACCATAAACATCCATATTGTCTAACAATGCAGAGGTAGCACTATATCTCTTGCTTGATTTAGCTGAAGAGTTACCAGATTTAGTCGAACCATTCTTAATGGTTTGGTTTGTGGGTGTTGATGTCCTTGAGATTGTGGGTGTGCCTGTCCTTGTTATTGTTGGGGTGCCAGTCCTGGGGGTGGAGGCATTGGACACAGAGGTATTCCTTGGAGGAGGAGTGACTTCCATTTCTTCTGCTTCACCTGAATCAAAAAAGTCAAAACTGTTGTTAAAATTGCTATCTTGTAAATATATTATGTTAGAAAGGAGGAACAACTGAACAATGGGGTATGATTTTCATTATATATTAATGTAACCAATTGGGCTTTGTCTTAAATCCCTCTGCAAAGTTTGAATGGTTAAATTTGCGTGTGTTGTCAACTCATGTTTATCCTATTCAATATCTAAAGGGGAAGTAATGTAATTAGAAGCTGTATTTCAAACACATACTACTCATTTAGCTTACTGTGATGACCAAATTCGAGAGTGAGGAATATATATGAATAATAAAACAGATATTTCATTCATTATGTACTTGTGTCACTTTCACATTGGGGCCTCGGGGATTAGTATTTTCAAAACATGCACAGTGCAAGTAGAATACATACCGGTACATGTATTTGTATGAAGATATAAGTAATGTTTGCCTTAATTATATTCAAGCATAGACACAGTTTTTACAGTACGATTATGTAAAATATTATTATCTCTATTAATAAGTATCATGTCAAACATTAATATAAAATTTCTCTACAAGTTAATTCTCTGTTTTACAGATTTATAGGGAAAATAACTGGGTGACTAGGCTTTTCTATTTTACTGTAGAACGCAACAAAACATGTCAAATTGAAGGAAAACTGCAAAATTGCTATTAAAGGCAAGAAAAGGAAACTTTGGGACGATCAGATAAGCACTGGTGGAAAACTTAAGCTTAATTTGCAAATCTGAGAAAGTACAAACCAGTGTGCACTGCAAGGTGATGTTTGAAGAGGTTCTTCTGTCTCTGAAACTTGAGGCCACACTTATGACATGGGTGGAGGGTCATGGACGGGTGTACTGCTGAATGAGTCTAAAGTAAAATATTATACATATGGAAAGGTGAGAGTGGTTCAGATAACATCATCCAAACACAGGCCTCCAGAACTCATACCTCCTTCATGTCTGGAGCTTTGCATTCGGAGGATGGTAAAAACAAGGTAAAAGCAATTTTTCAAAATAGATTCTGAATCATCTATTTCTATATATATATATTTGACATATATTTTAAAATAAATCTTTTTGCATTGAGCAAACAGTTAAAATACAGAAAACCATTACCAAGGTAACCATGACAAGGTCATGTCATAATGACATTTTACCACATAAATAAATTAGAATTAGTTACCTTGAGTTTGTCAAGAGTATGGAAAAGTTTATTGCACATATTGCACCAGTATAGGTCAGGTAGACTGGCACTTCCTCGTTGGTCCCCTCTACTCCGGGGCTTGCTTGCACTTTCTTCTACTGCATTTGGCTTCGTTTTACTTGAGATCTTTGTAGTTTCAGAGTTGATTTTGGTGGTATCCTTCTGGCTTGGAGTATGCTTCTTCAGAGGTGTGCCTGTTTCAAGATTTCTACCCATACTCTTTAATAGTTCTATATTCAGATTACATTGAATCCTGTCATTGCTACTGACATATTTATAGTTTATGTGGTTGCGTATGAAGTGACGTTTCAGACTGTGAATATAGCTGTATACCAACTGACAAATGTTGCATTTATATGCAGGTTTACCTTTTCGATCTCTAATTATATGTTGTCTTAGCAACTGAAAGGTATAGAATCCATCATCATTCTGCTGAGCCGTTTTGTCCCTTGAGATCATGTCTAATGTTTTGCTTTTTAAGTGTTTAGGCTGTAAGTCAACTTTTCCTTTTTTCTTCTTGGACAAAACCTGCAGGCGAGTCAGTCTTCTATTAGGTCCGGAGTCATGTAATGGTTTAGCTGCCACTTTGGATTCAATGTTTAGATTTTTTAATCGTAATAATTTTCCTCTTTTCTTTCGTACTCTTTTCCTTACATTTCCATTGTCTTTAACATCTGAGTATTTATCAGTAGTATTACTGTCAACATTATTCTTGTCTATTTGTCTTTTACGTTTGTTCTTCAGTGTTAACCGCTTAACCTTTTTCCTTCGTTTTCTTGGCTTAGGCAACTCTGGTTTGTTGTCAATCAGTGTGGTTGGTGGAGGGTTGTCAACTATAGTATCATCAGAATCAACTGTGTTATTATCTAAGGTCTCCCCTACTTCTATGGAATTGTCTGCTATTGAAACATCATTCTCTACATCGTCAGGTTTCTCAGCAGATACTGAAGCACCCTTGATGTTTGTTTTCTCATACCATGTCAACAGCTCCTCATTTGGGTTAATATTCTGGAAAATGTAAATAAAGCTAAGATATGAATGCAGACAATATCAAACACTAGAGATTGGGTCAAAATGTCAATTTTTGAGATGCCAGGTGATCTACCTAAATATTGCTATATGTACAGACAATGTCAGCCACTACAGATTGGGCCAAAACTTTCAATTCATTGGAGGTCTGGTAATCTATACCTTAAATTTGCTTTACATACACACAATGCCAAACACTACAGCTTGAGTCAAAATTATCAAATTTTGAGATGCCTGGTAGGCTTATATTTTCTTGAAATAGCAAATGTTACATTTATGATGATATTATGCTGCCTATATACATGTAAATGTATAATTGACACAAATAGACTAGATGCGAGTAGAAATAATCTTGATTTATGTCATTAAAATTCAAAATTCTGTCAAAGTGGTATCATATTTGAAATCTACATGTAAAATTACATCTAAAATGTGGTTTAAAGAATGTTTTTCAACTTTGAAAATTTAATTTTCTTTGAAAATGTGATTTATAAGTTGGGGAGATGGTCCATAGACCCCATGTTATAAAATATACAGTATACGATCTTTTATTGACTCTTTAGATGTCATGCTCTGTACCTTTATAACTTTATAGAATATCTGCTTCCCCTCTTGTATCGAAACAAGGTTTTGTTCCTCGTAGTAGCGTGCACAGTTGACATGTCGCATCCAATTTGCATTCTTGGCATTGCTGGCGTTGAGGTAATATAGTACAGTTCTATTCCTTTTGTCTAGGATCTAAAACACAATAATATGCTATATAACTATTGTTCTATCAATACAGTATCTGTGTATATAGATGCAACAATTTATAATCTGTTCATTTTATTATGAAGCTTTACAAAGTACAATACTACATAAGCTTATAGGTTTTTCATTCAATGCAACATTTCTCTTTTGCTTAAAGTCATTTTCACTGTTCAATTTCCATTGTTACATTTTTGCCTCATCTTATCCAAAATTTCAAACTCTGCGCTGCAGATTTTAGCTACTTTTTTCATTTTTCTAAAATCAATTGAATTTTTCAAGTATTATCTACTAAAGTATATAATATATTCAATCTAAAAATCAATCAGTTGACAGACTAAATAAAAGTCTGAATAGCATACTGAATTTTTGATGCTAGAAATTTTTAAATAATTTTTTATGTACATGTATTATTCTTTCATAAAATTGTTCCTTGTGATATTGAGATAACATTTTGGGACAGAAAATTCAAAATTGATGTTTCAAATTCCTGATTTCAACTTTAAAATAAATTGCTCAGAAAGTTTGCCTAAAAATCTTTAGACAAGATTTCACATGTGACTAATTTTTGAGATGAAAATTTCAAAAGGGACTTGGAATTTATTCCCAATGCAAGTTGACCATTTAGGGGGAGAATCTCACAATGTTCATTAATATACACAGTCATAAACCCTAGTGAGCAGGCGTTTCATTAGCAATTGGCAACAGGCAATTTTCACCAGTTGTTTTCACAACATCGCCTATTTTTGGGACATTTCAACTTTTCCATGTTAAAGGATAGGTATCAATATGGAGAACTGAATTCAACAATGTTTTTCTCTTAAACCAATCATTGAAAACATTCTGTAAAAAATCATGGTATTTTATATAATGTTGACTGATTGACAACAATTTAATGCGAAAATTATTTAGAAATATTTTATATAACTGTTTTTGTTAATATTTTTTGTTTTTTTTATCGCAATTGTTTTTGCTCCTTTCTACCAAATCTTGAATATGAAATAAAATGTCTTTCCAAACCTTGTTGGAACAAAATAGCATATATAACATGTTTTTAGACCTCTCAATATTAAAGTTATACAAAGGAATTTTTGGTTGATTTTAAAAAAGTATTCAAAAAATTAAAACAAAATCTCCCCAAAATAGATAAAAATCAAGAAAACCCTTTTATTTCATTAACAAGATACTTTTTTAAAATCAACCAAAATTTCCTTTGTACAATTACAATATTGAGAGACCTAAACATGTTGTGTTTATGTCGTTTTATTCCAATGAGGTTCGGAAAGATGTTTCATTTCACTCTGGAAACATAACACCAAGGACAAAACAAGTGTTTGATGTGTTTTTTAAAACAATATAGATGAAAGTATGTATATCTATTTCAAATTATATTGTTTTGTTTTTTTCTTTTAAAATAGTCTTTATTTCATTCATTTACTAAATATATAGACAGTACATGATTTATAAAAACAGGTTTACATAATCTCATTGCAGTAGTTTGGATAATAAATTCCATTTGGAACAATAATACACATTTTTTCTACAATTAATTTCATATTTTATCATAAAAAAGTATCTTTTCAAATGTTCTTTGTTCTTTACTATTCAGTTCTAAAATATAGGATTTGTAAATGCTGTAAGCAACTATACTTGTAAAATAATTCAGAAAATTAGTTTGAGAGTCTTGGCCATTATAACCAATTATTATTTTTCTATACGAAATATTGAGACCACATGTGTTGTATATAAATTTCCATATATCCTTTGACAAACAACATTCAAAAAGAATATGTTTCAAATCACATAAGTGATTGCAAATACTACAATGATAATAATTTGTTATACCATAGATAAATAAGTCAGTTAACCCAGGAAGTATGTTATTAATTAGTTTGAAATTAAAATTGGCAACTTTTTTGTCTTTAATTTTGATGATCTTGCTAACAAAAAAATTCTGCCAATTTATTTCATCTATTTTACATTGATTTGTTATACAGAAATCTCTTTCCCATTTTTTTGAGACAAACCATTTTTCAGATTTTTTATTCTTCAATATGTTATAAAAGAAATTGGATTTTTGGCCTCTAAAATCTAATTGGACATTTTTTATTTTGAAATTGAGTTTTCTTGATATATTTGTGAAGTTTGCTTGTTCTATGTTAATGATTTTTTTTATTGATTTCATTGCAATTGAGACTTGAAAATATTCTGAAATCCAATTTATTTTATTTCTCAATTTTTCTAGAATATAGTTTACATTTAAAAAATCATTTCGAATGATAATATCTTTGACATAAATAATACCACTATCTATCCAAGATTTAAAGAAAAGTGGTTTGCCTTTTAATTGAAATAATCTGTTATTCCATATGGTTTGCTGGACTATTTCATGGTGTTTCAGATTTTTTATTTCATCAAGATCTTTACAGCTATTGAATGCTTTCAAAACTTGTTTGTAGAAAATAGGTAATCCCTCAAGCTGGTCTTTAGAAAATACATTCATTTTTAACAAAATATCCAAACTTGGAGCAAGTTTGTCAAAATAAAAGTATGGAATTTTGTTAAACATATTGATTTTGTCGTATATACGGGTAATCCATACAGCTTTAAGAGCATTTAGCTGTGATTCTAAATCCAGCATATTTAGACCCCCATTGTCTATATTGTTTATCATAATAGTTCGCCTAATCTTGTCTTTCTTGCCATTCCATAAAAAGTTGAATATCAAGTTGTTTATTCGCTTTATAATTTCTTCTTTAAAAGATAAAATTGATGCTGAGTAGATAAGTTTTGATATAGCTAAAGATTTTATAACAGTGATTTTTCCAAATAAGGTAAGGTGTCTTTTTTTCCAAGAATCAAGAATTTTTTCAAGGTCATTTATTTTCTCATTCCAATTTAAATCATAACATTTATGTTCATTGTGACCTATATATATGCCTAAATATCTTACAGGTTCATCTGTAAAATTAATATTTTCTTTTTTCAAAAGTACGATTGGTTCCAAGCCATATTCCTTCTGTTTTACTTTTAATTTAGTTGAAGTCCTGAATATTTCGAGAATTGTTTTATAGTTTTTAATGCTTCACTTATGGATGCTTTATCTTTGATAAATAATGATGTGTCATCTGCTGATTGTGAAATTTTATATTCTGTGTTATCAATTTCTATACCCTTTATTTTTCTATTTTGAACTATTTTCAAAGACATAACTTCACAGCATAATATGAATGAAATTGCAGAAACGGGGCAGCCCTGCCGACATGAGCGTTCCATTGGAATATTATGTGATAGCCATCCGTTTTGTTTAATGTTAATAAATGGATTTGTATATAATAATTTAAGCCATCTGATGATGTTAATGTTAAAATTGAATTTTTTTAAAGTTTCAAACATGAAGTTCCATTCAATAGAATCAAACGCTTTCGTAAAATCTAAAAATAGAATTGATCCTTGCCCTTTGTTATTATTTTTAAAATACTCAAAAATATCTAACACTAAGCGGCAACTGTTACCAATGTATCTACCATTTATATATGCAGTTTGGTGTAAACTAATAAGTTTCCCAATTACTAACTGTAGCCTGTCTGCAAGTACAAATGCTAGTATTTTATAGTCAGTATTTGATTTTATATTTCAAATTATATTGTTACCATTCAAAAGATGGCCATTAGATTGACAATTTGTAAGATTTTCAGAAATTTTGGATGACTGGTTTAAGAGAAACGTGTGCTCAAAAAGTTCGCCATATCGATACCCATTCTTTATGATTTCCATTAATTTTGCCTGTTGTTTTCGTTTATTTAGACTGTTGTGATAAATTCTAGTGAAACCCCTGAGTGAGCATCCTCCTTCCTTGTGCTTACCTCCCATGCATACTGGGTGTCCACATTGCTTGGTAATGTCTTCACCTTCTCTCCAACAAAAGGACCAAACCTACAGCCAATTGGTATTGAGTATTTGCACCAAGCTCCTACAATAAACAAAGTTTGATAACTACTAAGTACAGTATTCTAAATGGTGAAATCAGTTCAAATCAGTTTAAAACCTTTTCAATCCAGACTGTATTACAGTTACCATTCTGACCAAATTACTATTTGACCAATTGCCATTTTTTCTTTATAATGCATGTAATGTAGATGTGCAGAATGTAGTTATTCTTCGCATTTATTCATATTTATGTACATCCCAAAATTCTCCATAACTTTTACACCACTAATCTAAGTGAAGTAACCTACCTAGTCTAGTGTTATCAACCTGAGAGGGTTTCAATTCTACTTCAGGGGGCATGTTGAATGTTACCACATCACTCTCATCATTCCCACGACCCTCTGGGGTTGTATTATGTGGCACAACAGCATCCTCATCAATCCCATCAGCCATTTTGCTCTTTCTAACGGCAATTTCTTAAATCCTAGAAAACAATTTACCATTCAGTTAGTTGTCCCAAAGTGCTGAGTCACCATGTGCCTTAGATTTTTAAATGAGCCACAAACAGTCTTAGTCTCTGGTAGAGATTTTCAAAACTATGGTGAAAATTCTTTGAACAACCACTCTTCTCCTGTCACAGATGTGAATGACCAACAGTCAAAATGGAAAGATATGCATTCACTACAACAAAGGGGTGCTTAAACCTTAAGTCACATACAAAGGTCAGTATATTGATGCACGTCCATAATTTCAATCAATTCTGTTTGTTGGTGATTGTTCACTTTGTATTGTTTGAACCATACTTTTATATCTTTACTCTTCCTTGATTGTAAGAGAAACATCTACTTTCATAGTGATAGTGAATAAAAACATGTGTGACAGAAGCGGCAAACAGAGAATTAGGGTAAATTTGAAATCAAGTAGCAATTTTATAAATCATCATCAACTTATGTCCATATGGCAACGAGTTGAATAACAGTCATTATGATTCCCTGTCATATTCATCACTCTATGATTGATCTATGTCCTACATGTGACTACTGTACATGTGACTGGCATTTTGCCCAGTGTATCCTTATGCCATATACCCCAGTTTCTAGAGAATTCATGGTGGTACCCATTCACACTAAAGGCAATAAAAACATAAGTGAAGATCTAGAAATGAGGAATGTTAACAGTAAATAATAGAACATGTGCCATATTCTATTTTCAATGAATACATGTGCTTCTTAATATTGTTTGATGCACAGGTATTCAACTCAACAAAATGACATATTTTATTGTTCACCACAGTATTGAGTGATCAAGAGTGATCATAGTAAACGCCGAGTGGCTAACTATGAAGAAGCTCTAGTGTGTATATAGGTCACCATGTTCCATACCCATTCAAATAAGAGAAGTACCAATTCTATGAATATAAATGCAGTGCAGGTTGACCAACTGATATAAAAAAAAGAAGTATAGTGCATTAAAACCTCCATACAGAAAAAGCATACAATTAAACTTTGTGAATTATCCATGTGGAACCACACCTGCAGGCAATTATATGAGCCTTGACCATATTGAATATTTGCAGCAATAAATAAAATATATATATATATGTATACATTTACAGACACTGTATTTAAGAGTAACAGGAAAGACCAATGTATCAATATACACCAAAAAACTACAGCTTATTGGAGGGGGTGAAATTATATTATAATCATGTTGGTTTAAAGTTTAGCAACTTTAATTTTTTTAAATTGATATATATTCAATTATGATTTTTGGGAAGGAATGGGCATGGGCTTTCAAGAGAAACCCTATGGAATGGGTAATGTCTTATATGTAATAATATTATGACAATGAATGTTTTCAGGACAGCACTAAAATGTTGACATCATTCCTAACAGAAATGCCAATTAAAAAACCAACCATTTATTGAAAGGAAACTGGTGAACAAAAACATAAGTCATTTTTTATTGTATAGAGCTAGCTTCTTTCAAATATTTCAAAACAAACATTTCACTCTTGACCTCTTTTGTTTGTGGCACTATATCTTCCGTACAAGAAACACTAAATCTGACGAACTAAACAAATGATCAATAATATTGCACCCTTTGACCTTAGACAACCTCACAATTGGATTTATGAAAGAAAGGAAATTGAATATAAAACAACACTTTTCTAAATCGTGGATCTATGTATAATTGGAAGTATTTATTGTTTTTACTAATATCTCCTGAAATATTAGACAGGTGCTTGCTTTCATATTTCATTTGTCAAATAGCCTAATTATGAAAACTGGTACAAACTAGAACTAATAACACATACCTAATTAGGGATTTAATATTATAGATCAAAACACAAAAAATTATTCCAACAAAACACTTATTGTTAATATTGTATTCTGTTATTTGGATATATAAATGGTAACTGAAATAAATGAAAGGGAATATTAAGCGAGGTCAACAAGAAAAAAGGTCAACTACAACATACAAACCCCATATTTTTCTAGATGCAAAAATTTAATTATTCACTTTTAATGGTCTATTACTGTAACAATATCACTTTGTTTATCTTATAAAAAGTTGTGTCACTAAATAAAAGTAATATAACATAGTGAATTTCCCTAATAAACAAAATGTTATGAAATTTCTATTTCATCAACATTGTTGGATTCCTTTGAGGTGTTTTTCAGGGACATGATCTTTTTCACGTCCCCTTTTCCATTTCATTTTTCGGATGTAAATCGGTGATCGAAATCACTAAATGTATCTGCTTTGCTTCCTTGAATAATTTAAATTAATGATGAACAAAGATACTTACCTTGAAAGCCATCGGAAACTTGTTTTCTCAAACTTTTTGTCCGTCAGTGCAGAAATAAGTGAACAAAGAACCATCTTATTATTGGGCGATAATACGTGAATAGTGGATTATTTAGGCTTGCCATCTATTGGTGAAATTTGATGTTATTTTGATATTTCCTTCACTTAATAGACTACACGGATTAATAAATTGTTGCGCCATGTATCACACAGTTTGATTGTTCATTTTCATACTTTGTAAATAAAATAAATATTCTCAATTACCCTGTGGCCCTAACTGGTCCATATTCATTGAACATAAACTAATCCCCTGAAAGATTAACATATTGGATCCAAACTGAAAATCCAAGTCTCTTCAATGGGGTCAAGGTCAAGTTCACATTCATAGGTTACCTTACTTGAGTGCTAAGTGTTTTTGCACTTATATGGTCCATTGACAATTTGAGCCAAAGGAAGGTCAAGATTTATCAGAAGGTCAAGGTCATGTATTTGTTAATGCCAAAAGGGTACCAGTGATGTTCTAGTCAAAAAGTCATGATTTCTACAAAAGACATAAGTAAAGCTAAATGTTTCTGTTTCTCTTTTTATTTTATTTCATAGGCTTTTGTAAAATAATTCCAGATACATGACACACCAAGTCCATTATTTTGTACAATACTGATAGAGCCAACATGTTATTTATGACATCTGTTTAAATGTTATATTATCACATACTAATTGTATGCTTATGCCATATACCACTTTATGGACAAATTCTGTTTGTTAACATCATTGCATCTTTTAACATTGACTTTTTTCAAGTTGATAATTTAATTCTTCAAATAAAAAAATGGAATGAAAGATGACAATTTAGCGTAGTTTTTGCCATAGTAATACAAGTAGCATGCAATTTATCTCAAAAATAAAATTTTGTAACAACATGATGCATGACTGACATTAAATTCAAAAAACAGATTTTTGTGTACTTATGTCATTTTTGTATAACCTAAAAAGGTTTGTCATCATCAAAGCATTCAACTTATGGCAAAAATCAAAAATATAGTGACAGCATGATGTTTGACTAATGGTGTGGTCACATTTTCTCCGATCTTCAAAACTGGCACCAGTCAGATGCGATGAGTATTTTGCTCAAAACTGAATGCAATTCTGAACAAATTACTCATTGGCTTGGCGCCAGTACTGAAAATTGGAGAAACTGTGACCACAGCATTACCAAGTAACTTCAAACAATAAATAAATCTTTGTGTTTTGTGTCCTTAGAAATCATTTTTCAGCACAAGGTTTATCATCATCAATGTATTTAAGAGTTATACAATGCCAAAATTTGACTCCATGCCATAGCGTAGAAGCAAGGTACTAGACACATGTAGACAAAAGCATACAATGAAAAAATTGTCTTTTTTAAGAGCAAAATAAATAAAGCAAAATTGATGACCTAGATGAATTGTACTTTCTTAAATTATGTTTTGTGACAACAACATTTTTGTTTGATTATGAAACATGGTTGTCATGAACAGTTGAATATGAAAATGATCTATGCTTTTTTGTTGATTAAATTTTTAATGAAGTTTTTCTTACATTATCCATGCATGTTTATTTCTTTTGTCATTTGTCATACCTTCCATCATACATTCTCATGGTAATAAAATAATAAGTAGTCATCACTAAAATATTTCTTCCCTAGAATTCTTCCACTTTGGTTCACAGCATTATCAAATTGCAAGTACTAGATTGCACCTTCGTTTAATACTGCATCAAATCATCAATTTCATATAAACAGCATAGCAATGTGTGTACAGTACGAAATAAATTCACATGCATATTGCTGGCTAGAATACAACAAACGTTTTCCATGGACACATTGGGCAACGTGTCTGAGTCATTTTAACAGATGACGATTGCCTTAACATTTAAGTGGCCTTGTACAGGAAAACCTATATATTTGAACACTTCTCTAATCTGGCTACCTCTCAATGAGAAAACTTTTCTCAGTTCCAATTTTCCCATTGACTCACATGTTAGAGACATTGCAATGTAAACATTGGCTAATCCAAACACTTCGAGCTAGTGTTAGTGGTGTTTGGATTCGACAGGTTTAACTGTATTGTATTCTCATGGGCAAGAAAGTGCAAAGTAAAACATGTGTTCAAATCAAGTACTCTTTTATGCAAAATTAATAATTTAATCACTAGGCACATTTTCCATCCAGGAGTTGAACAATTTGTGTCAGAACTCTAACAGAGCCATGTTTTACATTACATACGAGTATACAAATAACATGCATGGCATATACAGTGTCAGACTGTAATAACTAAATCTACACATTTACATATATCACAGTACAGGTAAGGTAACCTTTTGGTACTCATGCACTACAGTTTATAAACAATAATATTGGAGGCATGTAAGAGCCAAACTTGATGGCTTGAATTATTTGAATAGACTCAATATTCAAAATTTCATTTTTTTCATGTAAAATCACCTAGGAATTACTAAATGAAGAAAGTTTCTGAAGCAAAAAATAAGATAAAGCTTAATAATACAGCATTTGTTGTAGACTTACACTCTGTAACTCCATGATTATAGACGGAAGCAGTTAAGGTTCAGCTGGAAAGTAACATTTTGGTAAAAAATTGCTATACCTGCACATGTTATTTTCTGGTACAAAATTAAGTATGAAGGCATGGGTGTATTTCCTTGCTTTTTTCAGGAAAGTATCATTACACTGTCTTCTTTTAGTAAACCTGGAAACAGGTCAATGGTAGCTCCTGTGTTGTCTGGAAACTTTGAAAGAAAATTTGGAAAAATAGAAAGTGTGAAATATAAGAATTTCCAGGAGTACCCATTGAACTCCTACCAGATATTCTAAAAGAAGACAATGTAATGATACTTTCCTGAAAAAAGCAAGGAAATTGACACATGCCTTCATACTTTATTTTGCACCAGAAAATAACATGTACAGGTATAACAATTTTTTACCAAAATGTTATTTTCCAGCTGTACCTTAAGATATAAACCTTTACTTGATAAAATCAAAAGAAACACATATAAATTAAACAATACCCATTCAACAAATTCTACTCAATGAAGCCTGCACTCTTTAAAGACAAGTGAACATTTATATTATTCTAGGCTCCTGTAATCGTTGAGTACTTATTTAGGCACCACTCTTTTTACTTTTTAGACACTTATTTACTGAAATAAGGCCTAATAGACCTATACTGTACATGTATAGCCATATAGGCTATAACAAAAATATAACAACTGTGATCCAAAAACCATAATGATGAAACTCATGAAATAAATATAACTTGATTAAAATTTTATATGATGTCAATTTGTGTTTCTATCAGTATCTCTTGCAATGACATTAACACATTCAATATAAACTTCCATCCATTCAATATCAAATTCCATCTCACTGCTTCCATCAAGACACATTTTAAATTTGAGTCCTTTGTTCACAGTATATGCTGTATAATGTAATCTGAGAACATTGTGACACAAAAGTCTTAAGAATGTATTGATGTAATTGCAACATGGCGAAGTAGATTGCACTGTTGGTCAGATGAGTTGAGTTGTCCATCAATCCCAACCCCCTGTCCTCCCCATAACCAAAATATATGTTGGAGCAGCATGGATACCCATGTCCCCTCCTCAGATTCTAAATGGAAGGGGCTTGCTACATAGGGGCGTGGTCTATTTGGACATAGAGCTGTTTTACTCCCACCTGAAAGAAAGAAAAATGTTATTATTGAAAGTTGAAATAACAATAAATGGATATAAGTGAATAACAAGTAAAATCTGCAGTTTTTTCAATTTATTTATTTCTTGATCAATATCATGATACAATGAATATATAAGCATTTAACAAGTGACATCATTTCTTGAATATATAAGCATTTATTCATTTAACAAGTGACATTATTTCTGATGTTTATACAAGTTCTTGTAAAAACTCATTTAATACCTGACATTTATGAATATGATATTTATTTTAATGAAAAAATGAATTTTTACTCAAAGAGGTCAACATTGTCAAGGTTTCCTTAGGCTAATGTAATTTTATAAACTACAGTTATGAAGAAAATGGTGAATCTTCATCATGGAACTATTTGTCACTCTGCATTAAATTCACATGTGAAACAAGGTAGACTGGCATTATAATAAGGTAATGAAACGCAAGAAAGTGTTACTCACCTGGGTAAAAATATTGTGCGTTTGACTTAAAATATATTTAGCATCAGCTTTCATTGATACTTCTAGTTTTATGGTTCCTATATAAACCTCGCTACAGAGGGTCCAAAAGTGTGGCTCCTGTACACTGTACACACCTTCTAATTGGCTCACCTGAAAGTAAGCAGACAAAGTTAATTAGGTATCATCTGAATATGGTTACTGTGCAGTGAAGGGAAAACAATAGGATCTTAAAGGGAGACAATAGCAGTGTTTTCCATCGACAACAATATTCTTCTGGACTGTTAATTGATATCTTATCTTTTATATAAAACCAAACGTTTCAGTAAACAATATCTATGCCGCAAGAGAATACATGTATAAGGATTGTCACAATCTATAGATTCAATGAAATTCAATGAAGATCAGGGTTGCTGAAATCCATAACTTTTCAACAAGGGAAGATGAGGATTGCTGAAATCCATTAGTACTCAAGAAGTGAAGACAAGGATTGCTGGAATCCATTGCTACTCCATGAGTGAAGATGAGGATTGTTGCAATCCATAGCTTTTCCACAAGTGAAGATGAGGATTGCTAAAATCCATAGCTAGTGAACAAATGAAGATGATGATTTCTGGATTCTGTTTCTACTCAACAAGTGAAGATGATGATTGCTGCAATTCATACCTACTCCACAAGTAAACTTGAGGATTGGTACATGTGTACTTACTCTTTGATAGCAACCGGGAAGCTCCAAATCTAACTCTCTTGGAGTTCGCATCATCAAAATACCTATGGAGTCACGTAATAGTGGAATAGTACTGAAAAATAAGCAAAGATTATTTGTTATAATTGACATTCTGAATCCTACAACTTGGTATGTAAATGCATGCAATATCACTGATCACTATGTATAAGGATGTTATAGATGTATGGAACACTTTATCAGCAAAAGACAGTTGTTAATGTTTATTACATATGTTAGTATAAACATGAAAGGCTCAAACTAATATGTATGTAAAATTGAATCTTGCTTTAATAGAAAAAACAGTGAACATACGTAATTTCATGAAGCATCTACAAAAGTTTGAATTCAAACCATTGATAATGTTCGTGGAAAACAGACAAAAACCTGGGAAATGAGTTCACCATTTGTCCTGCAAAGTGATCACGGTATAGCACATAAGAGATAAATATCCGAGCTAGGACCTCGTTCTACTTACCTGACTGTGATTAATAAAGCAATGAAAATGGAGCATATAGGATCAGCCATCATCCAACCAAACTGTTGGATTAATATTGAAGATATAATCACTCCAACACTTCCTAGAGTATCAGCGAGTATATGCAGAAATACACCTACAACAGAAACAATATTTTAAGTGGCAGAGGTTTAAAGTATATTTCTATGCAGATATCTTCTTTTTATTCTATTAAACATATAACCTTGATATCGGGTTTATTACTTGACAACTTAACTATAGCTTATTGAAAATGTGTTTTATATAGACTCTAATCATGTCGTTACCTCTTAGTTTAATCTCTAAATCACATCTGCCGATCTTAATCTACTCTCTAAACAAGTCAATCGATTTTTACTCTTATTACTCTTAACTCCTCTTGATCTGTCAAGGTATTAAATATGACTGACAGAATTTAAAAGTATGCTCTAAACTGTAGATAAATCACCTTAATTTACTCATGCCATTAATATTCAGAAACTGTCTTCTGTAAAAGACTTAGAACATACCACTAGGCCATAATTACAAGCCATCAAAGAACTGAAGTGACATACAATTAAATTAAACAAACCAAACTGCCTTTTACTCACCACTTAAAATCTGTTTATTAGAGCCACCATGAGAATGCCCATGACTTTTTTTTACTTCTCCCCCATGACTATGTCCATGGCTATCACTATCATGACTATGTCCATGGCTATCACCACCATGACTATGTCCATGACTACCACCTTGATGACTATGTCCATGACTGTCACTATCATCATTTCCCATGCCTACAAAAATATTTACACACATGTACATGTACTACATATGATTTTTAAAGCTTGTTTCGATATTTTCACTGAACTTATTTTATGTGACTAACAATTGCTTGATGAATGATAAATGAAATAGATTGAGACTGCTTCATTTGCCTTGAATATTTGTGGGGAAAATAAACATATTAATATACAATATGTAATTGTTTCTACATAATTAGTTTCATTTGTACCAAATTTTGTGTCAATAAAATATTGATTGTCTAGATTAATTGAACTTTTTCTGCACATATATTAATATCATGTGCAGATACATCCAAAAGACACGCCACAATAGCCACCTTTATAGTATTCCAAATTCATCACTTATTATATCTTACCAACACCATGTGCATGTCCACCGTGTGAGTGCCCATGGTCACCTCCCCCACCGTGAGAGTGCCCATGGCCGCCATGTTGGAATGCAAATATTCCTACTAAGTTCACAACGAAGCCTGCCACAGAAACAATGAACAGTCTCTCGTGTTTCACCTCTGGTGGCTCGAACATTCTCTGTAACAGAATAGGTAACATTGATTATTTTTGTTTTGAACTTAGACTTGCATCTCTTCATACTGAGCTGTTGATAAGTTTCATGGGCATTCTAAATTTTACATGCAGTACTGTATTTTCATTTTAACTTGGGTTTGGATTTATGGAATTTGATGATGTTTGGCCATAGAAATATAAATTTTCACTGGAAAGATCTTCAACATCAAGAAAAGCTACTCGTAAAATTAAAACATCAATGAAATATAAAAGACTAAAAAAGAAAATATAAGATACAATGATTTCAAAGATCTTTGAGCATCTGATTGGTGAGTTACACGAAGCGTCCACCCAAGGAGGATACAAAATAAACTGATGAACCAATGGAAATGCTATTACACTGAAATACAAGTGCACCATTTTCGTAATGTCACAAACCAGAAGTATGTAATCAAGTAGGTTTATAAGAGATGCAGGATTAATGATGACAATTTCAACAATTTAAAACAAGGCATAAAACATGCAAAAGGTTACCACCTGCCATTTGTAATGATGAAAGCAGAACTGCAACCGCCATACCACTGACCACGAAAAAAGTTAGAGACCATAACAATGTCACCACTTGTGGTAGTGACATAAAAACTAACAAGCATCATGAACAAATAGGATTATATGGACAGTCAACACCTGTTAAGCTTGGACAAAATGGGGATTTGCTTATCAATGCTAATAATGAATACTACAGTGAAATTGTTAACAATAACAGATTAGCTAGGAGTTGAGGAAGAGATGCAGCAGACTTACTTCAATATTGCAGAATCCCAGAGACAGAATCAAAAATGGACATGTAAATGTAAGAATGCAAACAGCTGCAGCGTTAACATTAAGAAACAATCTGACAAATCAATTCAATGCAAAAATGAAAAAGGTTCCAAACTGGCAGCAGTGACTGATTCTGATTCACAAAATGTAGCAGCACTTACCAGCTTCAGTCTAATAACTGTTTGAAATATTTATATGCTTCCTTGATGAAATAAGGGTATGTAAATGCATGATTCAGATGCCTATGATTTTGATCGATAGCAAAGAAATGTGCCAACAAAACTACAAATTCATGACAAGAAACAAGATAAAAATGGCTGAGTTTGTGAGGCCACAATGATTCTAATGACACAAACTATTCGGATATTTAAGTGGTTTTGATTGAAATCATGTATCAACTTTATACAAAATTCCTCAGTTTTTAGACATATTTGTATGAGTACTCTTTGTATTTGTGTAAAGAATAAACGACACTACCTACCTCTACAGCCTCTGAGAAGATGAAGAATCCAATGAAGAGAAGGAAGAGTCCATTGATGAAACCTGCAAGAATCTCTATCCTAACATACCTACAATTAAATCAAATAATGAATAACTTGCTCCTTAGATAAATTATAAAAGATAACTTAAATGAACCAAGCAAAAATCATGAATGTCATGAATTGAGAAGTTCATACAAACTTTTACTCCCTTCCCTTACAAAATTTATTATTTTGAAAGGACCATGGATAGGAAATTGCTACTACAGCAAAGCATATACTAGTACTTCCTTCAGGTTTTTAGCTCAGACCAGCTGCTAGAGCATTAGGCTTTTAATCTGGGGGACCTAAATTCGATACCCACACTGGGAGTTGAATTTAGCACCCTTCCATTCATGCCTGTATCTGCCTTGTTACACTACACTGTCTTGGCTGTTGGTCATACCCTGTAGGCACCCTGGGGTCATTACAATTTTTTGGCTATCAATGTTAATGTAACCATCATCACCCATTTACACATACATACCCATAAGAGAAGCTCTCTGTGGCTCTCCACTTGGAAATGACTGAAGCTACGAGACCTGCTAACAGAGCTGTGCAGTCAAAAAACATATGGAATGAATCGGAAATCAACCCAAGACTGAAAATAAAAAAAATTGACACATTACTTTATCTTCACATATATTATATTGAATGACAACTGAACTCTACTTTCAGTCTCATCTATGAATCCATCATTGAAGATTGACCATACTTTTGACTTTTCCTTATATGATTTGGTACAAAAATTGGAGGAATGTATGTTCAATATTCATAATTGCATTATGTGTTGTCATAGTAATAATGTATATTAAAGTATACCTGTTGGTCCACATTCCATAGAAAAGCTCCACAAAGGCAAATGAGAGATTCAGCAAGAGAAAACAGAACAAATTCCTTGATGTGGCATCCGCAAATATCAATCTGAAATATAAATATTTTGTAATGAAACAAGATGACACTAGCTTGCAAGATGTTCTTTACATCTTGGGTTAAAAATTACAGATTATTAATAAAATATGATCGCAGTCATGAAATTCTTCTGATTTCTTTGACTTGCTAGAAGAACCAGTTAAGTCAATCTATATTGAAATTGGCTATCATAAAAAAATCCTGTAAGATGGGCTGGGTTTGGAGGCTTTGACTTCAGGTATCTAAAATCAAATTTAATCCCTTAGAGAATAAAGTAGTAACAAAACAGACAGTGATCGCACTTTTTATTGAAAATTCCAATTGACCACTGATTACCAGTCCAAGCATACCCAAAACCTAAACAAATTTTAGCACAGAATTGCTCTTGAATTTGTAAAAATTTCAAGTTGAACGGGGGCCTGTGAATTTCTTTAATTTGGCACTATTTGACTTGGCGGATTTGGCAAATTTTGAAATTTGGCTGCAGTTTATTTAGAGGATTAGCCCAACCATCAGTAAAATGTGGATATCGGAGGGCTAGCTAGTTCAAAGATGCAAATAATGCTCATAATATCTCCCAATGTGTTTTCTTGATATCAGAAAGTTTAAATCATCACAAATATGAAGCAAAAGCCTTGAAATGATCATTTTATGACTCAACTTCCTGATTGTTCACTTCTGGTTACAATCGATTTTGAGTGTAGATCAAAGTAGAGAAACAGATAATAAACTCATCTTAGAATGTGTATGATTTAATGATCACTGTTTAATTTATGGTATTAATCCACTAAGCAATGTAACACATGGAAAAGTAAGTGGACGAAAATCCTAGGGAATCCAAAAATAGGCAGATACTTAATTCGGTGTTTTTTATCAATCTGCCGTCAAATCAAAGCAATTTAAAGCAGATTTACTGGTAATTTATGACAAGATGTTTGTGGCACCCACACACAGACGAATACAATACAGTATAACACTTTGAAATGGTGCGATAAGAATCACAGAGAATCTATGTAAACAGCTTCCTGTAATATATACTAGGGACATATATGAAAACCAGATATAGATTAGGCTAGAACCGAGGGTGAAGCATTGGCAGGGAAAAAATATTGAAAACTTACCTCAACCATCCTGATATTTTCTCACCAAGGCTCGCGCCCTTGTATTCTTTATCTTTAGCGTGAAGGGGTAACATCTTGGGAGTAAATCACTACCAATGATCAAACACTATCGGAACAGGATCATAGTTATTGTAAGAAAGCAGCTGTTAGAGAAAAGTAATGTTTCGTGGACAGCCTACAGGTGCTAGCTACTAAACCATTCTAAACTTATTTACGTATTTTTTAAAGATTGATACAAAACTCACTAGCTCACTTATATTTTCTTAAAATATATAGTAACCAAATGAATGCATGTGTTTTGATTTATTAGCTACAACTCATTTTCAATTAGTACTAAAATCATTGATTCCTAGATAAATGAAATTCATACGAAATAACGGATTTATTATATAGGTCAAACTCGCTATCAATTTCAGAAAGAGGTCAAGATGGCGATCCCTGTCAACAAAAATTAAATGTTTCGGTGAATTCTCTGGAATATTCCCACTTGAAGGCAACGTTTACTGAATATAATTATGTCTACTAAACCATAGTATACCAAGCTTACGAAATGTGGCATAACAGGTTAATTAGAACCATTGGAAATGTCCAAAACTGTCAAAATATCTTGCAAGTGTCCGTGTATGGACACTTCTCAAGGAGAAATTTATTCCAAAATGGGGATCAGTCAGCATTTAACCCAAAAACAGCTGCAGTTGTGACAAAAATGACTCGATACGAATACGAGAAGAAGTTTTTCAAGGGCACTGAGGATGAACTGAAACAATATGTGAGTAAAGATTCAAAATGTTCTTGTTGATCCAAAATAGAAGACAGACCCAGCTGTCATCCTGTGCATCTGTCTATCTGTACTAATTATTATCTGGTGCCAGGACAAAAGTCCAGAGAAGATCACAATAGGTTGACCTTATGATTACAATATAGAAGAATTTTCCATGCCTTGCACTTACTCTTCCGAGCTGACAGAAGTCAAAGTCAGCTCTGAGTAGCTCCATTGGAATTGCAATATAGAGAATAAATTAGGTCTCACACAGAAAATGACAAAACAGGAAGTGACAAAACCATGCTGGGTTTAAAAATAATAATTTTATGTTCTATTTTGACATCCAGTCAGTTTAACTAGTTCCACATATCATATACATGACCAGGATCACAATGTAAACTGTCCAGAATTACATTAAACATGATGAAATAACTTTTTCAGCTCTCTGAAAATGTGACTGAAAAATAGCTAAAAGTAGCACCTTACAGTCTGTTACACTGCTTCAAAGGCAATCAGTTGAACCTGACAAATAAGAAATCTAATAAGACTATTGTGCATATATCGAAAAATATATTCATATTGCACACAAATGACATTTGTATATTTCAGATTATTTAGTGTTTAGTGCAATAAGCCTGTGCCCACTTATGATTTGAAGTCTATTCGCCATGTTATATTTTCAGAATTAACATGGCAGAGAAGCATCAAAATATAAGAGGTTTAAGGTGGGACCTGGTCCGTCAGCCAAAAAAAATCCTCGATAGAATTTCCTGAAAATCGCACAGTGTATGTAAACAAGTGGTGTACATATGCTGTAGAAATTTTAAACAGAAAAAGTAAGTTGAGATATAGTAAGTAAGGTTCAAAGGTCGTATTTTTGAGGAGCCTATGCTGCTTATATTGTCATATTTAACATGTAATCCTATGGGAAAACCATAAACTTACTTTACTCTCAGGAGATCTCAATTTACAGAAAAACGGCTCGATAGATTTTTTTAAAATTTCCACATTTTTTTATCTGGAATATTATTATGCTTATGTTAGTTTTTGGTAAAAAGATTACAAAAATTGTAGTCACAGTATTCAGTCAAAGTACCTTGTATTTTGAGAAAAGACCGGCATCCAATTCCATCAGTTGGCGGAGAGAACAATTGAATTACGTCATAAATTTCTCACCTGAATGATCCGACAAAGATAAAGACGATTCCCAGGATAATGGGGTTTAGCCTTGCTAAATCAAATGTAGTTAGTTGATTTTGAATATAAGTCAATCGGTATGAATTACTTCCACTAAAGTTAGCGTCCCACAGTCTTTTAGAATCAAGGACGTCTATAGGCCTAGTACAAAGACCGTAAATAACGTGCTAAATCAACCGCGGTCGATCGCAAAATAACTAACTATTAATTAAATTATCGCCTCATCTACCTGCTATTTTAAGTATTGATGTAAGTTAAAAGTAAACTTTTGTATTTTTCATGTGCCGAGATTTAATTACGTATACGTTGTGTCAAATCATATCATTGAATCATATCGTCTTTTTTATCTTCATGTAGGCCTAAGATTGCCCATTATTAGGGCCCTTCTTTATTTTGATTTTTCATGTATGCAAACAGAAGCTCCGCCGATCGCCGATCGCGCACTTTGGCAATTCACTCAAGTAAAGGTGATCATCAAACGTTTTTAATCAACGGTTAATAATAAAAATCGCATTTTCTTTCGCTTGAGGTTTGTAATCACACTTTTTACATGTTTTAAGATTTTGTATCTCTGTGAAACTTGTCCCGTACCATCAATGTCTGAAGACGATCTAATTCACCAAATATCTCATCCGCCAAGCGTGTCCCGGTTAAAAAGAAATTCACACTTTTGTGTCTCGCAAAATGACGTGTGCGCGAGTAAATCGAATTTTACGAAGGATGGGTACGGGACAAGTTTCACAGAGATACAAAATTTGGCGACATATAACACGCCTGGGGACACGCCCCTTCGCACTCATTATTGCACACTTCCCGACATTGCGCATTGGTTGTGTTGCCATTGGGCCAGTTGCACTCGGTTTTAAAAATTCTCGGATGTTAAGATATCTCTTATCAAACATTTTACCATGACGAATTAACAATTCATATATAAAAAAATGTAAAAAGGGCAAAGAAATATAACTAGACGAAGCCCATGCTCAAGCGAAAGTGATAACAACTAGGACGAAAGTCGTGCCAATAAAAAGCATAATCTAAAACGTTTTACATATAAGAGAATATACAATTTTACGAAGTAATAAAACGAACAAAAGTCATTTTTGAACTTATTAAACATAAATACAGAGTAATACGTATTTACAAATATAAATAGTGCGACGAGAAACATTATATTATTTTGAGCAACATTAAATGTGACGTGTCGGTAACCATGTACACAATGATCAGGACTCAACTAGTGTTTATATCACATCATATTTTTCATATGCTGTAAATGTAGAACATGCTTCATATGTGTGTTTTAGATTAATTAGTTTTACTATATTTTGAAAGAATTATAACAATATGACTTAGAAAAATTCAATCATTCATCGCCGTATACTTCATGATGCTGCGCGTAAAATTTGAGCGCCATTGTTTTCCCATGTCATAGAAACCATGACGTTACTAGCGCTCAAATATTTCAAATGCAATACGCTAAATCTCCCAACTATAAATGCCCGAAGATGCAAATATTTCTTCGTACATGAATGTTTAAATACATTCGTATTATTATTACATCATAATTATTCGTATTGATGGGTGTCTTTGAGTTTGGAAAACTACATTAATAATTAAGCAATAGTATCGTGCTGGGTATGCTGACGGACCAGGTCCCACCTTAAGACTATTTACAAGCAATCCAAGATATACAAATGTCATTTGTGTGCAAATGGATATATTTTTCTATATATTATTGCACAATAGTCTTTAGATTTCTTATTTTTCAGGTTCAACTGCTTGCCTTTGAAGCTGTGTAACAGACTGTAGGAAAAGTCACTGAACAGAATCTTTTGAATTATTCAGAAAATGTGCCCAATATACGAGCTTTGATAATGTGATATCACTCATAGAAGAATGAAAGAATAAAAAAAAATGAATTGAAAAGCGATCTATTTTCCTTTTTATGACTGCCATTTTTGTTTCAGACAATATTTAAAATTTCAAAGCTCACGTTTTCTAAAAGAATCAGAATATTCTGTTCAGTGACGTTTCCGAAGGTCCTACTTAGTACCACGAGACCATAAGGCCAATTTATGACTAAACCGTGTGCTAATGTTGTGATTATAAAATTCGAAATAAATGGCTGCCATTTTTTGAATCACGAGTTTTGATCTCATTTCTCAACAAAAAATTTCAAAACACATAAGAAAAGATTGAAGTTCAAATCTTTTGGAATGCTGATTTATTGTCAGTTATGATGTCAGAAAAACATTTTCAAAAAACATTTTCAATGTTGGGTCAATCACTTACATCAAGGTCACTAGAATATCGGCCATTCTCAAACAGCTATGAAATTCTCTTAACTTCAAAAAGGGTAGGACGCTATAAATTATTATTAGATACCTTTTGTATGATTTATGTATCTATGTTTCCCCATAGTTTTCTTTATTTTCTTGTTCTGCCGATTAACCCATACCATTCATTGGGGAAAAAATACAAAATAGTGTATTTAAGCTATAAGGTGTGGAAAATTCTTCCATATTGATGGACACTAAGTCTATCAGGATTTTCTTAGGTCTATTGTCCTGGCACTGGATAACCTAATTAAAGCTCTATTCTTTGAGCAACAGGATTAGTTTATTGTTAAAATAAATGGAAAAAATAAGGAATCTTTATGTATTTCACATTTGAAAATGCTCCTCCATGGTAGACAAAAAATCGAAACATTGATATTTATAAAAAAAATCAAAAACCTCAATATATCTAGATCTTGTTAATATATACCTTCAGAGTTATATCAAAAGCATATGTAAATATTATCATGTCACTTTGCCATTGTCATTAAAAAGTTAAAAAAAGTATATTAGAGTATGATGGTGTTTTCAATAGCTTTTACTCCTAGCGTTATTGGACTTCAAACAGAAGTGAAGGTTACCCGCAAATGATATACCCATTGCATGGAGTAGGTAATTATCTTTGGTATAACGAAACACATTTGTATGAGCTTTAAGGGGATTTGTGAAGTTTTCTTAGTATTTCTATGAAAATAGCATGCTCTCCCATGGTGGACAGGATCTTTTGATGTGCAGCCAATGTTTAAGAGAATTAGAGTTCATCTAAAAATTCTGAAAATATAATTCTAAAATAACATCATTTCATATATTTTATTTAACTATATAAACTAATGGCTCAACTGGCCTCTAGTCTACAAGTAATTAATTTTTTCAAAGAACTCAAATAGTTACAAGGCAATTTAGCAAACCTTTAGCAAAATATTTGTTAGTTCGTTCATCTCTACGGGCAATAATTCAAATACCCAATGGCTGATTGGGTTCAAATTTTATAGGCCGATGCCTTATGGGGCTGGGGATAGGACCTCTGCTTGAAAAGGAATTTTTAGTATGGCAGCTGATTTCAAAATGGCCACCATTTTTCATATAATACTGTAGATTGGGTTAATTTGGCGCCTGTTTTAATTTGGCGAATTCGCCGATATTTAGAGAGGATCCCTGGAAATTTTGTCTGGTGTATGATACTCACTTCTGGCTTAGGTTAAATAAAAGCTTAAAAGGATAAGGGTGTTAATCAGAACATGCCACTTCTACATTGGATTAGGGAAATCGCTTTAATTACTGTACTGGATATAGCAGTTGAATTGAAGGAATGTTTGTAACAATTTGTATTTTGCTCCAGTGCATATGGAAGTTGTGGTATCAGAGCAATGTTCAAACCCTTGTGTTCGCAAAATTAATAAATAGCCGCCAAAATTGGCAGAATCACCAAATTAAATAGTGCCAAATTAACCAATTTTTCAGTAAATGAATTCAGGGCAATTCAGTGACCAACTTGAAAACTCGGCTTCTCCATCCAGTCAATGGATATGGTTCAAATTTTATTTACTGATGCCTTCAACAGGACATAGGACCTACCACTATAAAGAACAATAAACTTATCTTATCTTATCTTACATAGGCCTCTGTTCAAGAAGGAATTTTCAAGATGGCCACTGAATTCAAAATGGCCACCATTTTTCCGTATGCTATGAATTATGGATTTTTGCTACTTCAGAATCAAAACGAGGTTAAGTGTCAACATCGCCGGATCGTTTGGAAAATTTGAATTAAGGATGCAGTACCGGGTCGGTTTTCACGTCTGTTTGCGCAGGTTTGACTTCCAGTTTGAGAAAGCTAGCTCCCAAGAACGTCATTTTCGCATTTAGTCTTATTCAAAAATTATAGTTTATTTCGATAATGGTGTTTCCAGAAATAAAATTAAATTGCAAACATTTCATCAACATATTTTATCCCTTTCACTTTTATGGGAAAACTTGTTCTTGAGTCGCAATTAGTGGATACGAAAACCAGGGTTCGAAAGGTGCCAGCTCTATTGAAAACTCAAAAGTAAAAAGGAACATTTTGGGTGGGTAAAATAATTTTATTATTTTGTAATTACCAGACGGTCAAACCTCTTCATATTGCACTTGGATGATGATAACATCATAGTGATGCATTGTAAAAAATATGAGCAAAATCTAATGTCTGGAACTTTTTCTAGGCTGACCCGGTACTGCATCCTTAAATCATTTAATTTCCGATAATTCTGATGATGACTTTAACTATGGAATAAAAAGAACATCCTATGATTTACTTGTGATATGATTTTAATCCACTCATGGATATTGATATCTGCACTCTCTCGCTACGCTCGCTCGTGCAGATATCCTATCCATTCGTGGATAAAAATCATATCACTCATAAATCATAGGATATCCTCTATATCTTTGGTAACTCACATATTTATTTGACATATTTTGTTCAAATTTTATATGCTAATGGGAACATATGTAACTCTACTTTCAAATGCATAAATTTATTTGCGAATTTATTGATGCTTTCTACCGTATCTGTATTTTTACCATTGTCAACCTTTAAAGTTGAAAAAAAAAACGCTTAGATTCCATCAAATAACATCCTTCGGCCACGCAATCAGGCATCCCCGAGTGTGCCTACCAACTCAAAATATAGCCATAGCCATATTACTTATAATTACTACTGAAACTTATTTCTGTAATAATGTTATGTTCAAAATGATGATTGATTTGATAAAATATTGTTTTTGGTAGGATTTGTTATTATTTATTTATTGCTTATTTATTTATATTATTTTAGTTTATTCTAATGTTTTTGTTTCTTGCAAAATTTCTTCAAATTAAGAATGATTATTGATTTGTTCCATTGTGCTAAAAATAGAATATTTTCAATAGTCTGTTTCAAGTAGGTCACTCTGACCTGAATGTATTTATCAAGAAATAATTTTCTAAATGCTTACAAATTAAATTTTGAGCATTGTTACCAAACTCCAATTCTTTTTCTGAGGATATTTCAAGATCATCACATCAACCAAACTCAAACTTTTACTCTACCACACAGTTCAAGATTTTGATTGACAGCTCTATATTTTTTGGAATTGAAATTGATGCCCTGTGTTAAAACTCCAAGGTCAAGCTGATCTGGTCACTCTTTAGACAATCTAGAAAAAAGATTTTTGACCGGAATTGATCAATTTTATCTTTATATTTCTCAGTCAAAACATGTTTTTAAGAAAATTGACCTTTCAAACCATTCTTGTCTATCTAATATCAGTTGATTTGAGTGGTTTTAATCATTATTATTTTTGTCTGAAAGAATGTTTTTGCAGTCATTTTGTATCACTGTTTTGTCAAAGAATTTCTAATAGAAAGCACAATTCCCCAATCTTCACAAGTTCAGAGGTTCATTTGAATTTTTTTGTGTGCTGGATTAATCAGTTTTTTCAGATGAGGATGACATTGATTCAATGTTTATGGAATAAAATATTGTACTTTTGATGAATATTGATAACACAAATACAATGTACCAGGAATAAAGACATGTCCTTATCACAGTCATTTTACATATTAGTAAAATGTATTTGTAGTTACTCAATTGTATATAGTATGTAACTCAAAGCTGACAATGCACAATTACATAATAAGATATGTCATGTTTCATTTTGGATCTTTTGAGTCATTTGTGTCATTTTTTGGTTATCAAAATTTGCCGTTTGTGCTTTCTCATGAAAACATTTGGTCAGGGTTGTTATCCCCTCCAAAATCGTAATGTACAATTCCTTTGCAATTTCCCCATATGATAGAAATCAAATGTTTTGTATTATTTACTTTCAGTTATATTCCAAAGGCTCAGACTATAATATTCTATTGATGAGGTACAGAACCCACCAGAACTCCCTCAACTCTATCGTCAATGCACTACAGTAAGTATAAGATCCATAAATACTCTCCATGCAATATAACAAGTTCTGAGGACTTGCCATAAGCATGCCATGACTCCCTCAACTCTATTCTCATTTTGCACTGCAGTAAAGGATGGTATCAAAATTTTGAAAGTTGTGGAGAAATGAAGGAAATATGGCATTATACTCATTTCTCCATTTTTACGTTCACTCCTGAGTCCTGGCTCAATTTTTCATAATCATGTTGACTCTAGTTTTTCCATGACTTGCACTACTACTATTTAAACATTATGTTTATATATCATTTGTTTCAGGAAAAAGAATATTGAGACTCGAGTATTGACAAGGTTTGACTACACACAGGATCTCATAGACTCTGGTTGGCCAGATGTTGTATTTACAGCTGGTGGTGATGGTACATATCTCCTAGCTGCCAGCAAGGTCACCAACCAAGATATACCTGTCATTGGAGTCAATTCTGACCCAGCAAGGTAATGTACAGTCAAACCTGTATATATGAACACCTCTCATCCGAACACCTCTCAAAATGTGAATACTTTTACTTGGTCCCATAGTTGTTATCTTCCATTGACTTACATGTTTATATTTTGAAATATGAACACCTGCTAGTCTGAACATGTATGACTGGTCCCATAGGTGTTCGGATTGGACAGGTTTTACTGTACTGAACTGACATATGGTAAATCCAAAGTCAGCTATCAGTTAATGTCACATTGGGAATATAGTCTACACGATCATGAAATAACATTTTTATATACCTATTACCAACCTCAAATTAAATTTCATGAAACTTTTGAAAATGATTAAATTACAAATTGTCTAAATGATTACTAAAACGTGACGAATGAAATGATCCATTTTCAAATCTTGAAATATGGTGCGTTATGACAGATCTGGTTAATGATATCAATATGTTTTCAGATCAGAGGGCTACCTGTGTATACCGAAGCAACTTTCTACTAACTTTAGTCATGCATTGGATCGACTTCTGGATGGAAAGTTCAGGTAAAAATTTGTAGCTATCAAAGTTTGTTTTTTATAAAAAATGGTGGCCATTTTGAAATTCAACTTTCATCATGAAAATTGCTTTTCAAGTAGAGCTCCTTTGTCCCTTTGTATCAGCACATAAAATGTGGAGATATTTCGCATGTTGATGCCTCATGATGCTGATTCATAAATCAATTTTAATCAGTGTGTAATGATGCACAGTCTTTTTGTCACTCTCTGAATACATATAACAACTAAGATCCAACTGTGGAAATGCCACTTTCAGATAAATGTTGTTTATTATGTTTAATATTTCTCAGGTGGAAGAGGAGACAAAGAATTAGGGTCACAATGTCAGGGAAACACATGGATGATGATCCAGTGGAGCTGCATGACTCTCAACTCAAAGCTTTAGAACTGAGGTAAAGTAAACTTCATGGTACAACTTCACTCTAAGACATACTTTTGTGAAGATGAATATCATTTTCCGAGAGAATTAAGATAAATTGTGAAACATTGGATTCGAAGGTTGAAGTTTTATATTAGGCAAAATTAGAAATCTGAGAACAAATCTGGGTTTTTATGTTACTACATGTAATTTAAAAGACATATTGTATAATCTAAACCTGTCATTGAAACAATATTAGACATTTCAGTAAGAGATATCCAAAGGAGAATTTTATTTCTATAATATTGGTCAGTTAAAGGAACATTGTATTTCCATTTATACTTCCAGGAGTGTAGAACATGTGAAAGAAAATGAAGTGATCTGTCAACCCTCTAAACAAGTCGAGAAGAAGCCCTCCAGAATCCTGCCCCATCTTGCCCTCAATGAAGTTTTCATAGGAGAGACTAACTCTGCAAGGTAACACATAGGGGAAAACCATTAGATCATCAGGGATACTTAGATCCTTCCTATCCAGTTGCAGATTAGTTTGTCCCAAAATATGCTTTTCTGTCCAATTACAAAACCCATACAAAAACTACAGATACATCCCAAAATGTTTTTTTTATTAATTTTGCTGAAGTACCTAATTCTTTTTTTTTCTTGTTATTTTTTTTTATCCTTAGAATAATCAAATTACCTGCAATGTTGGTAAACAGCAATGGAACTCCCCATTATTGTCATGTAATGGTAACAATACATTTCTATTGTGTACATGTATAATCCTATCACACAATCTACAATGTAATGTATTGAAATCAACAAAGGAACCCCCCCCATAACTGTTGCACAATAGCACTGCAAACAATATCATTGCATATGTACTGTTTGCATTGGTGTACAAGACAACATTGATTCTATTAGACTCAATGACATTTTATTATTGTAGGGTATCGTACTATGAGATCAGCATAGATGGGTCACCTAGTGTCAAACAGAAGAGCTCTGGTATTACTGTATGTACAGGAACAGGTTCCAGCTCCTGGCACTTTCACATCAATCATATCACCAAAGAGGATATCAAGAAAATATTAAGAATTGGTTAGTTGCATAATGTTTTAATGGTATGCATGTACTTTCACTGTACTTTCACGAATTGTGTGTCCTTTTTGTGTCATTTTGTCCCCTGATAAATACCGCTGTAGTAGAAACATGATTTTTAAAACATACCCTACACTTATTACATGTTAACTAGTTATGGTTAAATGGTTACAACTTGTGAGGTTATGCCAGGAATTTGACATAGAAATGAGAAATGTATATTATCTTGGACAGTGACCTTTCAAAGGCATACAAGTAATCTTGAAGTATTGAATCATGAAGTCAAATGTACATGTATTTAGTACTATTTATTCTCACAAAGAATGTTCAATGAATTTTAGAATTTGATCTCACTAAATGCTTGTTAATCACATCTGTAACACTTCATATTATTATATCCACATCCGGTGTCCTTACACGTTTTCTTTTATTGCAGCAAATGAAATCAGTGACTGTAAATTGCCAAAGGATGTTGAGTTACTCTCTCGTAAACTGACTCGCCGATTCAACTGTTCATTAAAGTTCCCCCCTGAAGAACATAAAATGGCGTACACAGTCAGAGATCCAGTCATCAATGGTGGGTAAAACATCGAATTTGCATTCTTGATTCAAAGGTTTGCATTAGACCCCCCCCCCCCCCCCCCTATGCAGGAATGATCTGAAAATTTGACTTGCATTCATGGGTGAACTTTTTGGGCCTTTTGGGTAAATGCTAAGGCAATCATTTTGGATTTTCCATCATAGAATTTTGTCTGCAAAATCTTGTCTATGTATTTTCAGGCGACATTTTGACAGATCCATTTCAAATTTTCAGGGATGATTCTTTGTATGAAAATCTCAAATTGATTCGTTTTTTGTCATTCTGGGGAAGTGTGGCTATTTTGGATCTAACTTAAAATCTTCTCTGTAAAGTCTTGTCTACATAACATGATTCATGGCGAACAATTTGATGGATCGATTTCATTGAAGTACAGTATCTCAAGTAAAACATGGAATAAAATTTACCAAATATAATCTCTCTATAAAGGCTGCATGGTCATCCCTGTATTATAATAAATGTTTCAGATGGCAAAAGAACTATATCTGAATACACAAATCATTGGTGTTAGTAAGTTCCAAAGCTTTAATTGCTTTGCGACTTTTTATTTACATATTAATATGATATTCCCATGAAGGCTATGCTTTAATGTTATCAGCTGAGCATGAGGCCATTTATTTGTTACATATTAACAGTGGGATCGACTGGGCATCTGTCCATCCATTGTCTATCTGTCTGTTAGAACTGTTATTAGTTTCTATTAGGCGTAACATATGTCCTCTGAAAATTGCAATTAATTGCTTTTTGAATTTCAGTGTTTCATATTTACTGAATAAAATTTGAAAAATAGAACATTTTTACAGGGAGCATTATCATATACAAAGTCAGTGGGAGGTTTTGTGATGATAAATTGTTAAAAACATACAATTTATATAAGCAATCATTTTTTGTTCATCCGTAAGAGTTATTTGTCTTCTTACTGCAATTTTTCAAGTTTTCCCAGTTTTGGAGAAAATGGCAATTTTGACATTAAAAGTCACATTTTCGTTAATATGTCAAAAATAAGAACTACCATATTAATAGGCAAAAGAAATGTATTCAAAAAATTGATGTCAACATGTCACATTTTGGGGTAACAGTTCGCTGTGAGCACAGGGGTCATGGTTCCTTTTTTTGTATTATACTTTATTGTTTTCAAGTTGAAGTGTACCAAATATAGTGTGTGACACTGTAAATGCATCTGTAATTATCAATGTGTGACTTAGTGACTCTCTTAGACTACTGTATTGGAGGTCTTTCAAATGGCTTGTTTGGTTCTTTCTGTTGTATTGGATAATGCATAGATGTTTCTAATAAATTCAATATCAAACTACCTGACGTATTCTATACATTTTTCTCTGAATAAATCTGTTTTCACAATAAATGACTATAGGTTTTTTAGGTATTTTCAATTCATGATAGGAAATTATATATCTTTACATCTATAAATATGCTAGACAGTTTAACCAATGACATCTGCCATCTGTTGAAGTCATAAGACGAGGCCTTCTTACAGACAGAGGTACATTTAGATTGATATTAAAGCAACAGTGGTCTCCCCAGCATTAAAGCAAGTGGCTCAACACCCACCTGAGATTTTGAAAACAGCCTTGCACCCATCTGAAAATCCATTTGCACCCACTTGAAAATGAGAAAAATCATGAAAAATTGGCATATTTTGACCAATTTTGGTTTTAATTGTGAAAATGAGAATTTTGCTCCCACCTGAGAAAAAATCCTAGGGAGATCACTGAGCAATGTTAACAGTATACAAGTACATGTATAATGATACGTTTTATTCACTCTACTTGCAGGTATATTTCAAGTGACAAAGGCGAGAGGGTTCGTCAACAAGATGGAGGTAAAGTCCAGACTTTGGGACGCTTGTCTCGTACTTGATGGCAGCTCATCATTCAGCTTCAACGATGGCGCAATTGCAACTTTAGAGATGCGAGAAGAAGATGCATTAAGAACTGTAGATCTAGAGTAATGAATATACAAAAGAGTGCATTGATTGGATTATCATTTTCATATCTGTAGACTAGGGGCCTCTGTTAAGAATTTTCTATATGCTCAGAGTTGAACAATGGAGTTGTCATGTCACCATTCAAATCATCAACTGGTCTGCAGGAAACGTTGATTTGCATCCATTACTCCATTACTCTTGTTATAATCATACAGATTGAAAATGATAGTGATTTATGCAGCAGAATGCATAATGAAGAGACAACAGTGATGTCGCTGTGAGTACAATCAAAACGAGGTGGAGTACAGCCATGGCTTTTCTAAAAATGCTCATGGTAGGGTCAAGTCAGTACATTTAAGTGATTGAAGACATGCCTGAATAACTACAGTCATGGCTTTTCTAAAATGCCCATGGTAAAGTCAAGTCAGTACATTTAAGTGATTGAAGACTTGCCTGAACAACTACAGCCATGACCTTTCTAAAAATGCCCATGGTAGGGTCGAATCAGTACATTAAAGTGATTGAAGACTTGCCTGAATATCTTCCACTGAAAGTGCAGTATGATTAAATGGTTTTTGTACATCTCATTGATTTCTTTAATAAGACCCACTTGTTATATATGGCTCATGGGCCAATATGAAAAATACTTTTAAAAAGTTATGCTTGATATGTTATTTTGAAGGCCATTATTGATTCTCATGTTTTATTTAATGACAAAGGCAAGCTGTTAAAAAGATACTTTCATTCAAATATCCATGGTGTTATGTATGTGTAAATCAGGTTTAAGATCACAGTACAAAATACACCATGCATTTATTTACTCGTTGTTATTTTACACCTGAGTGGTTGATACATGATATGAGCCTGTGTGTGTGTGAACCCACCTAATATAGCCTAGCACCCTCTATTGACTGATTTCAACTGTGTAAATATACATCCGTGAACAACACAATGGGAGTGTATATATTTATTGAATAGTTTGATTGGTTTAGTTCACCCTGCCATTCCAATGATACTTACAGTTAAACCTGTCTTAGTGAACATGAAATGTCCCTTGGTGTTCTGGTCCTGGATTGTGATATTGGTTCTCGATTGGAGGGAGGAGGGGGATGTTAGACATTGTTTCTTTTCACGTTAGATCATGGTTTTGGGATATATAAGGTCTACTTTTCTTATGATAGATTCACACTTACAGTTTGCTTTTCTTGTTGGGTTTCTTTAAAGTTTTTAGTCACCCTTCCCTTTGGGATTTGTGCTTATATATTCTCTAGTGGACACTCCTCCTATGCACATACTCTACTGACTTCTGTATAAATTACTCTTTCTGTCGTGAACCTACCTACAGTGAATGAACATATTTTTGTGGCTCCAGTCCATAAGTGTTCACTCTATACAGGTTTTATTGTATATAAAAGCGTGGCCTTGGATAAAAACAAAAACAAAAAAATCAAACATTTCAAAGTATTTTGCCGTCCTGATTGTATTGCTATTTCTACTGTACTACTCAATCTAACCTAACAGGACACATCAGCAATTATGTATTTTACACAGTTATTAAAATTGTAGGTGGTGATATTTTGCATGTTAATGCCTTGTTGGAAATATTTAAAACTATGGTAGCACCAGTTCCCAATAATATATCAATACTGCCAATGAAGCACCAAGTTTCAAGCCAAAATATTTTGTCAAAGGTTAAAAGATATGTTTATGAAACAATTAATGTCCATATATTTGTATTAAAAAAGATGATGTGGTTTTTAAAGCATAACATTTTTCAGAATCTGTAATAGTTCAAGCCTGGATTCATCATGTTTATTGTTTGTAATAAACAATTTATTTATTTGAATAATAAATGTACTTGAGTTGTTTATTTTGTATCCATTTTTGTGTCATGTCTTGGAGTCAGTTTTGTTGTCCAAGCGCAAAACCAAATATACCCTCACAATACTTTATCTTAAACTTCAACAAGAAATTATCATTGGAGGTAATCATATATCCATTTGCCTCTTTGGAGTTATGAACCATACTGAGTAATTGAGACCATGATACCCCATTTTAATTTTTTGATATGATATTAATATCATGATTTAAATATAAGTGATTTAGCTTACTAATTGCCATTTTATGCTTTATGCAGGATAAGATTAGTTTGTACATGTATATGGTCAGCCTTTATAATTAGCCAACAAGCATTGAACTTTGCTTCTGGTTTTCCCTTCATTTGTGCAGATTGCTGTATTTTATATACATTTGGATTTGGGCTTAGCTGACAGATATGTTCATCTTCCTAGGATTTATTTACATTGCCTCATCAGTGCCTCCATTCTTTGATTTAGTCAGCCTCAGAAAGGTGCACTCTGTCTTATGGTGTTCCAAGTTTCATATTTTTAGGGGCTGTAACATTTTATTCTCCCTTCTGGTCTGACTTGTCTTTGTTATAGAATGCATAATTATGTACATTTTAATAAATGAACTGAATATTGAAATGCATATAAAACTCTTCATCGGATTAAATGTGCCTCTAGTGAACGTATCCTAATTTGAATTTTCTGGAACTGGTTCAGCTATGGTAGAGCAGGGTAGATTTCCCTTACTCACTTCGAGAGCCATGTTAGATTTTGAAACTTATCTAAATCCACATAGCTTTCGCAGGAAGTAAGATTTCCCCATTTGGTATCATTTGTAAAAGCGAAGAATGTGCAGAATATGGAATCAATTCTAGTATAGAATATAGATATGTTACATTACAAGTGGTTTTAATTGCACGTGAATCACATAACCCTCATTCTAGAATTTCAATTTTGAATAGGTGTAAAACGGGTTGTAAAAAGAGTCATAAGTACTTCCATTGCTGTCCCCTTTGTATCAGTATAGGTTTAAAGGTTTTCTGCTACTGACCTTAGTTCAAGGACAGATGTTACCCGGAAGTAAAGTATGTAAACAAACTCCCGAGATATCTAGATATTTTTAAGATCTTACTCATTTTAGAGGCATTGTTTCACGCTTAGAATGTTATAAATGAGCTTTATCATTAGACATTAGCATTTTGAACATAATTTGAATTTTTTTTTTAGTTTGATCGCTGAAATAAAGTAGCTCAGTCTGTACAGTTGGGGACAAAAATAAATGACAGGTCGATTTTCGATCACCATTTCCTAATTATGGTGGTCTGAAAGCCCATAAGTTCCAATATTGTCTAGATATATATCCCTTAAAATTTGTATATTTTACATTTTGTATAATCTCATCCATTGATGTATGGCCTCTTGTAAATTCTCTTATTTTTAACATGGGAAATCCTCACTTCAGCAAATCCACCTGTCATTTATTTATGTCCCCAACTGTAGCTAAGGTTTTCTACTCATGGATTCATTTCTTTGTAAATGTCACGGACATCTAATACGTAGTTCTTCGAACTGCCCTGGAACTGTTTTATTGCGTCAGTACCCAAAAATAAGAAATCGGGAGACCATTGTGCAATAATATATGGAAAAGTATATTCATATTGTACATGAATGACATTTGTATATTTCAGATTTTTTAGTTTTTTGTGCAATAGGTCTAAGCCTGTACTGTCTTGTAATTTGAAGAATTTCAGCCATGTTAATCTTATTGAAAATAACATGGCAGAGAAGCATCCAAATATAAGAGGCCACACACTTTATAAGCCAAACTAGAGGCAATCCAAGATATACAAATGTCATTCATGTATAATAGGAATATATTTTCATATATTCTTGCATAATGATATTTTGATTTCTTATTTTTTAGGTTTTACTGACGAAATTAAACAGTGAAATGGACTCTAAACGTCCTACAGACTAAATTGTAGTACAAACTAGCCTAACTGAATTGAGGGATGGTATGGATATTTGATGTAAGCACTACAGTGTACATGTTTATTGAAGGACAGGTATTTTAGTGGTGAATAGGATAACATACTGTGGAAATAATATAAAAGTGAATAGACTGTGTAATCTACCTAAACTGGGAACATTTATGAATTTCAGATCATTTGACTATGGCAAGCCTGGAACAACAGTTGAAAGCAATCAAGTTGAAGAAGTCCGCCAAACCCACCTCTGATTTCTCAAACCCAAAACTTGGAGGGTTTATCAGTGAACAAGAAATATCTGACTATCAGAATAGCGTTTTAGATGTTAACACAGAACTTTGGGTTGATATTCTCAAAGAGGAAACATTCCCTACAAAATACTGTGAAATAACAAAAGAGGATGCAAATTTATTTATAGAGATATATGAACGACTTTATAAGGATATTGATGAGTCAAAAATTGCTGGTATAGATTGGAGAGATGGTTTAAATGAACAAGAAGTCAAGCAAGTGGAAATTTTGAGGAATCGCTTGCAATCAAAAATTGATGAATTTGTCAAAGAGGGATCTGATGTTTTTGTGAAGACATCAAGCAGGAGTGCTAAAGATGCCCCATTAGTGCAGAAAAGATTTGTTGATATTTTTAAAAAGACAATCAATACTTGTCGAGACAATTCTGAAAATTCTCAGATATCTGCGTTATTAACAGCAGCATTTGAGGCGCAGCGGATACATTCGGCTGAAGAAGTCTTTGATATGTTTTTAAGGAGTCTTCGCATTTATCAAGACCTCACATTAGCCAGGGACAACCCGGAGAGATTTAATGAAAACTTTGTCATTAGAAAATTCATTGATATTGACATAGATATGGAATTTCGTGGTTTTGTTTTTGAGCATGACCTCGTGGCACTGTCTCAGTACAATTATCTGATATTTTCCGGGAGACTATTGAAAGAAGGCAAACAAATATCTGAGAGGATTCAAAGATTTTTTGACAAATCTATCAAAGAGAAGATGAAACAGAAAAACTTCCCTCATGATTATGTGATTGACTTTGCAGTGTGTAATAATTCCACAGGTGAGTCTAAAAAATGATTGACACATACCAGGCATACACCCCCCCCCCCTCAAAAGTTTGGCAATTGGAAGTCCCCTTAGAACAACATGTTAGAGCCTTGGCTGTTTCAACATGTTGTAATCTACATTACAAACAAAATTAAGATTCGAACATAAATATGCTTTAACACAATTTCTATGTGGATTTCCAGTTTCAAAGTAATGAAGGGGGGGGGGGGGTATTTATTCAATGACTCGATACTCACAAAATGTGACAATATCTGTTACTGCCGCTTTATTTTTTATAATCAAGCATCAATTATAATATTCATAAATTTTGATTTCAGAGGAAAAAATCTGGGTTATTGAAATTAATCCTTTCCTTGAGACTACAGATGGAGCTTTGTTCTCTTGGAACAAAGAGCGACACCTATTAGAGGGCAAGGAAGGTTTTCAACTGCGACTAACAAAGGCCAATAAACCCGGCTCTATTGTTATGCTGCCACAAAGTGCAAAGGAACTGCTCAAGAAATGTATGTCTGGCTGACAATACAAAAGTCCTAGTTGAAGTATGCACAAATGTTTGTAAGTCCCCGGTGACCATTCCAGATCTTAATGTGATCACTGACACCACCATACCAGTGTAACCATGGTAACAATGACAATGTTGCACATCTGAGGCATTCCACAAAATGGTGTCAGATTAATTGAAAATCAGATCTTGACATGAGATACCCTAATGAAGTCTTCAATCTGCATTCCATGGCATGTACATCTGAGTTGCGTATCTTTTCTTATCATTTTATACAGCATCCCTAATGTATTGGAGATGATTTTTCCAATATTCATCTATAAATGGGGCATTCATTAACATGTATTGAGCAGTAGAGACATGCGCCCCTAATGATGGGTAAATCAATTTCTCTAATAATATCATTTGGGGACAAAAGATCACTTTCTTCAATCATATATACTAGTAGTATAGGGACATGCATCAGAAAATCAGTTACAGTGAAACCTACATGTAAATTGAACATGTTTTTGCCAAGAAAAAATGTTCGTAGGTGTTGGTAGGTGTTCACTGCAGAACGAGTAATTTATACAGAAACCAGTTGACGTGTGTGCGGAGGGTGTCCGATAGAGACAGGTGTTCACTAGAGAGAGGTGTTCACTAAGACAGGTTTTACTGTATATTACAAATTCGGGAAATTCAAATTTTCATAATATTTTCAAGAGATTGGTTAGAGACTAAACATGAAGATATGTGTCTATTTATATCTATTACATGTATTTATTACAACGATATAATTGTGATGACATATTGTATCCTTTCAGGTAGACTATAGAGTAATATAAGTGAAAATAAAGTAATATTAGAATGCACATGTATAATGTATCTCATGGATGTACGGCTAGAGTAATAAATTCTTTGATTATAATTTTTGTTTTCAGAGAATTATGAGGGGGTAGCACATTTTGTCTTCTAACATACCCAAAATTTGGCAGATAATGTACAATAAAATAAACAAATTTGACAGAATCTTAGATTATTTTTCATTACATAATGTAGGTACACTTAAATTGGCTACTGTTTTAATTAGATGAATCTGTGGATTGAATAAATCAACCAAATTAAAAATGCACCAATTTGCAGATATGTATTTTGGAAAATCCCCAGGGAAATTTCAGTTCGTGCAGTGCACTACCAGAAATAAACTTCCCAGTTTCATTTTCCCTAAATTTTGTTAAAATGTCAATTCTACTTTATTTTGAGAGAACTCCAGATAATATCTTGGTAAATACACGCCGTAGACGTAGTGACACTAATATAGACAAACAGGCATTCCAGTGTGCTTCAGTGGAGATAAAAATAACTGGAGGAATCTGCAAAATGAAACTTCAGTCCTGAATCTGCCAAATTAAAAAGTCGCCAATATTTGAAATTGAGCAAATCTGTCAAGTAAGTAGCGTCAAATTAAGTGTATCTTCAGAACTCATATAAAGGATGCTTAACTCTGATTTATTTATCATAGCCTAACAATGTAAGAGATACATATTGTTCGTATAATAGGTTAACACAAAAATGAAAAAATGTTGCAAAAATAATAATACTGTACATCTGGTACATTTAGTCTGTATCCCTGTGTATGAGGGGCATGTATATGCAAGATACCAATGACTGAATTGAAACAAACATTACACGATGGTATGAGGGGCATGTATATGCAAAATACCAATGACTGAAACAAAATGTTGTAAATAATTGTTGCAGATAGAATGAATTTCGATGTGGATATTTTACAAAATTAAAATTAACCAAGAAAAACTAAGCTTAATATTTTAATGATGATGTAATGGAATCGGAAAGGAGGCAAGTAATGATGATCCATTAGTGGCAATCCTCGTAAGCTTCTTATTCACACAAGTGTCAAATTTTCCATCCACTCAAGTGTTTCATCCACTCAAGTGTTGCATCCACTCAAGTTCTCATCCACTCAAGTGTTGCATCCACTCAAGTTCCACTCAAATTTCTTATGCACTAAAGTGTCACATCCACTCAATTATTTCATCCACTCAAGTTTCTCTTCCACTCAACTGTCTCATCTACTCAAGTTTATCATCCACTCAAGTGTCACATTTAATCCAGTGTCTCATCCACTCAAGTGTCTCCACTCAAGTGTCTCATCCACTCTGGGTATCTTATCCATTAAAGTGTCTTATCCACTCACATGTGTCACTCAGTCTATATCTCATCCACCAAAAGATAACTGCCTCTTTTTGTTATTAATATTATAACATGAAAGAATGATACTGAGTGATGGTTCTACAATGTTATTGCTGTGTGTTACACTACATGCACATTTAAGTACGAAAACATATACATTGCATATCTACATTGAATATATAAGCAAAGAAAATATTGCCTATTGAACATTTGTATACATGATTTATAAAGTAAATTCAAATATTGAATATAATTATTGAACCCTTATTCTATTCAAATACTGAATGAATACTATGCCAATTTTTGCAATGTTAAATGACTGCAAGCATGCAGTGGACACTTCTGAGCAGAAATGAACCTACAGTATATATATGGGTAGCAATACTTCAGTGTACACAATTTGATTTCATCTCAAGTTATTAGCAACAATAATATCTATTTACAATACCTTTCAACAACATGTATAATTTCATGATAATAACATGCATGTGGCCTTCACGATGCTTAGTGATAATTTCTGTACTACATAATATCTTTCACATCTGTGTTGGACCACATACCTGTGTTGTTTTATATATTTGTGGTGCTCTCATATATCTGTTGCCCACATATCTGTGTTGCTCCTTATATGTTTGCTGTTCCATATACTAACTTTCCCCACATATCTTTGATGCCCCATATATTTGTATTGCCTCCTATATCTGTGATACTTAATATATTTGTTTTGCCCCATATATCTGTGTTGCCCCTTTCACTTGAACTGCTCCACATATCTGTGTTGCCCAATATATCTGTGTTGCCCCTTTTATCCGTGATGCCCCATATATCTGTGTTGCCCCTTTCACTTGAACTGCTCCACATATCTGTGTTGCCCAATATATCTGTGTTGCCCCTTTTATCCGTGATGCCCCATAAATCTGTGTTGCCCTTTTCACTTGAACTGCTCCACATATCTGTGTTGCCCAATATATCTGTGTTGCCCCTTTTATCTGAGCTGCCCTATATATCTGTGTTGCCCAATATATCTGTGTTGCCCCTTTCACTTGAACTGCCCCACATATCTGTGTTGCCCAATATATCTGTGTTGCCCCTTTCACTTGAACTGCCCCACATATCTGTGTTGCCCAATATATCTGTGTTGCCCCTTTCACTTGAACTGCCCCACATATCTGTGTTGCCCAATATATCTGTGCTGCCCCTTTTATCTGAGCTGCCCTATATATCTGTGTTTCCCAATATATCTGTGTTTCCCCATATATGGGTGATGCCCTAGCTATATATCCATGTTGCCCTCATGATGCAAGCCTATGTGAAAAAGGTTCAACTTAATAAGCCAGATCGATAACAACTTATGTTTAACCTGACAACATTCAAACATATTTTTACAATTACAACTACATGTCTACAATTTTATAATTAGTTTTACATATATATGTATGTAATGCGTAAAATCTTCAATACAAAAGTTCACAGCCTTCAGTTGTTGCATATTTAATTGTAATGAGTCATTTTAATTATACAAGGGAAGATCTAAATGTAAAACTTTAAATATCAAAAAACACTGGAGCATTTTGACTTATGATTCCATGGGGTATTAAAACACATCTGGAAAATAAATCATACAAGTATTATACCACATGTGGACAATCACACCACATATTATAGGTAACCAAAATTTGGCAGAATATTGTACTCATTTTTTCATTTTTGACAATATGCTGATACTCTGCATAATATAGATCAACCCTAGTATAAATTAACTTTAATGAGAAAAAGCACTTATCATGCACGCCATACATATTTTAATAAATGTCATTTTATCCTTTGAAATAAGACTTTTTGCTAATTTTGGATTTGAAAATGATAATCAGGTATCTTTTCAGATAAATTACTTATGACAAAATATGCATTAATTTATTTTGTATGGATATTTAGACATGATCTATCTGTGATGGTTGAACCAAGTTGGTCAATTGATAGATTACTACATAATACCTGATCAAGCATTGTGTGATAACAAAGCAAGGTATAGCACAAGAATTTGTATATTGATCACTGTCCAGATTTTACAATGAACAAGAATATCCAGAAAATGGTCTAAAATAAGTCACTCGGGAGATGGGACAGATCAGTAACAGACCAGGCATTAATTTCAGCATGATTTGAATTCTCAGGCCACACCCTGTTTTATGGCCTACACTATGTACAAATACACATTAAATGTGACACAGTACTGGGACAACATTAATATAGATTTTTCACAGCCTCATCGTAAATTGCATCAAAATTTATAATATATGGCAATAACATTCTTAATAATTTCTACATAGTAACAGTTTCAAAGTATACACACACTTCAACGATCCATTGGGAGTACATGTTATATCATAATATTCAACCATATCTCAATCAGCAATAAAATTGTCATATGGATATTTTCCTAAAATCAATAAGATCAAAGTCATCTCTATATCCATTTCAAATTTTATCTGTATCAACCAGCAATATGGTTTTCGTGACATTTTTATAACAGACCCACAATTATTCAGTCTTTGACAAAGGTTTTCCTTTAAATGGTCCCTGGCATTAATTAATGAGAGGGGACACTCAATAGGCAGACATCTTAGGTAACTTATAACAATAGGTTGTCTTTTCATTTTTGTCAAATTAGATTCAAGATGTAGGGTATTGGAATTCAATGTAATACTTCTGAAATATGCATGCAGACTTTCCAATCTCCCCTCGCACAGATTAGTTGCTTTCTATTCTCAACAACAGAAAATATACACAACTTCTAGCTTCTTCTTCAGTCTATACATTTCTTCAGTCTATACATTATCTACTTTGTCGTTAGTTGGTGGAGTAATTCCTGTATTTATGGTCGTTGTAACAGGGTATAGATTGTGGAGCTCTCCATTATTTGCAGAATTATAGTTTTTGCTGTATTTATAGGTCTTGCGATATTTCTGCAATGCTGGACCCCAATCATCCTCTGGTCGGGTCAACTTCCAGAGCCTCTAAAAAAATCATTTTGAAAGTTATATTGTGAAAAGGCTTGTGCTGGCTTGAACTATGGTCCAAGCCAGCAAAAAATACAAAGAGTTGGAAACATCACGCATGGTGGTCGGAAAAATGGGACGGGGGAGCAGGCAATTTCTACTAGAAATTCAACAAATCTGGAAGATTTATTTTTTCAAGAGAAAGTTTACTATTGGATTGCCTACTGGATAGGTGTACGGTATGGTAAAATATGTTTGGTCCTATAGGATTTTTTGGGAATCAATACGTGTATAAGATACAAGATCTATGAAAAAGGCACAACGCCACCAACGTGCACAAGACAGTGTTTCTGCTATAAATCAAGCTACAATGGTCTTCGCATCCTGTAATAAGAACATGTAAGTGAGGCCATAACAAAATGAATGCTTTTGCTGACTTTATAAAATATAAGTTTCCATTACATACATTATAAACAACCAGTTTCATTTACTAATACAAGATTTTGTGTTTTGTTCCACCTTATTATTACTCCCTCCCCCTCCATTGCCTCCCCCTCCGTCCCATTCTAATTATTTTTGATTATTTTTTACAATGTTGGAAACATATTTGTAAAGTCAGCAATGGCATAACTTTTGTTATGATAACGTCACTTACAAGTATTTTTTACAAATCATGACTGTAGACTTGATTTATAGCAAAAACATTTACTTGTGCTCATTGATGGCCTTGCACCTTTTTTAATAGATCTTGTATCTTAGAAGCGTATCAATTAAAAAAATAAATCCTAGAAGTCCTAACATATTTTACCATACAGTGTGCCTATCCATTAGGCAATTCAGCAGTAAACTTTCTATTGAAAAAATGAATCTTCCAGATTTGTTGAATTTCTTAGCAGAAATTGACAGTACCCTCTATTCCAGTTGTCTAATCACTGGGCATGAATATGTTGGAAGTAAACTTTTCAAAAAATGTCAATTGTCGATGCTGCCTTCACAATCGTCATTCTGAAAATAAGAATTCCCTGAAGATTCAAGATGCAGAAATATTCATTAGAATTGAAAAAAGAAATGTACAAGTTCAAAACAGGCGAGCCATTTTATGAACAAGACATATATCGAAAAATTGTGATAATTGTTAAGAAATAATCTCAACTTGTCTGTTATATTTCTTGCTCCTCTAATTATTGTAATTACTGTACATGGTTTCAAAGGTCTACAGTATATGTTACTGCCCTGTCAACCCTCACGCTTTAGGTGTGATTGTCACGCATTTGCTGGAAAAATAGAAATCACGCATCAATTTAGCGTGTATGATCAAATATCACGCAAATCACGCATTTTGTTGATATTTTTAAAAATCGCTTTTTGTGAAATGCTGACACGGTAAAAAAGCAAATGGCGAAAAAAAGCGAACGCATTCCGTTCGGTCTTTGCACGCGATTGCTGTTTATGTCACACATCTGGTACAAAATATGTGTATATATCACGCATTTGTTTCAAAAATATTTACACCTACCCCCCTCATGTTAGATGGTCACAAGTTGAAAGCCCTGATGTTATGTATATATATGTGTACATAGTATTATATTTGAACTACAGTGAAACCTGTAAATTGAAGACCTCTGTTAGTGGAACACTTTTCAAAGTCCCAAGACCAACTGATTTAATGTTAAATGAACCTTTATAAATGGAACACCTCCCAAGTGGAACACTTTTCAGAGGTACCAAAGGTGTTCCAATTAGACCGGTTTTACTGTTTATAAATATTCATGTCGTGATACAAAATTCGAATTCAAACAGCAGCTATAATTTTGTTCACTTCAACATTTGAATCACAAATTTTGGTTTTATTTCCTAACAACAAATTCCAAAATTCACAAGAAATGATCGAGATATTGGTTCGAATCTTATGAACTGTTCATTTTGAATTTATAGTCGGTTATAATTTCAGAAAATAACAACATTTCGACGATTTCATTGTTGGAAAATATTGAGTTTCGGTCCTGGCACCCAATCCTCCTTGGAGATAAAATGAAAGTGAACAAACCTGACGAAGTGTTCCTTTCTCCTTTATGATCTTGTAAATAGCAATTCCAGGTATTGGTATAATAGAAACCATAGCAACACACCATCCGAGAGCAATAGCCCAACGTGGTAATGTGTAATCTCCATACTTTGGCTCATTCATTGTGCCTATTGTAAACCCTAAGATTACCTGAATAAGATGGAGCATTTATGTGTATAGTTTGTATACATTGTTTAAAATATATTGCTTGTACATTATATATTATAGATTTATTTATCATGTGGAGAGCATGCATGACTATATAAGGAGTTATTTTTCACCCCATTATTATTTATTTCAGGGAGAAAACATGTAGAGATGTAAAATTTTGAGTAAAGAACTGCCTCAACAGTAATCTGGGTATGGCGCCTTGCACGACACCCCTTGCACCATCTGTCTTTGGACATTAAATTTGACCCTGTTTGGAAAGATGACCTTGAATTATTAGAATGTTATTCTAAAACATGGAACTTACCAACATAATTATAGGGGTAATAAAACGCCAGCAAACTTTCCAGATAATGGAGGGCTTATAACCAATCATCAGTTCAATGTCATAGTATAGGCGATCCACCCCTGGAAATAAGAACAGATTTTATTGATAGAAAATATATATTAAATGTACCTCTTTCCTTCTTCCTAATGGGTTCTTATTAATATGGGCTGAACTATAAATGATATGAGTGGGCATTATAAATGTTTGCTGGAATTAATCTACCATAGCAATTACTATTTTATTTGACCACACAAGGTTAAGGATGTATAGACTCACCATATACCCATGCAACAGCGACACACTCCAGCAAAGAGATAACCATTACTGAGAAAGCTGCTGAGTACCAGTCAAATAAAACAAAGAAATATATTCCAGCCTGAAAAAGAAAATAAATGTCTCGATCAGTCACAGACCATGATATCATAAAACATGTAACTAATAGGTACAATCTAGCACTTGGCCAGATGGATGGAAACAAACAGGCCGGATCTTTAGAATGGCATATCATTAAAGAAAAATGCTATTTAGATACAACAATAGAATATATGGCACATCATACGTATTATAAAGCAACAGTGCATCTTTTCATCTTTATTTCCTTTCCATCCATCAGATACTGCAGATGCACAGTAAAAATGTACAAAACCTCAAAAAGTGGGAACTACAGTATTATCACTCTTTTGGAGAAAATATCATTTTTAAAATATGTAACGAAAAACACTTAAGTCAACACTTAAAAAATAATGCTAGTCTCAAATGAATACATGAGCCTGGCTTTGTGTTGAATACTGGATTTTTATATTTTGCTTTAATTCTGTACACATTGAACTGCATGGCTATTATTTTAGGTTGTCAAAGTAACTCACCCGTGTTATGAATATCAATCCTGCTAAAAATTGTATGACACAAATGAATATTGTGAATCGTAACTTCTTGCCCTTTAGCAGTCCAGGGAACTCATCCACAAAAGCACTTGTAAGAGTCTCAAACATACCAAACTGAAAATAGATGAGTATATATGAGTGTTTAGTCTATGAACATATATACATACAGTACATGGAGTCTTAAGTATTTGTTGATGGTCCCACTTACCTTTTTTTGTAAAAGCGCCTTATGAATCATAGAAAAAACAAAATCTTCATTTACGATCTTCTTCTTCTTTAAAACTATTGTTAGCAGGGGATAGAAACTCGTCCAGTATTTTCGTCTGGTACAACTGGAAATACTGAACGCAGACCTCCATTTTCGATCCAGAGAGAGGTAGGGGTGATTTTACTCAGTATCCTGTGATAGTTTTACAGAGTTTCCTTACCTAGAAACAGGCTCGTCAGATTCCCAGTATATTGAGAATATCCCCTGCTAACGAATATCCCCTGCTAACAATAGTTTTAAAATTAATAGAAATTTAATTTCTAATGTAAAAGTTAAAATATAATTGAATTGCAAAAATGTTGAGTCCTGAAACAGAATCATTTTACAGAAATTATTCTCTTCATAATCTATTAATAATAATTATTATACAACTATTAAGAATAGTTGGTAATGTTTAAACTAAATGAAAATCCAAGTATGGAAGGTAGGGTGGTGAATTATATAAACCCAAGTACACAGGGTGTGTACCAAGCATAAGAGTTGAACAAACAGGTAAGGTACAACATGAGGGTGATGCAATTTGAGCAAACTGATGTTTCATCGTATCCAGATATTTTTATATGTAAATGTCTGTAACAACATCCTTGACAGTGCTAGTGAAGTTGACAGTGAATTTCATAATTAAACCTATGCAAACTCCCAATATAGTATACGGTATAACGCTCAGGTAAATTTACCTGATATACTGTAGAACACAAATTCAAATTGTTTGTGTTGTACCTTACCATTACCACGCGTTATACCTCGTACATTGGGAGTTTGAACTATGAAATTCACTGTCAAGTTCACGGTCTAGGATGTTGTTACAGACATTTACATATAAAAAATATCTAAAAACTAGACCAGATCATTCTGAAAAGATAAAAACATCAGTTTGCTCAAATTTCATCACCCTCGTGTTGTACCCTACCACGCATGTTCAACTGTCACGCTTAATTTGATACACACCCTGTGCAAGTATGAAATTGGAAAATGTTGATTTGAAATTCAAATTGTTGACAAATAAACAATCACTTTATATATGTACAGTAACCAATAAATTAAAACAACTTATTAGTAATACAAAGTAGATGTGCTTTGCAGAGATTAGTGCGTGTAATATGATGCATGCAAGGCAAAAAGCAAACATATATACAGGGTGAGCCAAAAAAAGAAAACGCCACTTTTTTTTCAAAATGCTATAACTTTTTTAATTTTTAATAAAAAATTATAATTTGCATAGCAAATGAAACTTGAGGTTGTTATCTAGCCATGAATCATGAATTATACACTTTTATATGAATAAAATATGTCACCATGGGTATGTTGGTTTGAAAATAAAAAAGTTATAGTGTCTTGAAAAAAAGTGCCGTTTTTTGGCACACCCTGTAGTATTATATACAGGGCATTAACATGCAAAATGTCACCACCTTCCATTTGTTACAGATGCTGAACATCAAACACCAGCCACAAAAAGGTTGGAGACTATAACAGTTCTGGTGGTGACATAATAACATGAAAAGGTGAAGTGTATCACCTGATATACCTATTTACAAGACCATGGTCTTACAAGTGATTGCATAAGTGATAAGTGATGTTCTAGATAGCATTCATTCATACAACCAGAACCTATACTTCTTCTTATCAAGCCATGATCTCAATACCAGAAAAACCTGGCATATGAGCTCAATTTAAAAGTTGAGTCGACCTTTATATATTTTGTAATCCTTAGACCATTGAGAGTATGTGTATTAAAATAATATGCAATGTGATTAAAGCAATTAATAACAAGGCATTAACATGACAAAATGTCACCACCTAGTTGCTCACAATATTATGAGTTCAAACTTAAGTCAGATTTGAGTTTCTGAGAACTTGTAAAGTCAAATTTGAACTTCTGAAAAGATGTAGATGATTTTGAAAAAAAAATTTGGTCAATTTGAAGCAAGTTGAAAACAGACCTTTTTGACCTTTTTTGACCTTGAGAAGGTCATTAAAGGTCAAATGTCAAATCTGAAGTCAGATTTGAATTTCTGAGAACATGTAGATGATTTTGAAAAAAAAAATTAGTCAATTTGAAGCAAGTTGAAAAAAGACCTTTTTGACCTTTTTTGACCTTGAAAAGGTCATTGAAGGTCAAATGTCAAATCTAAAGTCATATTTGAATTTCTGAGAACATGTAGATGATTTTGAAAAAAAATTTAGTCAATTTGAAGCAAGATGAAAAAATACCTTTTTGACCTTTTTTGACATTGAGAAGGTCATTGAAGGTCAAATGTCAAATCTAAAGTCAGATTTGAATTTCTGAGAACATGTAGATGATTTTGAAAAAAAAATTTAGTCAATTTGAAGCAAATTGAAAAGAGACCTTTTTGACCTTTTTTGACTTTGAGAAGGTCATTGAAGGTCAAATGTCAAATCTTAAGTCAAATCTAAAGTCAGATCTGAATTTCTGAGAACACGTAGATGATTTTGAAATTTTTTTTTAGTCAATTTGAAGCAAGTTGAAAATAGACCTTTTTGACCTTTTTTGACCTTGAGAAGGTCATTAAAGGTCAAATGTCAAATCTAAAGTCAGATTTGAATTACTGAGAACATGTAGATGATTTTGAAAAAAAAATGAGTCAATTTGAAGCAAGTTGAAAAAAGACCTTTTTGACCTTTTTTACTTTGAGAAGGTCATTGAAGGTCAAATGTCAAATCTTAAGTCAAATCTAAAGTCAGATTTGAATTTCTGAGAACACGTAGATGATTTTGAAAATATTTTTTAGTCAATTTGAAGCAAGTTGAAAACAGACCTTTTTGACCTTTTTTGACCTTGAGAAGGCCATTGAAGGTCAAATGTCAAATCTAAAGTCATATTTGAATTTCTGAGAACATATAGATGATTTTGAAAAAAAATTTAGTCAATTTGAGCAAGATGAAAAAATACCTTTTTGACCTTTTTTGACATTGAGAAGGTCATTGGAGGTCAAATGTCAAATCTAAAGTCAGATTTGAATTTCTGAGAACATGTAGATGATTTTGAAAAAAAAATTTAGTCAATTTGAAGCAAGTTGAAAAAAGACCTTTTTGACCTTTTTTGACTTTGAGAAGGTCATTGAAGGTCAAATGTCAAATCTTAAGTCAAATCTAAAGTCAGATTTGAATTTCTGAGAACACGTAGATGATTTTGAAAATTTTTTTTAGTCAATTTGAAGCAAGTTGAAAACAGACCTTTTTGACCTTTTTTGACCTTGAGAAGGTCATTGAAGGTCAAATGTCAAATCTAAAGTCAGATTTGAACTTCTGAGAACACGTAGATGATTTTGAAAAAAAAATTTAGTCAATTTGAAGCAAGTTGAAAACAGACCTTTTTGACCTTTTTTGACCTTGAGAAGGTCATTGAAGGTCAAATGTCAAACCTAAAGTCAGATTTGAAGGTCAAATGTCAAATCTAAAGTCAGATTTGAATTTCTGAGAACATGTAGATGATTTTGAAAAAAAAATTAGTCAATGTGAAGCAAGTTGAAAAAAGACCTTTTTGACCTTGAGAAGGTCATTGAAGGTCAAATGTCAAATCTAAAGTCAGATTTGAACTTCTGAGAACATGTAGATGATTTAGAAAAAAATTGAAGTCAGTCTAAACAGTATTTGTTAAGTTATAGGAAGTTGTAAGAAATTGTTACAGACGCCGGACGCCCACCGCCAACCGCCGGACGCCGGACGCCAACCACCAACCGCCGGACGCCGTCACAAAAAAACGGAGACCATAACAATATGTCACCACTTTTGGTGGTGACATAAAAATCACATACAAACGCATAAAATCACGTATATTAGCATAAAAATTACATACAGTACACTAGCATAATAACATACGGTAAAGTATATGATTTAAACCAAATCTGACAACCCATTAGGTATCGGCCTGTAAAGGACGATTCTCGGTTTGGAGAACGAAGTTCATCAATCTAAATGAGCATTATCCCTGCTTCGGACAAATTTGATTTTTTTTACATAATATAGATTTGAATGTCTTCTTTTGAATAGTCATAATTTAATTTGGGTAATATTTCTCGATTTTTCGCAAAAAAATATTAGCGCAGTACACTGATGAACTTCTTTCCCCAAATCGAGACTTGTATTTTATTGAATCGGTCTAATTGAGGGTTATCCCTGCTTCAGACCAATTTGTTATTTTTACATCTTGTAGATTTAAATGTCCTCTTTTGAATATTCATAGTTTAATTTGGGTAATATTTCTATATTTTTAATGAAAAAAATTATTAGCCCAGTTCCAAACCGAGAATCGTCCTTTGAACCAAATCTGTCAACTTCTATTTGAGTTATCGCCCAGACAGACCAAGGAGAAAATAATGAATGGCCTCTCTACACCCCTAGGCCCTGGGTGAGGTAATTAAATCCAAATTATGGACAGTATTGCCAGTGAAAAAGGCATTGGGAATCACTAAATATCATCTTTTCAACCTAATTTTTGTGATTTCATTCTGGTTCAATTCCTTGACAACTTAGATTTGATATACTACATGATTTCACAACTATATGTACGGGTATATGCATCACATGTGGTGCCACCTGTTATATCAATAAATTCTGTAAACATAATGATTGAATTAAATATTTGAATAAATTGAATTAAATTAAGTGACAAATCACATTCCATTCTCTGCCAATCAGAAAACAGTATGGCTTTTCTGGTTGAATTTCATTTTTTTATGTTTAATTGTCCAAAATCTTTTGCTATATGTGTGAAAAGAATTAAAATTTATTGACTAATTGAATTGTGTGTGATTCAATGTATTTTATATAGTCTTCAATTCGTGTCTTTAATCTTTATTGAAGGTCTATATATTGGATTTTCATT